CGACAGCACCCGCTACAGCCAACGCCGCTCCGCCAGAACACACCACCAGACGCCACCTCTGCACCAAACTGCCCCAACCGGCTGTCATAACTGAAGGCTGCCAAGTAGAGGACGGTTAGGGCAGCGAGTTATCGACCGAACCAAAGACGCGTAAACATGTAAGAACAGCCTAGAGTTCTGATTGGCCCTGCTTCCCTGTCTAGCCCAGCCGGTTGAGTCCAGAACGCAAGTCTCAGTCTTTGTGATATGAATCATTATATTTCAAACATACTCTGTTTATATACCAAACAAACAGACTATATCGTACCATAAAATAGAAAATAACATTTGTACAAGATTTGACCTCCAGGAAATGACACAAATAAATATTGACCAACGGGAAAATGACACGTTGGAAGAATATTGACCAATAGGGAAATGACACCATTTCTCATTCAGGAATAGGATTAGATAATTTCTGGGGTATTTTCTGAATACCCTAACACCGGCACCCCAGCTCCAGGCCCGCAACGGCGTCCACAGAACAGCACCCTTTCCCTCTCCTGGTTGGCAGCAACACCAACTGTAGTGAACAGGAACACAGAACTACAGAACTAATTACTAAAATCTAACAACTGTATAGTAAATGGTCAATTTGCGAAATGTCCATCAATTGTTTTAAATGACTCAGACTTCCTTTGTTCTTGCATTTTCACACAAATTGCATTCTGTTTTCATTCTTTACTGTTCGGTCTTCTTGTTTCTCTGCTGCCAGACATTCTGTTCACGACTAACATCATATACTACTTATGGTCTACATATTATTTATTTATTTTAACACATAGATATTGGTACAAGGAGGCACCAAATACATATGCGCCACACGAATCTCAATTGATTTGAGTGAGGGCTGTGAAACTGCTAGAGTGCCCAAACCGAAAGAGGTGGTCTTCCTAGGAGGCTACACCCCGAGCCTTCGACCTGAACGTCTGATCCAAAAGGCAGTGGAGCATCGTAAGGAGATGCAGTCCCATGGTAGCCGGTGACCAACGATTGATTCATACTCCATTTGTTCCTTCAGGATACTGGAGCCCATGTGCACCATTGGTTTTGGATCCGGTTAAAGCGCCGAACATTCGCTTTTCATCCTCTCAGTCCAGTAAACAACACCAATGGTGTGAGAAGGCAGTGAGTAGGACTTCCCTGGCATAGGCTATATACTCGTGGCCATGTGAGAGCATTTCGACAGGGAGAGCGGACTTTCCCCACTCTCGGCCGTACCAGGGCATTTTAGGGCGGTCTACATAAGTAGCACACACTACAACAGGAGTCAATTGAAATCAACAAAAATACTCTGTGTCACAATCAAGATTTCATTCACTATCAATACAGGTACACGGTGATTTCAAATAACATCTGGTCACTATGTTATTTCAATGGGCATATTAAAGCTTCATTTTCAGTTTCAGTTTGGAAAGGACAAGAGGTTTGATGGCCTGTGTTAGTCCTGGCAATGATGGCCTATCAGTTCATCCAACTTTTTTTAAAAGAGTCAATGAATGAAGCCTCAACTACGTGTTGAGGTAATGAATTCCACTTGTTGATAATTCGATGGGACAGTCGATAGTCAGCTGACAAATAATTTATCCTAGGCTGGTGAAGTGTTTTGGAATGTCCTCGTAAATTCTCTGTTTTAGACGATAAGAAAAATGAGGGCATATCACATGCAAATTTATCATCACTAAGTAATTTAAAAACTGTAATCAAGTCACCTCTAGTTCTTCGATATGACCACGAGAATAGGTTTAGTTTGACCAGTCGAACATCATGCAGGAGCTTCGCTATTCTAGAAATCAGTTTAGTTGCTGTTCTCTGAACCTTTTCCAATACCTCACAGCCATTTTTTAAGCAGGGGCTAGCCGCTTGTAAACAATACTCAAGTTTAGTACTCATGAACACTATATACAACGTCAAAAACATTTTAGCATAGACATGACTAAAAAACCCTACGTATTGACCATAAAGTTCTAAAACCTTTGACAGTTATTGTACGGCAGTGTATAGTAGTCTTTAAGTCTTGGCTAACGATGATTCTTAAGTCATTATGTACCTGGACATATTCTTTATTACTTATCTTTCATTATATTATTTCACAGATATACACCATTTTAAGAAAGTTTCCAATTCACAATTATCTAAATATCAATCACCATGCAGTCGTAATGATGTACTAAACAAATGTGAATGGGGTACATGTTTAAATCTTGGCAGAGATTCATATAAATGTGATTGTTTACCAGAATATCAATTTACACAAACAGAAGGTTGTATTCGTAAGATTACTAAAGGTAAGAAATCCTGTTGTTTTTTTTTAATATTGAGTACCTATGGGACCTGATGAGAATTTATTGAAAAACTACTTTGTTCATAATATGTGATATGTGCTACTGATATCAAGAGATATAAGTAGTTATCAATTTAGGTGTTGTGGAGATTGTCAAGTTTTTCATTGAGATCATGAACCGATTGATGTTAGACCACCATTGAAAACCTGACAGCACTGGACGGTGGTTTCGTCCTATTGTGAGACTCCTCAGCAGTGCGCATCCACGATCCCGCTCACATGATTCTAACCCACGACCTTCAGTCTTGCGCGCGAACTCTTAACCTACTCGGCCACTGAGCCGGCATCCAACGGTGTTAATGTCTAACCTCAACCAATCTACGAAGTTGCGCGACCCTGGGTTCGAACCCCGCAGGCGGGATCGTGGATGCGCACTGCTGAGGAGTCTCACAATAGGACGAAACCACCGTCCAGTGCTTCCAGGTTTTCAATGGTGGTCTAACATTAATTGGTTCATGATCTCAATCAGATATAAGTAGTATGTATCATTAATCGAAAGTGGAATATCTGGTAATAGAAGGTTAAAAAGTTCGACGAAAAGAGAATGAGAACAGAGAACGATTGATGTGAAAACGAAAGAACAATGAATACCAAGACAATTGACTGACATTTTTCAGAAGGAACAGACAAGTTTGAGACAATTGATGGACATGTTCCGAATGAAGTATTCACTTTATTGTTCTCAGATTTTACTAAGAGATTTTGTAATTGTGTGTCCGAATACATTTGGTTGTCCACCACTTGTGTTCTCGTTCACTATAATTGAAATAAAATAATTTATTTCAGTTCCTTAAAAATGTAAAACAATGGTAATACTTTCATTATGCGGTAAATAAGATCGGTTTTCTGATCACTGGTCATTAAGCAATATTGTGTTCGTCTATAATTTAGCAGTGATGGTTCAACATCGCATACACTGTTTACATATTCAGTGGTTGAAGATAACTTGTAGAAATCTCTAGACTTAGGGAAGAGGAACACGTGATCAAGATATCAAAGAAAGGCGATCTAAGCAACTGTGATAACTAAAGAGGCATCACTCTTTTCTCAATACCAGGAAAAGTCTTCAACAGGGTATTGTTAAACAAAATGAGGGACTCCGTAGACGCCCAACTTCGAGACCAACAGACAGGATTCCGTAAGGATAGATCGTGTACAGACTAAGTTGCGACTCTACTGACCATTGTGGAACAAAGTTGCAAGGTTGCTTACTCCCGCACTTTCTCTTCCTACTGGTGATCGACTGGATCATGAACACGTCAACATCTGAAGGGAAACACGGGATACAGTGGACAGCTAGAATGCAGTTGGACGATCTAGACTTCGCAGATGATTTGACTCTTCTATCGTACACGCAACAACAAATGCAAGAGAAGACGACCAGTGTATCAGCAGCCTCAGCAGTAGTAGGTTTCAACACACACAAAGGAAAAATCAAGATTCTTCAATACAACACAGCATGCACGAGTCGAATCACACTTGACGGGGAAGATTTGGAAGATGTATAAACATTTACATATTAGGGCAGCATCATTGATGAACACGGTGGACCTGATGCAGATGTTAAGGTGCGGGTCGGAAAAACAAGAGCAATATATGTACAACTGTAGAACATCTGAAGCTCAAAACAATTGTCAACAAACACCAAGGTCAGAGTTTTCAATACAAATGTAAAGACAGTTCTACTATATGATGCGCAAACTTGAAGAACTACGCAAACCATCACGCAGAAAATATAAATGTTTATTAACAGTTGTCTACACAAAATACTTCGGATCTGTCGGCCAGACACTATCAGCAACAATCTACTGTGGGAGAGAGCAAACCTAATTCCAGCGGAGTAAGAAATCAGGAAGAAACACTGAAAGTGAATAGGACAAAAACATTGAGGAAAGCACCCAACTGTGTCACAAGTCAATCTTTCACTTGGAATCCCAAAGGCCAAAGGAGAAGAAGATGACCAAAGAACACATTACTCCGAAAAATAAAGACAGACATGCAATGAATGAACAAGAATAGGATAGAACTAGAAAGAAAGGCAGAGTGGGTTGGAAAATGCTGATCGGCGGCCGATGCTCCGTTTGTAGTAACAGGCGTAAGCAATTAAGGAAGGTTTTGTGCTGTTTTTATTTATTTAAACCAAAATCTATATTGTATTATTCTATTGACCTGGATTTTCAACATTCCATTGAGTTGTGTCTTATGTATTATGTATTCAAATTTTTCATGATCTATATGCGAATCCTCTAGTTACATACTTTTCCCAACTGAGTTCCTTTTCATTTTATTCTAGTCACTTACCTTAGTTTCTTTAAGAACTGAGTAATGTATGACGGGACCAAGTTCATAACAAACTCAACATTTTTGTTTAGAGTATTTATTGAATTGATACGTCTTATACTGAAACGCTTAGACAGTATCTACTTAACTGCTCTCTAGTCCCCTAAAATCTCATACTTTCCAATCCAGAACCCAATAATTCGTCTACTCCAAATATAATAAATCAATTAAATAATTATGTAATATCTATTAAATTATCATTTTTCATGATCATTATCATCATCATCATCATCCCATCACCACCACTACCAAAAAATGTAGAAATCATTACATTTTTTCCCGTTCATAACAATTGACGTCTTTAATGTATCACATCAACTCGACGCCCAAATACTGGGAAACTCTATTTCATAAATCATAAACTGTTGTGAACGTGAACACAAATGGTGGACAATCAAATGTATTTTGGACACACAAATTACAGAACATCTTAGTAAAAGCTGTAAATCATACAGTTGTCCCCCCCCCTTCCAGCCAAACAAGTTGGTGAAGCCTGGTAGGCTCTTCTGGGGAGAAACAGGCCACATCGAAGCACGGCACAACTACCGGGGCTAGAATAGTTGTTTCTGCAATCTTTTGGAGTTTGCCCAATGACGAGCAACTCCATATGATACATGCACCACTTTCGATATTTTTTTTGTCGTTTTCCATTCCAAATGTAATTGTGCTGTTTCTCTGTGGATTTCGTAATCAGTTGGTGGGTATAGGTCAAGTGGGTGATTAGCCCGATCTCTATCACCCGGGTTACCGCTCACGTTAGTTCATGAGACATTCGTCTCACTATCCAGGAGGCACGACGCGGACGTGTGAGTCGGATTTCGCCTCCCAAATCATACAGTAGGTAATTCATTTGTAAAATGTTAATCAATGGTCCATAAACTTCACTGTTCCTTCGTTCTTACTCTAATCACTCTCTGGTCTCGTTCTATTTTCATTGATCTTTTTAACCTTCTGTTATCAGGTATTTTATGCTCGATTGATGATACATACTACTTATATCTATCGACATCAGTAGTATACACCATAAAACTACTTTATTGTTGTGATCCGCTTGTAATTCACATGTAAAATCAACTACGATACGCACTGTATCGAATACGATGTTTTTTCAAAAGAAACATTATCCTATTAATGTAAAATATTCAAATAGCTATACAGAATAAATAGATCGTAGCTAACAATGGATTGCATAACAACTGTTCCGCCTATTTTAGAACTTCCCGACTAGATGAACATAAATCCGATTTCACTAGTTGAAATCATGTGTCAATTGAAGCTAGACCACTATGAAAAGCCTGGAAGCACTGGACGGCCGTTTCGTCTTAGTATGGGACTCCTCAGCAGCGCGCATCCACGACGAAACGGCCGTCTAGTGCTTACAGGTTTTCCATGGTGGTCTAGCTTTAATCGACACATGATTTCAACTATTAAAATTACTAAAATCTCCACAAAATCTCTTCTGATAAATCCCATTGTTGATGCCTATACAAAGAATTCTGGGTTCAAATATTAGCTGAAGTCAATCTAATCTACAAAGATTGTGACATGATTAAGTCAAGACTATCTGCACAGTCAATAATATTAATAACAGGATGATTAAAACCTCCTACAAATTAAATTTATTTCACAGGAATGTCAAAACAACTAGGATGAAAGGATTAATGGTGAGATTATAATTTATGAACGAACCAATCAGATATAAGATAACAGGTCTTGGATTTTGGTGAGAAATTCACTCATCCATTTGGCCCAATAGAGTTTTAGCATTATAGCTGATGTCAGTTTGTGATGAGAACCCTATATCCAATTCTTAACCCTCATTTGGTCCTAGTTATTAAGTGTATACTCTTAAGGTCAATGTAACGTCACACAAATGTTGTTCATAAATGATAGTCTCACCTCTTAGTCTTCTCATTACATTATCCAGAATAGTATTTACATATTTGATTTACACAATTTAAATGTTACGCAATGTTCTGTTCAGTAATTTTTAATACCATTACAGTAGTGTTTTGCGAAAATCAATAAAATTATGAGGAGCAGTGACCAGTAGAGTTCAACCAGGTCTTTTATGAGATAGTAACTTGCTGAAGACAATGATAGATGTGTTGCTGAAATTTGTGGATTAGTTGAAGTTAGACATTAATACCGTTGTATGCCAGCTAGCTCAGTGTTCTAATGGTTAATGGTCCTGGGTTCGAATCTTACTAGTTGGGATCATGGATGCGCACTGTTAAGGAGCCCACGATAGCAAGAAACGGCTGTCGAGTGCTTGTAGGTGTTTCACGGTGATCTAACCTCAATTGACTCATGATCTCAGCTATTAAAATTACTGTAATATTCACAAAACCCCTTCTGATATTAATAAAATTATTCATTCTATCATGATCATTGACAACCCAACATATATCATTCTATTTATAGTAATCATAGATTGTTATGTTAATTATCTTGACTAAATTTAATTGAATGAATTCAGGTCGTCAAAAAAACAAACAAACACAATAACTCTAGAATATTCCATGTAAAATATATACATCTTAATTTTACCAGCTATTCTAATAATTACTTTACTTTGTGGGGCCCTATATTTTGTTGTCATTTAGATCGGATGATGTTCGTTGACGGGCTCTCCACTTTAATGGCCCGTGGATCTGAATCTAATTTGATCGTATAAATGATCATTGTCGAAATATATATGTTCTGACTATTCTCATATATCTTTATCGAGTTAATCCACGTTCAGTGAATAACAGAATTAAATAAGTCAAATAATGAGAATGGACTTTTGAATACAGATATTTTGTGTATCAAGCGAATAGAATAGAGAGAAGAGAAACAACACACAGTGAAGATGGTGGATAAACCAACTCCCGTTTAAGCATGCGTTAATCAATACTTATAGTTACACAAAAATAAGTTACACACATGTGATGAGCAATGGGATAAAAAGGGTATACACGTCTACGAGCTTATATAAAAAACAGTCAAGATTGAAAAGTGAATAATTAAGAAGGTCAGAATATGACTCAAGTAGAATGAATAATAGATTGAACTGTCCGAAAGCTAGAATATAAGGTATATGGGTTTAAAATCATAACAGACAATACAACTTTACTTACATACGTCTGTTACACCTTGTCGTAGAGTATAAGTCACCGACTAGCATTCTTCAATGTATTCTATTCTAAACTTTCATTTTCTACTTTTATTCAATGATTGTTTATTCTTCTTATTGTCTATATTCATTTCTTAGTTATCCTAATAATAGGACAAATAAATTAAATGTCTAGCTGAATTTAAAAGTTCATCAGAGAAAAAAACACCCCACACACACCACACACACACACACTACACACACACACACAATTGTCTTAATCTTTTTCTATGAAAATTATTAAAAACACACATCATATCTCTTTTCTTTTCTTTTCATGAAAAATTAGTTTCATGGAAATATTTCTTCCTATCTGTTGTTGCTATGGTAACAATAACAAACAATTGTTTGAAAGTTAACATATCATTTTTTTTTTTGAAAAAAAAACAAACAAAAATGATTAACTACTATTATTTTATTTAAATAGTATATATATATTTGACAAATTTTTACAAACTATATAAATCATATATGATCTGGGTTAGTTTGTTTTGTTTGCTGTTTTTTTTTTTTTCTATACAGAAAACAAAACGGGTATTCATATTTCAAAATTGTATATAGTTTTTAGTCATTTAAACTTTTACTCCTTACATTTATATGTTATATAGATATGTGTATATATGTCCGGCGATTTAACTTATCCTTAAATACAACATGGAGAATACCAATCTGATCACATTTGATGGCGAAACTCTAAAAGATGTAGTATCTTTCATGTACTTGGGAAGTATTATCGATGAATAAGGAGGATTAGATGTAGACATAAAGGCGAGGATTGGTAAAGTATGGTCAGTATTCCTACAATTCAATATATGGGAATTAGAACAACTGTCTGTCAACCAATAACAAAATCAAAATCTTTAATATGAAAGTCAAGGCAATTCTACTGTATGGAGCTTAAACTTGGAGAACTACTACAATCATCATCAAGAAGGTACAAGTATTTATAAATAGTTGTCTACGCAAGATACTCAACATCCATTGGCCGGATACTATCAGCAACAACCATCTGTGAGAGAGAACAAACCAACTCCTACCTGAAGAGGAAATTAGGAAAAGATGATGTAAATGGATAGAACGTACATTACGCAAATCATCAAACTGCATCACGAGGCAAGCCTTAACTTGAAATCCTAAAGGGAAGCGGAAAAGTGGAAGGCCAAAGAACACATAACGTCGAGAAATAAAGTGGATATGAAAAGGATGAGTAACAACTAGAAAGAGCTGGAAAGGATTGCTCAGGACAGGGTTAGATGTAGAATACTGGTGAGCGGTCTATGCTTTTTTACGAGGAGTAACAGGTGTAAGTAAGCTTAAACTGGGTTGGTGGACACGGAGAGTCCATCTAGAAGAATTGGGAAACCCTGATTTCAAATCGATGGTGCATTCGGACTTCAGGATCTTGAAAAAATAAATGGCATATCAACGTATTATTAGTCATAGGCTAACATGTGATTGCATCTCCTGGCATTGCTCCATTGCCTTAAGGATTAGATCTTTAGGTCAAAGATTCCAGGTGTGCTCTCCTAAGAAAACAACCTCCTTCAATTTGGGCACCCAGGAAGTATTCCAACCCTCACACAAATGGAGTCATTTATGTAGTAAATATATATTTGGTGCTCGATTGTACCAATGTTTATATGTTTCGGTAATTTTTCAAGAAAACTATGTCTAATAATAATAATACTAATTCTTCCTTAATTTGAATGAAACTACATAATATAGTCATAACAAAATACATGAAAATGAAATGTTACGCTTGACCACTTTGTCGTCTGATTACTCACAGTTTGGTAAATAAAATTCTTCAATTAGATCTTATCAGTGGTGACTTGAAAAATAATCAATTAAAAACGGATTCTTTTAAAAATAAGTGCTTGATCCATATCAGAAGGAATTTTGTGGATATTGTAGTAACTTCATTGTTTGAGATCACAGGTTAATTCAAGCTAGATTATCATGGAAAACCTGGAAGAACTGGATGACTGACTCTCGAGATTCGAAACCAGGTCACGCGCGCGAACGCTTAACCACCAGACCACTAAGCTGGCATCCAACAATGTTCATATCTAACTTCAACTAATCCATAAAATTGAGAGACATATCCACAATTGCCTTCAGTAAGTTACTATCCCACAACAGACACGGTTGAACTCCGCTGGTCACTACTTCCCATAATTTTATTGATTTCGGCAAAATCTAAACATTAAAACAAGTATCTTTACCAAGGTTTGACTTGATAATTTCAAATAAATTAAGCAATGGGTAGATTTTGCTATTTATTCTCTGAAAAAAATGACGTACACTGAATTATGAAACATCAGAAAATTTAATTTTTCCACTCATTGGAATATTATATATATAATTTTTAATTTATGAAGACCCAATAATTTTTTATTATACATTTGACTACTTATAAGTAGTTAAACACTAATTACTTAAATTTTCTGTTTTAGATTCTTTACAATCACAAAATAAATCAACATTAATAAATAATGCAACAATTTTTTAACATAATTCTATGGATTCATTAAATAATTTAGTATATTTTCAATTTTTTTTTAAAAAATACATCAAACTAACTAACCAGCAATAAACCATACAATTAGCTTTCTTCACTATATGAACATGCATGAACATTCACTAATGTAAATTTCTTCAAAGACAATAGAAAAAAAACCATTGAAATTAGCTATTTTACAAATATGATAGAAATATTAACAATTTAATGACCCTCTTTATATAGAACATTTAGTCAATATTAAGATTATGCAATATGCATAGTTACAACGACAACAACAACAACAACAACAACAACAAAAAGAAAAACATCGAATCAACTTCTAAAAGAACTCTAAACTTCTTCTCTCTCTTCTTCATATGGATATCATCTTTGATTCATTTAAAGAATTTTCATTAGATATATTAGTTAATTGCATATCTAATAATAAATATTTGCATGAAAAAGTTTAATAGAGAATTATTTATTTTGAAACTTTACTTTTCTTTTTTTTTTCTTTTCTGGCATCATTTTAATAAGTACCCCCCACCCCAAAAAAAACATAACACCACCACTACCACTATCACTATCTGTAGAACTATATGGTTCACAGAAAAAAAACGAACAAATTGAAATCATATCCTTTATATTCATGACAATATTCATCTCATTTTTGTCATTGTCTGTCTGTCCGTCAGTTTGTCTGTATGTGTGTGTGTGTGTGTCAGCTATTCCTATTTAAACAACATAATATTTATTGAATTAAAAATATTTATCATTATTAGAAATGTGTTTAAAAAGTCAACTGTCTATTTCATATATAGATAATGGCTTGAATTATTTTGTTTTCTGGTTAGAATTTTTTTAGTGTGTTAGTTTTCCACAGGATGGGTTTGTTAACCTATACTCAACTTTCCGGTTTTATCCGGGTTTGGGACCGGTAGTAGTAGCTACAGAGGGGAGGCTCCAGGCGGAGTTATAAACCTCAACTTTTTAGATATCTGTAATGTTTACCGCATCTGTAAATCTGAAATAAAACATGCTTCCTGCAATAATAACATAATGAATAATTACAACAAACGATAATGGAAATAATAACTGTTAGCTATATTCAAACTTGGTAACAGTTTATCAACAAGCAAAAAAACGGAACCAAGAACAAAATATATGGAAACTGTTTCGTTTAGACAAGGGTTAAATAAATGCTATAATGATTGAGAGTAGTTGATTATAATGATAAATACAATAAATGTTATAACTATATGTAAATATTACATAATAAATTTGAGTTACAACATAAGCGTAGAAATTTCTAGGAAAACAAATTTATTTACTGAATATTAATAAGTAGTATAACACAATACACAAAATATTCGAAGGGAAATGAATAGGTACAGAGAACGTCTACGTATTCTTATTACGATGAATAACATTGTCATTATAGTTTCAGAAGAGACTATCCTGGATTCAACTCTATGAGAGTGAGCTACTATAATATCGACAGTATGTTTCTGATGCGTTTTCTTAATAGAATTGTGTTCTCTGAACTGAATAACATCCTGTAAACAGAATTAAGTTTTCTCAAAAGTAATCCACCAACGGTAAATCATTCCGTTCTGGTAACTACTTTTTAAACCGGTTATCTGGGCAAGTTCTATTATCTGCAATTATTTTTTTCATTTTCTGTTGGTTTATGACTATCTCATGAATTAGTCTTGATTAAATGATTCAATAAGTTGAATCCATTTAGACTGATTTCAAACTGGCCTGAATATTACAATTTTTTAGAAAATCCCAAGAAATTTTGAAATTTAGATAGAGACAAGGAAAGACAAGAAAGTCGTATTTTCAACTCACTTTTAAAATTCCCTTGGTCTAAAATTTTAGCACCTTCATGATCTAATGTCTCAGCGGTTGTCTCCATATAAATATATAAATAATAGTAATAATATTCTTATTGATATTGCTTACATACGCCTATGACCCCTCGTGGAGGAACAAATGGCGGTCACTAGCATTTTCTATCTAACTCCATCCTGGGCAATCCTTTCCAGTTGCTATTCATCCTTTCGATATCTGCTTCCATTTCACGACGTAGTAGTGTGTACTTCGGCATTTCCTTTTTCTGTTTCCCTTCAGAATTTCAAGTTTACGCATGCCTATCTACTTCCAACTTCTTTTCCTAATTTCCTCCTTATCTGGAAGTTGGTTTGTTCTCTCCCACAGTAGACTGCTGCTGATGATATCCGGTCAACAGACATTCAGTACCTTGTGTATATAATTGATTATGAGTACTTGTACTCTTTTGATGATGATTGTAGTGGTTCTCTAAGCTTCAGCTCCGTACAGTAGGACTGTATTGAAGTGTATAATCAAGATTCTCACTTTGATATTCGTTGACGGTAGTTCTGAGTTCCATATGTTCTTCAACTTTAGGAATGTTGTCCTGTCTTTGTCAATCCTCGCCTTAACGTCCGCATCAGATCTTCTACATTCATCGATGATTCGTACCTGGTACGTTAAGGTCTCCACCTCTTCCAGAGTTTCTCCATCATATGTGACTGCGTTGGATTTCTCTGTGCTGTATATTATGATTTTACCTCTTCCATTTTGTATATTGAGGCATACTGATGCAGAAACAGCTCACATGCAGAGGTCTTTCTAATCTAGTCGACCGCCAGAAGAAGAGAAAACGGGAGTAAGCATCCATGTCCGACTCCGTTCCTCACTTGAAATGCGTCTGTCAGCAGTCCTCCATGCACCACTTTGCAGTTGTTCTGATTCGCAGAAAATCCAGCTTGTTGATCTCGAAGCTGAACGCCTATTGAGTCTTTCATCCGATTCAGCAACACTTTAGAAAACTTCCTAGTACCGATAGTAGTGTGTGCCTCTGTATTTCCCATACTTTCTCAGACCTACTTTTTTCGGTACCTTGATGAGGTAACCTTCTTTACATTCTGTCGGCACTCGTTCTTCCTCCTAAATCTTCGTGAATAGAATGTCGAGCATGTTTGTAATTACTTCTATAACTAACTTCAGTGCCTCAGCTGGTATATTCTCAGGTTCTACTGCTTACCCACTCTTGATTTATGTGATGGACATCCTGATTTCTTTGGTGGTTGGTGGAGTGACATCTACAGGAAGGTCTTTAGGTGATGCCTCGATGTCCGGTCTATAAGAGTTCCTCAAAGTTCTCTACCCATTTGTACCTCTGTTCTTGAATCTCAGTGGTTGGACTGCCCTTTTCGTCCTTGATCGGTCTCTCTGGTTTACTATATTTCCGTACCGGTTTCTTTGTCCCGTTATACAGTTGATTGATATTTCCTTCTCTTGTAGCTTTTTCCACTGTCGTTACTAGGACTTCCACAGATTCCAGTTTGTCAGATCTAATACTACTCTTTACTCTCTGGTTTGCTAATGTATATTCAGCTTGTGCCTCGACTTTCTCCATTCTTATTCGACTGTTGTTAATTACTGTCTTCTTGTTCTTGTTCCTTTCTTGAATATTACCCAAGATTTCGATAGAGATCCATTCCTTACGATGATGCTTATTGCAACCTACCACCTTCTGACATGTTGAAGTTAGTTATTCTTTGGGTTATTTTCAGTTATGCTCCATAGTAGCTTTGCGTGCCGCCTATAACCATTTTGTTGAACGCACATAGATTTGCAAATATCTCACCATTCCCGTTCTTTTCTCCCAATCAGTCTATGTCGTCCCATAATATCTTCATATTCATTGTCTATTCCAACTTTGGCGTTTAGGTATTGTAGTCAGTAATTATGGTAATGTCATCGCTCGGTTACTCACTCAATTATAGATTTCTTGGAATAATTGCTACCATAGGATTAATTGTAGGTACGACTCTTGTCATGTGATTTTTATTCCATTATGAATGACTGTGCTACACTTGATACGTCCCAAGCACGATGGAGTGGTATTATCTTTAGAAAAAATTCGCCATGTTCATGTAAGCCAGAAAAGATAGCAGAATAGAAAACGCCCTCCATCGTGCATTACGATAGTGTAAATAATTACCGCATCATTTTGGTTGGTTGCTAGGTTCTAGGTCAAAATTGCGGACAAGGATGGAGTTTATCCCCACGATAGTATTACGAACCGAACAGAAAAACCTCACAAATCAGCAATGCAAAGCAGTGTACTACGTCACCAACACTCAAATTTGTTTACGTTTATGTCCTGTCACGCCATTCAATTAATGTATTTAACAGACGGTGTTATTCGAACAGTAATAATTTGTCTTCACCTTTGTGTAATTATTATCATGTCTGAATGAGCATGTAGGCTTGATTACATGTGACAGTCTAAGCATATATTCTTCTCTCTGGCCTAAATGTTAGTTGCTTAAATCGCTCGATAAATTACTCCTTTTGCTATATATATCTTATTAATTCACTCACTGTATTATACTACTTGAATAACATCTTCAAACCCTAATCTTTCCGATTACCGCTTATACTCCTACCACCTCTACCACTAAGGAATTTGAATCGACAACTGCATCTCTGTGTTAATGCGGCGTGGCAACTCGAACTGATGTACGTATATACGAAGTTCCACGTTGTTACTGACTGACTGAATTCACTCAACCTCTTAATTCGCTCTCATTAGCATCACTGCCCGAATTTGCTTGGTGTCCCTGTGGCTTAGTGATTTCTGCTATACAATAATAAACTGTAATCAGCGCTTCGTGTAGTCATTCTAAAATTCATACACCTTTGGGATTTACTTAGTAACGGTTATCAGGGCGATTGATAACGAAGCCTTAGTAACTGCGTATGCCTGAACACCGAATATCACAACGCGCGATGCTGACAAGTGTAGTAGATGGTTGGAAGTTAGGGGCGGCCAAACCAAAACGTGCTATCACTCCTTGTAGTCACTGACTCCCAGTCTAATGAGTTGGTGTGTGACGAAATCTCTACACGGATTCGAAAATCTCGTTTGGCTTTCGCCAACTTACGTCATCTATGGCGAAGGCGAGATATCGGTCTATCAATTAAGGAACGAGTATACTGCGCGGCAGTTCGTTCCGTTCTACCATACGACTGCGAAACATGGCCTTTAAGAATAGAAGATACTCGTAAATTACTAGTATTTGACAACAGATGCCTTACAAATATTACTCGCATCTGCTGAGATCACCGGGTAAGTAATAGTGAGGTTAGACGCAGGGTATTAGGGAATGATGGTAAATCAGTTGATGAGGTTATGAACCTTCATCGACTGAGATGGTTAGGCCACGTGCTGCGTATGCCTGAACATCGATTACCACGACGCGCAATGCTAACCGGTGTTAGGGATGATTGGAAGAAAGTTAGGGGCGGCCAACCAAAACAAGGCATCAGTCCTTGAAGTCACTAACTTCTGGTCTGAGGCATGTTGGTAGATGCAGACTATCGTAACCAATGGTTGGAGACTCTTGGTGATATGGCTCAGAATCAATCACAATGGCGTCGGTGTATACACTCTCTTTCTTCCTTTAAACTAAGAAATTACGATCGCTTCATATCTTTCTTTCTACGAACTAATTCTTTCTTCCTGTACTATGTTCTCATATACAATCTTTCTTCTATATATTACCACCACTGAATTAACTACTTCTATGAATTCGGTATTCATCTTGTTTTGCTAATGAGGTATGGCAACTTGAACCGATGCCTATATATGCCTGGACCTACATTGTAGCTGACTAACTGACTAACTGACTGATTGACTGACTTAGAAACTATCGTGAAAAGAATTCACTATACCAATTTTCAAAGGAATTTATATACTTTATATGACAAATCCCAAAAAGATCATAAAGATAATGAGAACATTTTAATTTTGAAAAAATTAAAAACTTTTTTATTTCCCAATAAACAGTACAATATACAAATGTAAACTTTAACTGGAACTTTCAACAACCGAACCATTATTCTTAGTGATATCTCTACTATATAACATTTCTAATGATTGACAAAATATATCATCATTTAAATAAACCACTTTTGTTTTACCCATAATTTCAGCTAGAAATATAGCAAGATTATGTTCACACTAAAGAGACATATAAAAATCACCAAAAAAGAAGAAAAGAAAATGATAACATAAAACACAACAACAGATATTTACCCATAATTCATAGCAATGATGAATATATTTTTGTACTATATTAAAACAACGACAATAACGTGTATAATTTGAACAGTAACTAATTGTACCAGAATTTGATTCTACCTATAAGAAATAAATCATTATCATTTTGTATATTAAATTACTCGAAATAGTTGATGTTGAGATGATTTAGATCGTTCTATAATGATTGAACCGTATTCAATAATCCATAATGCTTTCATAATTAAATCACCAAATATATTATGTAATCTTTCAGTAAATAAAATAATAATAAAAGGATACATACAATAAGAGTTGTTCATTTGTTAAATCATTATTTACTGGAAGTTGTTGTTTTAAATGATATTTTAAATCTCGAGGCGCGAAAAAGATGTTCATTTAAAATAAGATCACTGTATAAGTGTCTTCTAATAACTATTTGAAGAAAAAATAAAAAAATAAAAATTAAATAACTGATTAGAAATGTGAACAGTACAAATATGTGATTGAAAATTCAATCTAGAAAAGTTACACTACCATAAATTTATTCATTTGAATACATAAATATTGATACAAGGGGGCGCCAGATATTTATGTGCCATATAAAACAATGAGAATGGGTAGAGAAAAAAGGAGGTAAGATGCGTATAAGAGAAAAAACAAACGATAACAACGACAGCTTAATGTATGGTAGTGTAATAATAATAATAATAATAATAATAATAATAATAATAATAATAATAATAATAATAATAATAATAATAATGGAAAACGGAAAGGTACAACCAGAGGAATTCTTTCAGTTAAGGAAGAGGCAACCACTTTTTATGAAGAAAGTAAAAGAAGGTTACAGCAGGATCGCCATTGGCTTCTATTCTGAGCCATATCTGATAACGTCTCTAGACACTGTGTTACACCATCTCTCAGACCCTAGCCAGGGAGTCGTGAAGGACCAACAGAAGCCAGCCCTTTGCAGCTTTCTTTCATACCACGACACCATGTTATACACTGACCACCTCACCACTTTTTCCAACCAGTCCCAGAGTCGACAAATAATGCATGACATGGAATTCTCTGGGTTAGGACATTCGTAGAACATGTCCAAACCACCGAAGTCGATGTTTCAAGATGGTGATACCAATTGCATTATCGTCTCTGTGCCCGAACACTCGATGCCGAACCTATGCATTACCAACATGGTGTTGCCACTGGATGTCAGCAATATTTCGGACAAAGATCATCAGACACAGAGTCGTCTAACATCCTCAACTCGGAGAGGCCAGGTTTCACAAGCATAGAGCAAAACTGCTCTCACCGACACGTTGTAGATCCGACCTTTTACAACCAGACTAACATTACGAAGACGCCAAAGATGGCCCAGATTGGCATAAACCGCTCTGGCTTTCACTATACGTGCATTTATCTCATCACTCACGCCACCACAACCAGCACTTATGCAGCTACCTAGATACACGAACTTCTCGACTACTTCGCTGTTCTCACTACCCAAAGTGAGTACAGGATTAGAATCCTGCCAGTCTTGTAGAAGTACTTTGCACTTCGAAGGTGCAAAGCACATACTATATCTACGGACACTGATTGCCAACTGATTAAATGCAGATTGCATAGCTTGGGCATTCACACACACACACTACTTACATCCTTCAGAGCTGTTTCCAGAATGTCATCGATGGCGAAGTTGAAGAGGAATGGTGAAATTGGGCAGCCCTGTCTAACCCTACTACTTGAATGGAACAATTGAGAGAGGTGGTAGTATTCCCTCACTCCGTCGGAGGTGTCTATGATCACAACGTTAAAACAACACAAAAGTCAAACAAAAACAAAAGAAAATCTTTATCATATAGTTTATTAAAGTATATTTTCATTGAAAACAATACATTGGATATACAGATTTACATTGGTACATAAGTTACACTATGCCTATATAAATATATACAAAACAATCAAAAGATATCTTGACTACATATCTTCATATTCAACTCGAATACGTTTTAAACGACTAACACGATAACTTGGATATTTTCTAGTAGCAGCTAAATTACTAACAATTGTTGAACGACCAGGATAAGCATTAGCTTTGAAAAAATGATCTTCATTTGGATTATAACGTACTGGTTCTAATTGTATATTTAAATTAGATGGTAATTTACAAACATTATTTTTTGCATCTAATGTTAATTTATATAAAAAATCTGGTGTTTCAACAGGTGTCATAAAATATTGAATTAAATCTTCCATAGAATTAATTTCATGAAGGTAACTATTGGCAATATGATGTTTAAACTCGGTGATACACGCGGTAAACATCTATTTAAAAAAAAATAAAGTAGCATAAACATGATGATAAATAAAAAGAATATCCATTTCAATGAATGATATGAATATAATAATCAAGTTCGTGATAGGATGCCATTCATCAAAACTAATTCCTTTTATATCAGAAGGGATTTATGAAGATTTTAGATATTTCACTAGTTGAAATCATGAGTCAATTGAAGCTAGATAACCATGGAAAATCTGAAATCACTGGACGACCGTTTCGCTCTATTATGAGACTCCTCAACAGGGCGTATCCACGATCCCGCCACCTGCGAGATTCGAATCCAGGAGCTATCAGTCTCGCAAGCGAGCGCTTAACCATTAGATCACTGAGTCGGCTCACTAGTGACTGACTTCAAGAGATACTTCTGGAGTTCTAGTGAGAAACCGTTACCAGTGGAGTTCAACCAGGTCTGTTGTGAGATATCAACTCACTGAAGACAATGGTTTACGGTGGCGCAACTTCGTGGATTGGTTGGAGTTAGACATTAACACCGTTGGATGCCGGCCAACTCAATGGTTTAGAGGTTAAGCGTTCGCGCGCGACACCGATAGGTCCTGGTTTCAAATCTGGCGAGCGGGATCCTGGATGCGAACTGCTGAGGGGTTCCACAATAGGACGAAACGGTCGTCCAGTGCTTCCAGGTTTTCCATGGTTGTCTAGCTTCAATTGACTCATGATATCAACTAGTGTAATTTATTTTAATCAATTGGAATGCATTGACTCATTTGTTCGAAGATCTACGTGGTAGCTTTCTGTGACTAATGTTCAAGAGCATTAGATAGTATGGTTAAAAATTGATCAGAATGGTATAGATATACTTCTTTCTTCATTATCCTTTATCCTTAAAGCTTCAGTTTGAATATTAGTTCAAAACATTTATTTATTTATTTTATGCATTTATAGCAGCTCATGTGCAAATGAGCTTGTTCATATTTAATTTAGTTAAGCCCTTTTGTTAACCTATTTAACGGAGAGAGTGATCCGTACAACCATACAATAACAACTTATCCATACTAGTGTATCTTTATTATTGTTGCACTTGTATCCTTACTACTTACGCATATAAATTCATTATGATAGCCTTAATATTAGTCGCTTAATTGATTTCAATGATTCATTCATTTCAGTATGTACATATACATGTACATTTTAATCCTGTTCACTCATTTGCCCATTTGCTTTTTGGCACTGCTCTTTCATGCTTGCTTAACGTACCTGTAATTTTGGTTATCCATGCATGGTGCAATCATAAACATAGTCGACACTTCGTATTCGCCTTCTGATTAATACACCGTTGAGGCGTTATCTAGTGACGGTTATCAGGACAAACGATATACGACGTTTAAGGATTATATTGAATACCAACCACCATATATTCTTCTTAAAATACTCATTTTTTTTCAAACCTCTTAAACTTTTTTGAAGCTATTCAAATATTTTTCTCATGATGACAACATGTAAAGTGCATTTTAAGTTAACTGATAATACAAAATCATAAGCTTATATGGTACAATAACATGTTTAGTCAATAATTACATAATGAATAAACTCATATAACTTAATAGGTATTTTAAAAAAAATGGGGAAAATCTTAAGCTAACTATTAGTGTATATGAGAAAAAAATAGCAAATGCCCTGGTACGGACGTGAGTGGGGAGTTAGCTCTCCCTCTCTACCGCTTTGTACCAATGTTTATGTGTTTAAATAAATAAATGAATAATAGAAAAATTAAATTTACTTTATATTTTTCATCATTATTTTGAAAACGATAGGTTTTCCATTGATTATCATTTGATGAATTCAAGTTGAATAATTTTTTACTTAAAGCTTCAATACGTAATTCAACATCTTCTGGTGGACAATAAGGATCTTGATTCATTAAAATGTTTTTACTATAATAGAAAAGTGATAAAATCAATTGGAAGTTATGTGAACATCTATTTCATTACCTTTTATCTGCCAATGATTGTAATCTTGAAGTGAAACTATAAACTTTTGATTCATTTAATTGATTTGTTGATAAAGAATTTGATAATATCGTTGTTTGTAAACACCTTATCTAAATAAATCAATATTGAAACTTGATTTAATTCGGTTAGAAACAAAATTTTCAATATAATATAGATAAAGCACAAAAACAAACACTTGCCTAATTTCTATACTAATAATAATTTACAAATGGGATACAGTTAAGTAATTTTCAAATGATTAAGATCATGAACTGATTGGTGTTAGATCACCGTTGGAAACTTGGAAGCACTGGGTCCGAATCCCGCGAGCGGGATCATGGATGCGCACTGTTGAGGGGTTCCACAATAGGATGAAACGGCCGTCCAATGGTTCCAAGTTTTCAATGGTGGTCTAATATCAATCAGTTCATGATCTTAATCAAAAACGTAATAATCTCCACAACCCCTATACTGATTATTTTCAAATAGCATAAAAGAAGTAAATAGCTTTAATTTTCGATGGTTAATATCAATATACAATGAGCAAAATAATATAACATGGAGTCGCAAATGTGAACGTAATTAATTTGTTTTACAATGAAGAGCCTATTTTATCTAGTGGTATGGCGCCCCCAAATGCCCTGGTATGGCCGAGAGTGGGGAGAGTCCGCTCTCCCTCTCGAAATGCTCTCACATGGCTACGCGTATATAGCCTCTGTCAGGGAAGTCCTACTCACCGCCTTCTCGTAGCATTACTGTTATTTACGAAAATAAGAGGACGAAAAGCGAATGTCCGGCGCTTTAACCGGATCCAAAACCAATGGTACACATGGGCTGGCTCCAGTATTCTGAAGGAACAAATGGCGTATGAACCAATCGTTGGTCAACGGCTACCACAAGACTGCATCTCCTCACGATGCTCCACTGCCTTGTGGGTCAGACCTTTAGGCCAAAGGCTCGGGGTGTGGCCCTCTAAGAAAACCACCTGCTTCGGTTTGGGCACCCGGGCAGTATCATAGCACTCACACATATCAAATGAGATTTGTGTGGCGCATATGTATTTGGTGCCCTCTTGTACCAATATCCATGTGTTAAAACAAATAATCTAGTGGTTTGCAGTCAGGTGTTTTTAACTATGCCGGTTTAAAAACTATGGATCTATTGTAGATTTATGTGAAGAATTTGTAATATTATCATTGGTGGCGTTTTTGTGGACATCTAAACGATGAAGTGATATTTTACACTCTCACATGAAAAATGAAATAATATTACATTTACATATCTTCTCATCTTTAGTAGTGTACTAGAAATTGAAAATTAGCTTATCAGAGTATTATACTTAAGTAGATATTTCGATAAAAGCATTGATAAAGTTATATATACATATGGTGATCGGACTCAGGGTCTTGTTCCTTGTTTACACAGGCAATATGCACTTATTATGGGGTGAATCTTCTGATAGACGTGATATTTCAATCGTTGAAGTCGATGGATAAAATGTTAATCGACAAATGAATGCTATGACATAATATGATTGAGTGATATCTACTGCCAAGACCGTATTACTGACGGAGACCTCCAAATGACTAAAAATCAAAAACAAGACTACTAGCCACAAAAATAGTTTTTCATGTGATTTGCTTATATATGAAAAATCTGAACACAAAATAAATAAGACAAAACGCCATAAGCAATTGGTGGAAATTGGTTTGCAGGTCATTCATTTTCCAATCAATTACGATCTGATTATTCGGTCTAATCTGTGGGCATTGTATCAACAATGGATGATAGAATATGACGCAATGTCACATCGAACCGTGGCACTTATCCTTTAGCTTCCAGTCGACTGAATGGTTATCAATCACTATGATTTTTCCATCTATACTGTGCTTACTATGTATTTTCTTATCATTGATTTTATTACAGCGATTGCTTAATATAACGACTTCAAATAACAAACTTATCCAAAATACCAATTGTGTATCTATTGGAGTGAAGATCAGACTGACGGAACGGAGGCTTACTAGTTAAGGGGTTCGGCTTCTAAACACCAGGTTCTGGGTTCGAACCCCGCTCCACCTACTTCAGTTAGAGCAATCACATGATATCGTTAGACTCCAGACTAAGAATGTGGCTCATAAACATGAATCTAGCGAATGAATTAACTCTATAGATCAAACTATTATAATGACAATATACATTGGCAAGAAAATTTGTTGCCAATATGTATGTGGTAGAACTGCGCAGTCCAGAGAAATAACCAACAATTAACTGATTGACATATCTGCTTTGAGTATACGGAAAACAGCTAAGACGTAATGTATTCGAAAAATTGCAACCCCAAGTCTTATCTCCTTTGATCTACACCTCTTATCCGTGTTGCTAATTATTACACCCGAGTTTCAACTTCGAAACCTGTTTCGCCTACTCCGATACGTACAGCTGTGTAGTGAGTAACCACTACACAAAATGTCTTGGAGCCAAGTACGCAAATATGTAACAAGTCACTGAGTAGTAATCTGTTTACGTTAAAATAACTCGACGAAACATCTCAACAAATCTAAAACTGTTTTCACCTCCAAAAAGACAGAAAACAATCCACCACTGTGCTACCAACTACTGAAAAAGATCATGAAAAGGCCTGAAACGCCTGTGTATCTTTTATAAGGTCTGAAGGATACACATGAATAAGTTTGAAAACAAATCTGCCGAACTTTTTACGTGCCTGTCAGTCAGTGTACAAATCAGATTATAGTTTCGATTAGAAAAGCACTGAACGCTTCGCTTTATAACCCATAGATATTTGACACAAACTACACAATCTTAAAAACTTTGGAAGTCTCTACTTAGAGCAGAAAAAATACAGAACGAGATGTACTTTCATTGAAGCATTAGGCTCCATATCATTCGACTATGTCTCTACTTTTGAGAAACTTTAGGAAGACAGAATGTTCAAAATTCGGTACTTAGTTGACCATAGATTGCTAAAGAGTTTGTAATACTTATTTTGACAACTAGATGTATGTATATTCTCAAAGGGTCTCTTTTTCAGTACAAAGTGCCATCATTTCAAAAATTTTCTACTTTTGGTTTGTTACATATTTACCAGCCGTTTCTGAACCATCACTTTTCAGTTTCCCAAGTCAGAGACGTATGATGTCCCCCAATAGGTATGGTGAGTTCAAGCTAAAAACTTACCCATAGACATGAGTTGAATGACTTAACTGATGGTACAACACAATAACGATCTACGAAGGAAGAACACCCTGACCAATTTGTACAAGTAGATAACCAATGAAGTGCTGTTGGTTATAGTTTAAAAAATAAGAACCTACAGATCAATCTAAGCCTTTGTATTAGAGATACAACAACACCACAGAACCACACAGATTGCCCTAAGATTTAGACACTCAAATTCAGACCAGAGGATTATAAGTTTAGGCTCCTTTTTATCAATCAATGTTTGGTCACGTATATTGTGATCTTAGCATGCCAATAGAAAGACTAACTTACACAGGATTTGTAGTGTGTTTGGTAGCTAAATTATTATTAAGTCCCAGCAGTTATTAATATAACAATTGTTATATATTATGGTACCTTCATGGTTTTTTTAGTTTATGTAAAAGCTTGAAGTCCCCGCAGATACGGGAACCAAGTATCTAGGCAAAATTCCACTTGCAAAACAAACTTGAGATGTTCCTATCAAATGGGAATATGAAGAACTACCTCAGGTATGTTTTACGAAGGCTTATTGAATGATCTCGAGTTAGTCGCCGTAATCTGATTTTCTGTAAGACTACATCATAGATGAGAGCCGGTTTTTCAGGACAACTCATTTAACAGGTCACCGAAAGAACTGTTTGAATATTATTGATCGCCATATTGTGATTCCGGGGTTAACCATACAAAAAGCGGCTTCAGAATCTATACTTTTTTACTCTGACCTATCGCAGATTAAGTAGTCTGATTTTGATGCATAAAATACTGAGGAATTGTCATTTTTGCTAACCAGACCAGGAAAACTCAGAGGAAATAGCAGGCGAGAACAAAAGTCAGGGATAAGCAAACGACACGCGACATACAGGTTTTCACACCGAGTCACCTATTCTTAGAACGCTTTGCCAAGTGACGTCCGCTTTTTCAATTAAAAGACTCTAGATAAAACTAGACACTTTCAGCACCTTACTAGGAAAGGCTAAAACAGGCCGTATGCCTTCTGTTATTAAAAAACTTCTGAAATCTGATCAAACCAATCTAATATCTGATTACCAATGATTCCGACATGCAGAATGCAAAGAAAAGAATAAAATTTAGTTCACTTATTATGCATGCTGAAGACTATTGACAACTAACTATGAAGATACTTAAAGTCAGACTTACACTACAGACCGCGTAACGCAGCATTTTGCGACAGTCGCGCTTTGCCTTACACTTTTAAATCGTCCAAATGTTTCAAATAGTTCTGGACGGAATAGAAGAAGCTTTCGCTCAAAAGGCATCCGTGTCTAGTAGCAGTGAATCATAACTACCTCTAGGCAGAAGCCTAGATATATTAACCATGAAAGAGGAAAAAGAAAAATGTTGGTAAATCATAATAAGATACTATTCTTAGTCCTTAAGAATATCTCAAGTTTTCTCTTAAGGGACTCCTGGGAAGTCCCTTGGACTAGCTCATGCTGCAGCGAATTCCAGCGCTTGACTACTCCCAAGGAGTAGAAGTTGTGTCTACCGTCGGTTTTGCTGAGTTGTATCCCAAGTTTCTGGGTATTACCCCTTAGGTTTGTGTTGAAGCCAAACTCAAGTAGGTGTTTAAGGGGGTTTTCAGAAGTGTTAAAGATGCTGTAAGCCACTAGGAGCTCATCTTTAAGAAGCCTGTACTCTAACGGGTAAGGATTCAGTGACTGAAGTCTCTCTTCATAAGACTTGATCTTGAGTCCCAGGACTAACTTCGTGGCTAACCGTTGGATACGTTCCAGGATGTCCTTTTCCTTTTGAAGCGAAGGAGGTAAATTTATGTCCCTTTGCCTCAAATGGGGACGCATAAAACTGTTGAAGATTAGGTGGAAAGTTCTTCCGTCGAACCGGCCAAAAATGCGCTTCGATATTATCAATGCAAGGTTTGCTCAAGTTTGTCACAGTTAGCGTAAGACTTTACCTAGAAGGCTGCCGACACTTCTAGATTTTTTTCAGTTTATCCCATTTATTGAGCATCTCTCACCAAAGTTTCACATTATCAATAAAATCCAGTAAGTCTGACGATACCTGTTGTGGAAGATTTTTTACATAAAACAGGGAACGAAGAGTCCTAGTACTGAATCCTGAGGGACCCCACTAAGGCATTCCACAACCTGAAAGAAATTGAAGTTAACCCTAATCTTAAAATGTCGATTTTTAGATATGAAGTGAGCCAATAAATTAAAGGTGATTTGATGCCTAATCGCTTGAGCTTATTGACAAGACATTTATAGCTGACCATATCAAAAGCTTTTGAGGAGTCAAGATAAATAATGTTAACCTTGTCCTTGCGATCAAGGATGGTTTCCATCTGTCCACCGCAGTTGGCTGGTTGATTATACAAGAGTGACCTTCTCTGAAACCACGGTGTTAGGGTGAAGAGATGTTTATGGATAATAAATAGTCGTGTAGACCATCGCATATCAGGGACTTCATAATTTTTAAGGGTACAGAGAGATGAGCGAACGGTCGGTAGCTGGAATTTTTGCTGCGTCAACCTCCCTTGAAAATTGGTGTGACGTGAACGTGCTTCCAAATTTCCAGTAATGTACCTCGGCCTGAGGACCTCACGCTGAGCGGCATTGACAAGACAGAAGCTGCTTTCCTCAGTATAGCAGAATGAACCATATGCGGACCAAGAGAGGTGTCTTTTTGGGTGCTGCAGTTCCCGGTACGTCAAGTCAATGCTCAGTTTCACGCCTAAAAGTCCTATGCGGTCGCAGATGAAGCTTTCATCAATATGGCTATTGTGGGTCGGTTGAAATGTTCGAAAGTAATGCTCATCCAGGAGATTAGCGGCATCACCGTCGTTGTTGATCGGGTCATTGGGACCTAGCAATTGGGAAACTCCGGTCTTAGTCTGTCGAAGAGAGTTTGCATAACGGAATAAGCTTTAGGGATTGGAGACAAAGTTCTCGATAAATTTAATCATGCGAAGACCATTCATGTATCAGTTTTATGTTGTTGGAAGACAGCTTGGGAATGATCCAGCAATCCTAACTGCTTGGATCTAGAATTATTGTCCATTCTCTTATCGATTCTTACCAATCTGTTGCCACGATTACCCGAAAAAATCCTTTGGTCAGGTGATTGCTCGATTTTTCGTTACCTTGGATCATGACATTCCAGAAGCCCCGTAGTAGTTTAAACAATCTTACAAACAACCGCCGATTATCACAAGAAGACTGATCAGTATGGACAATGATGTGACTAACTTAGAATATTATAAATTCGGTAGCGAGATTAGGGCAAGTCCACAAGATTAGGTTAGGTCTGTCATTCGATTACCATAGATACACCAATCGTGATCAGAATCTATATCCTACAGGCATACATGATCTGCAAATTTCGAAGATTACAGAACATAAATAATGAATAGCAACTATCTTGATCTGTCATAATTTGACTGATCATTGTTGATTAGCTGTGGGGGTTGTCGGAGATGAATTTTAAGCTAAGGTATTATTGTAAGTAGGGTTTGTGTGATAACTAGAAGCATTCGAATTATTGTACTAACTAGGAGTACCCGATATAGTGCAGTTTACAGAAAGTTGAACTACGTGAGAACAAGTAAACTTGTTATATCTGGGATTAGTAGTCGTCGGGTATTCAAGTGCAAAGAAACCATTAGTTTGTACAAACACCACACCTTGACAACTTTACGATATTCATTCTTACACTCCCCTATTCATACAGTTTCAATCTCGTGTTTAGTTGGAGCAGGTATCATCAGATACGTTTACGTCTATGGCAGCCACAAATTCAGTTTTACCTAAGTGTCTTTCAGGCCTGAAAGTATTAATTAATAGATGCAGTAGTCGTATTTGGCCAAACGGTTATCTGGCTTAATAGGTTGGAAGTCCCATATCACGTTCAATGATAACGTAGTCCTCATTATAAAAATTCTTCAGCAACAAAGACTTAATAGATGAATCAAACATAATCCGCATACAATCCACTTAGGAAAATAATATTTTATGTCATAATGCATTCTATCTTTATTTAAATGAGACAAGTATGACAAACCACCCTACATAAAGTGCTAGAAGTCTCAACAAAAACTCCAAGAACTAAAATTGTTAAAAATTCTGAAGAGACTATGAATAAAGTGGCAAGAGGAAAATAACGCATGCTGTTATTAAAACGAACTCAAACAGGCCAACGAACCTTGGAAGTTAAAATTTCATTACGCTTGAGCAATTAGCGAGTGATCATGATTCCTGTCCAAAAATGATGGATCTCATCGAAGTCAGTAGTAATGTTTGAAGTAACACACTACATAAAGACAACCTACTACCATCCACAACAGGATTTTTTTGCTGAATACTGATAAGAAAAAACTTGGTTACAGCAATGCATCTCTCAAAGTTTACAGGGTACTGAGTCGATTATTATTTTAGATGACTGTATTCAATGTTAAACTGTCGGTACAACAGAATTCTCAGAAAGGGGTATTTCAACAAGTTTCCCTTACGAAAAGGGAAAAGAGCGAAGGAAACTAATGACTGCTTGAGTTAGGTAGATAAGTTAAGTGTTGTCAGTGTCATAGGCTAAATTTGGACAATAAGACGAACTAAATGTAGGACCATTAACAATGGACTACTATTCCATACCAGACAAGAACTCATTAATTTCAAGGGGTTGTAAAGAGCTAGAAATTATCATGCATACATTGAAATCGTCCGCATATTTAACGAGTATTCGCTGCGGAAGATAGATCATGCGGAAACAAAGAGGGAGAAGAACAGCGCTTCGTGGCACATCTTCATGAGACAGTAGAGATGTTGAACACTTTCCGAAGTAGACAATGGAGCACGTTTATGAGTCTCATATATTTCCTCATCATTAATGAAAACCAAGTCTAAATGGGTATCAAAACGAGTGGGAAAGTCTACTGCATTTCGATGACCTAATAATGAAAGAAAGATAGTCACATGAATTAATTTCACCACATACAATTGAAAATGAACTATTGAAGGTAGTAACAGCAAATTCAGTGAATTTATCAACGAAAACAGATAGTGCAGATGATGTGCAGTTTGTAGTCACGTAAATGTCGGTGACATGAACACAATTGTATTTATTCACGTGTTTCAGACGACATCTTAAAGTTAAACAGTCGAAAAAGCCATTTGAAAACTTAAAATATGAAAAAATTAGATTGACACCAGTTCTCGCCTACAAATGTGGCTAAACCGCTCGAACACCTTTTCTTACTGCTTGATCAATCTGGATGATAAATATTGAAATCTTGTAGTGATATTAAGAAAACGTTTTGTAAACTATTTAACCGAGATACTTGAATTGACTTAGAAGGAATCTAAAATAATTCACCTTGCCAATCAGTAGTTAACAGTTATAATTGAGCAGTTTAGGAATCGGCATCTGAATAAAACTAATTCATTTCAATGCATATTGATGGCTGCCACGATGTTTCGGATTATACATTTTTGTATCTTGCAGGGCAATTGGTCGTAAACTTTTCATAAATGCGTTTGAATAGGTTGTGTGACTAATAGACATAGTAATGTGTTAAAACAAAATGAAAAAGATAACCTGTCGTAATATTTAGATGACAGGAACAGGTAGCCAAAACATTCAAACAGACCACCGTATACAGAAACACAACAACAAAAAGCTATCCTTTAATGGTCTTCTTAAATCGGACCACATTTTGAAATCGCTGAAATTCAAACGCTTTGATTGCGCACAGATTTTGTATTATCACATTTCAGAATTGTTTCATGTGACCCCATGATAACTTTTGGAGTATTTTATTTTGGTCACAACACAACACTGATTACATAGTATATATCTATGCGACATAAACGACAAACCTCCATCAAATCCGAAGATAAAAAGACGTTATTTATTTCCAGACTTTATATTTACAAAAAATAACTGTATCAAAGTCAAAATTACTGGGGGGGGGGAATGCTCAGTACTACAGTTTCAATAAATTTTCCATGAGATAATGTTGGGAATTTGCGAACGAACGATTGGAGACAAAAACAAAACGATCTCTTATTATTTGGGAAGTCAGTATACACCTTAGAAAAAGACTTGACTAACCAATCAACCTTTAAATAATCTGGGATATACATCATAATACAATTTATTTAACTCTCATTGTGACGTACAATACAGATACTGAGATTATTTCCAATGAAAAAAAACAAAAAAACAAAAGGAACAAACAAGTACGACAGCATGAAAGAGATACCTTGATCGATCAAAAACAGACTAAGAATAAGTATATTCTACACAGTTAGTGTGTACATACATAAATATAAGTAATATGATGTATATTTTTTCTCAAAAAACAAAAAAAGAAGAAGACAGGTTTGAACGCTATTTGACAAATAATTTTTCAAACATTTTTACACTATTTATAAGTATTTAAGTAGAATAATTTGTACATCGAAATTTTTGAGCAATCAATGAAGTTAGATGGGATACGTGTACATTTTTTGTGATTTATGTACTTCTGTATTAATGCATTGAAGATCTGAAACATAGTAATGCAAAAATGAGAAATAAGTTTTTATTTTTTATTGAAATATATAACATCATGTTAAAGTTTGATTAACAATGGATTACAACATGAGTATCTTTTCTTATATAGGACTAGATAGGTCCGTTGATAAAGTTCACACTGGAAATGGAACTTATTACTTCTCACTCCAAACACAGAATCGTCCACTGATAAACTCAATTCATATCCCCATTCATAAATATGATGTCTAATAGTAGTAGAAGTATTAGTAGCAATAGTAATCTACCAGTCAAGATTTCAAATTAAAACCTCTGCGATTCTTCACGAGGCTAAACACTACTGAGCGGATTCTTGTTTAAAAAATACCTCCATTTGTAAAGTTCATTCAATTTCATGTCATACATTAATGGTAAAATTGTGATGAATCCTTTTAGATTGGATACATGGACTGGTGGATCCTATATCAGCGAGGTAAAAGTACACCATGCGAAGCCTGCATGTCATGAACTCAGTCTCTTGGGGGTCCTAGTGTACATACCCACTAAGTGTTCCAATATCCTCAATGATTTATAGGTTGAAGTTATACATATATCGAAAAAGTGTAAAAAAACTTTTACCTGGCAGAATAGAGAGTAGTACAAATAGTGTTATTCAGAAGACATATGTGGTAAACATGTTTGATCGAATTCACCCCCAAAATTATTACATTTATCAGAGTGATTATGACAGGATAGATCTTCATGATTCAAAGCACTGATAGCAGTAGTGTCAATTTCTTTGATTGTCGTTGTGACAGGAGTTTGTGACAATGTAGTAGATTTTGTTAATGAACTTCTTACTGGGATTATATTTACACACTTGGCTGATGTCATCGGTGGTGGTGGTGGTGGCGCCGGCGATTTTCTAAAAGATTGCGATACAACTAAATGAATTGGGGGGTTCGGACTAGACAAAAATTAGTATACAAAATAAACTTAGTTAAAAGGTAGAAATTTTTACTAAAAATAAGCAAATTTTCTAAGAAAACTATTACATAAACCATGACATTTCATTTCCACCTATTAAGAGTATTCTAGTAATGTTCTAAATCGGAACATACAGCTGACGAGTAAAAAATTAGATTGGAGGGAAGCAATGAGCGATTAAACTAGTACGTGGCACCAGTTTATAAATTCAATAATTTTTGTTAGAGTACGAGTTGTTGGCAAGTGCAGACTATTTGGTTGGGCTTTGAGTGAGAATCATGGTTGATGGATAGTAAAGTTGGTGAACACTGGTCGAAACCGACCGCAATGGTACAGATAAACTATTCATTTTTCGCTACTTTTATTTCGTACACTTGTTTCGCGAATTCATTGCTTCGCTTAGAGAAATCCAGAGCTCCCAATTTTGGGGAAGCTGCTATAGTAAACTTTGGGGAAATTCCCCAAAATTCCCCTACATTTGGGGTTTTTCTCCAAAATTTCCCCAAACTTGGGAGATTGGGATAGTTTCTATGTATAGTCGATTTTACTATAATAAACACTAGTATAATCTTAACTTCACTAATGTATCCTGTTAGTTTCACCTTGTGAAGTGAGCGGAGTGCAATTTGGACAGATGTGTATTTATGCCAAGTCATATCCTGATTATGACTGACTTTAATAGATATATCACTGATTAGTATTAGTATAAAAATGTATGTTTCCACAAGATAAACTCATAGACCTGTTGTAAAATGCTTGAATTCGTAATTATCTGATTAGATTCCGAAGGAAGTCAAATTTTAAAAGGAATTATCGTTTAGAAATTACGAAATTATGAGTGGATATACAATCCAAATGATACACAATTGCATTTTTATTACTCAGTAACAATGTAGAATTTCGTACGTACGTACATCAGTCCGAGTTGCCATACTATATTAGCACATAGATACACAATTGTCGATTTAGATACGATTTCTACAAACTAACACTCCAGTGTCATTGACTAAGCTATAGATTAGACTGGAATTAATCAATATCATACAGAATTCCTATGATGAATTAAACTGCAAAATCGTTCATGGAGGACAGTTGACAAACTCCTTCGAAGTAAAGACCGGTGTCAGGCAAGGTTGCTTACTTTCACCCTTTCTCTTTCTCCTGGTGATCGACTGGATCATGAAGATGTCAACATCTGAAGGGAAGCACGGGATACAGTGGACGTCTAGGATGCAGTTGAACGATCTAGACTTCGCAGATGATCTGGCTCTTCTATCGCACATGCAATAACAAATGCAGGAGAAGACAACCAGTGTAGCAGCAGTAAATCTCAACATACACAAAGGGAAAAGCAAGATTCTCCGATACAACACAACATGCAACAATCCAATCACAATTAACGGAGAAGATTTGGAAGATGTAAACGCCTTTACATATCTGGGCAGCATCATTGATGAATATGGTGAATCTGATGCAGATGTGAAAGCGCGAATCGGCAAAGCAAGAGCAACATATTCATAACTGAAGAACATCTGGAACTCAAAACAATTGGCAACCAACACCAAGGTCGGAATTTTCAATACAAATGTCAACACAGTTCTACTGTATATGGGGCCGAAACCTGGATAACTACAAAAGCCATCATCCAGAAGATACAGGTGTTTATTAACAATTGCCTACGCAAAATACTTCGGATCCGTTGGCCGGACACTATTAACAACAACCTACTGTGGGAGAGAACAAACGAGATCCCAGCGGAGGAAGAAATCAGGAAGAAGCACTGGAAGTGGATAGAACACATATTGAGGAAAGCACCCAATTGTGTCAAAAGACAAGCCCTCATATGGAATCCTCAAGGCCAAAGGAAAAGAGGAAGACTAAAGAACATATTACGCCGGGAAATAGAGATAGACATGAGAAAAATGAACACAAATTGAATGGAACTAGAAAAGAAGGTCCAGGACAGAGTGGGATGGAGAATGCTGGTCGGTGGCCTATGCTCCATTAGGAGTAACAGGCATAAGTAAGTAAGAAGATATTTTTACTACACTGTAGTTATCCAGTTTATAATAAAGTTGGCATAGTTGTACTATTTATTTGCTTTTAGTGACTACAATTTTACCACTGACTCATTGATCCCTAACAATATTGATATGATTAAACAGATCTAACAGGATAATAAGATCGGCAAAAAAATATAATTGTTATTCAACAGAACCTTACTGAGTTGTGGATTCTTAAATGAAAAGCTCTGACCTATGATCGCAAAGAATCAATATCTATGATAAAAGACTATTCTTTCAAAAATGCATTTTTTAAAGTGAAGAACCGATTCATTATGTAGCGTTGATTGCTTTAGCAATAAGGTTTATCCCGACCACATGTACTGACATGAATTAAAACAAGCTTTAGAAAAACTCCCACCCCACTGACTCGATGGTGTAAAGAGTTGGATTCTACTTCGGTCGGTTTCTATCAATCACTTAAGGTTAAAACTTGTTTGCTTACATAGTTATCGATTTATATGCACAATCCAATTTGACATCTGATTGAGTATCATGGAAAACACGTGCAGTAACTAAATTAATCAACCATAATCCTTCTTAAATTATTACTAACTGTGTCAATTAATGAAGAATGGTTGATCTTGGTAACAATGAACTAGAAACCAATGATCTACATTTTCAATTTTAACTGATTTGGAGTGTAGTTCATTATTAATCAATCCCATTGATGATAAACTATCTCATTATGAACGTAGTTGAAAACCACGATCTCTCACTAGAAGTTTGGGCGCAAATTCTCTATTCTTGCTCTTGGATTCACTTTCCCTTCACATGAAACCAATACACCTCCAAACTGTACTTAAACCTTCGAACGACTAAAGACCCAAACCATTGATCTAGAGGTAAACTATTGAGAGAAAAAAAACTGTTTATTGCTAACCAATAAGAAAAATTTCATCAGTATTGTGATGATCATTATCATCAAAAAAAAATAACTACCTGCTACGTTGTGGTGATATATGAGATCTCAATGATGGTTCAATTAAATGATTATTGGGATGAATAGATAATGGTGATGTAACTAATAGAGAATTATGATGATGATCATGATGATGAGAATGAAGAGAATGATTTAAAATTTTGTCATTTGTTGAATTTTGTTCGAATTGATTAGTAATGTATTCATTGTCATGGACAATTTGTAATGCGATTGGGAGACTTGATGAACTTTTGAATGATTGTGAATTTGCTTTAGTGGTTGTTGTTGATGATGATGATGTTGTTGTTGTTGTGGTGGTGGTGGTGATGGTGGAGGTGGAAGATGTAAACGTAGATGATGATTTAATCGATTGTAAAGATGTTTGAGATGAGTAGTTTTGATTATTGGACGAAGTGAATATGTTTTCAGATCTAATGATATCAGTTAATCAAAATATGTATATAAGAATTTTAGAAAACCATGAAATATATGCAACATAGTTGATTAATTAGGTAAAGAGTTTGAGCCATATTTTGTTAGTAGAAGGGCTAATGATCCTTCCTAACTAAACTAAACTACAAAGGAGAGAGTATGATTTACATGTTGTTGAATTGTTCGTTAGAATCGACCACTGTGAATTTAGTGGGATACCGATATGTAGATTACAATCATTACACATTGATCTCAGTTGAGGTATTAGTACAAAATTAAGACACTATTTTATCTTAGTAGGGGATTCCTCTGCTTCATTGAATACCAATTTTGACTGTAATTGTACAGTTGGACCCATACTCAGTGATTCTACTGATGACATAAACGTCCAGTGTTTAATCGTTGTCCAGTTCATGAATGCGATCTGCTGAGGAGTCACATACTAAGATAAAACATCTGTCCAGTACTTTCAGATTTTCACCATTTGATATCCAAATAAAGACTAGAGGAATAGCAACTTTCAGAACTAATTTATGTACTATTATTATATATATATATTCTTACTGTATAATTAAGTAAACGGACATGTGTATATATTCCTTACATTATAAGATTTCGATCATCCAAATGACTATTACCAGTTTATTATTTATAGTCTCATCTATTTTTTATTTTCTAGTATGATGTGGTCGAGTATTTCTGTCTATAAAGTACATATGCTTGAAATATGATATTTATATAGTGCAGGCTCATTACTGTGTTCTGGACTCAACAGGCAGGACAAGGAGAGACTTTAGGGAATTGGTAGTAATTTGATACTACTAGTGCTGGTTGGCATGTCATTGGTTAGTTTACTTACAAAGTTACAAAAATCGATACTCTGATTGGTGATTTTATCATGTGATATCAGTGAACGACAATATCATAACACAGAGACACTTCAAATGAGATAAATATGTGACAAATAAAGCTTGTACATTGATGTGATTTCAAAGGGGAGTATCGGTTCCTTCAATACTACAAACAAACCGTATAGAAGAAGAAGTTTTATGTCTCATATCGAATGCTTTTCACTATTTTACACCAAACTATATACCATACTTATAGATGGTAAACTTTAAAATTATGTACATCTTGAAGGCTTTGAGTGGTCCATAGAAACTCTTAAGAAAAACTGTCTCTCGTTGTATTTGAGTTTATTCCTTGAAAGGATCAGACAGTTGTCGTAACGTTAATATGACATACAATATAAACTACTAAGATATTAGAATGATTTTTGTTGTTGTTGGAAATACTGTTGTATTGGCTTTTAGTTTGATGTAGCAATCCCAAATAGAGATTAGTTGTCACTGACTAAAACTGAATTCATCTATTTTATACTTTTAAGAGGATACAGTGATGTATCATAGATTCAATTTATACCTTTGTATGAATTGCATCGATAATAAACAGGCCTATTTACATGGGAATTTTCACAGAAATCATTCAACCGAAGAGTTTGACGACTAGGATCCAGTTTCGGTTTAAGCACCCGGGCAGTATCACAGCCCTCACACAAATCAAATGAGATTTGTGTGGCGCATATGTATCTGGTACCCGCTTGTACCAATACTTATATGTTCAAATCAATCAAATCAGGATCTAGCTGTGAAAAATTTTTACTTTCTCGGAATTTATAATTTACCGAAGTTTAAAGAAAGCTGAACGTTGAATATACACTATCTTCAAAGATCTTAAAAAAGACTATACTATGACAGTTATTTTCATGCCGTTTAGCTATATAATACAATTAAGAAGGGTGAATATATATTTGTAAAATCTCAGCGATCGTATTTGAAGTAAATCCAACGTTTGGTTCGGCAATCTGGTTCAAGCTTTTTAAGGAAATATAATCAAAATGATCGAATACAAATAGGTAAAACGTTCCTTGTTGGAGACGGCTGGAGGAAACTTAGGGGCGGCCAAACCCTTTTTTTTCTAATTCTTTCTTCTTGCACTATATCCTTATACACAATCTATCTTTTATAAATTACTAACACTGAATTAACCACATCTATGAATTCGATGTACATCTTGTTGTGCTAATGAGGTATGGTAACTTGGACCGATGCATATATGTGGCTGGTCCTACGTTGTAGCTGACTGACAAGGATCCTTGATTAACAATATACTAAATAGGTCATCAAATTATACTTAAAGTAGGTATTTGCTTTAGTGTGTATGAGATATGTGGTGTGAAACGATGACAGATTGTGTGTATTCGTAAGTGGATCTGAGATGTTAGAAGAAATCTCACTGACTATTTATCGTCTTTGATCAGTGGATAATAAGTGATAGGTTAAATGGAATAAAGAGTTCAAGTTTACTTATAAATTATTAGTTGCCATGGGACAGCTGATTGTATTCCATCTCTCCTATTAATACTATTTAGATTTGCTTCGACTGTTAGTCTTTCTTTGTAAGAATGAAAACCTTTTTGAAGGATTCTTGTGACATTGAAATCAATTGTATGACTCAATTTTATCGAGTGTAATGCTATCGCTGATTTGTTTCTAAGTTTTCTTATATCATTTGATGATTTAGGAATATGCTTTAAGTACACTTTGTGTTCTTTCACCCTCAAATTCAGTTGTCATGATATTTCACCTACATCAATAGCACTACAATTATTACATTTGATTTCGTAAACACAAGTTTGTTGTTCCTCCTTGTGTTGGATTAGATTTCTGATGTGTTTTTTTTTTGAGTATTAAAATTCATAGAGGAGTTTATGTGTTGAAAACAATATCAGTTCGATAACTTTCTAAAAAGATATACAAATGTATTGCTAAAAATTCTAGAGGTTAAGCGCTCGCGTGCGAGACTGATAGGTCCTGGGTTTGAATCTCGCGAGGCGGGATTGTGGATGCCTACTGCTGAGGAGTCCCACAGTAGGATAAAACGGTCTCCAGTGTTTCAAGGTTTTCTATGATGTTCATGATCTCAACTATTAAGATTACAAATGATTCAAAACTTTTTCCCACTAACAAACTACACTCCATATGCAAAAAACAAACAAACAAACAAACACGCAGAGTCAATGATTCCAATCTAAACTGACAAACTTCTACTACTGTAAATGATAACACAACTAAACCATTTGATAATTCAAATCTCTTATGTTAATTCAATATTACAGTAACAAAAAGTAAGAAGCGCCTAATCAATCAATTCAGTCACAGAAACAATTAAAAAATCGCATGCAAAATGTTAATTAATTAAGCGGTATAAAAGCAGAGATGAACAGCGTAGTGCAAGCACATATATATGTACACACACACACACATTTATAAACGCATAAGCATGAATGGTTATAGTGATAGTTAACTATCAAGTAATATCATTGAATAAAGTACTGTGAAAATTTTGTGATCTGTTCAATGAACCGAATGAACTGAGATCACGAAAATCTCATTTCTCAAATGTATTCCCTTCAAAATATGCGTCTACTTATTTGTGGTAATACACGTTTTTTTTATTGTAGAACACATCCTTTGGAATTTCCCAAAATTACAGTCTACAGTTGTTTTATTGTTTTAGTGACGTTGCGGTTTTCCTGAGCAATCCCAAACGTATCACGTGGTTTCAAGACTACATGGTGGGTAAGATGAAAGTGTGGGCAAGGGGGTTACTGATAAGTCTTGTTAATTGAACGGTAGATCCGGTTCCTAAGCTATTTTCGTAACCATCAAGCTAGAACTATACAAGCGTAAAATATGCGAGAAGCACTTTACTCCAAAGGTTCCTTTGAATACAGAAAATATGGGGTTTTTATAGTATTTTAGATGTTCTTGGTTTTCTCGAAAATTCTGGAATGATACTTAACATAGTAGCAGCATAGTAATCAGCCAATTAGAAACTCTACATATGACTTTTCACTTTCTTGATGTTTCTGGCTAAACCTCTACTGGACCCTGATTGGATAAAATACATCTTAGTGTTTCCTGAGCCTTTATTGGCTTTTGCGAGAGTTTTCTGGATCATCCCAACAGTTACTGTAAGTAGCTTATTTATCTACTTAAATGTATCATTCATATGTCCCTGTCTGAGTCACTCTCACAACTTATATACACATATCAGTCGTAAGAATGATTATTTAGCTTTTAGTGAAATAAAAGATACATACACAGTTTCTACCTTCCTCTTTGAGTGTGGCTGATTATATAAGCGCTGGTTGGATCGGATCGAATAACAATGTAGAATCTTTACATAGCCATTCCACATTTGAAAATAAAATAAAACTGGAGTGGGGCAAGTTTGGTAAGTAGGAAACGTGATTTAACATGGTGATCAAATCACCCTAAATTCTGTAAAATGAAAATTTCAGAATCTCAATTCCAATACCTATTCGACAGATGACAGGAACTATAAATCCTAACTATTACAAATATAGGCGACTGTGATAGAACAGACTCAATACAATGAGTGACTGAATCCATTGCAATTAATCATCAACATCCAAAGCTAAGCTTGGTAGTTTAACTCATGCGTTTAGTGGATAGACAACGTCGGGAAACTTTATTCTTCTTCTGGTAAAATTCTGAACTCCTCTCTAATCAGGTTTAAAAAGCCACACAAAGGATGGATACTTTCAAGCTCAAAAAATGAAACATCCGTTCCGTGCAGTATGATCTCTAGCGTGATCCCAGATATTGATAGAGACTATCATCACACACACACACACACAGTGATCTTATACTTTGCCATAAAGGAAACTCTTAAACTTGTGTGTGTGTGTGTACCCAGATCAACACACATGCAATTCTTAACATGCGAAAAATCGCTAGCAATCAAAAAGCATTTAGCAAAAGTGCAAATAGAAAAAAATATTATGAAAGAAGCAGAAAAAAACCGATTTGCTTATTGTATACCACATACTACTATTAATACTACTCATAATAATAAAACTTAAACCTACCGATCCAATATTGAATCTATACAGTGTATAAAAAGGAGAAACTTTAAGGATGAGTTAAAATGATTATTATGGTGAAATTAGAAAACAAAAAACAAAAAAATTTTAACTACACAAGTGAAAAATGTTTGATGAGTTAAATGGGATCACCATATTGATGATTATGATATTCAGAGTTTAATAATGAAACAACTAAAAATGGAAATATTTTAATAGTTGAGATCATCAGTCCATTGAAGCTAGACTATCATGGAAAACCTGGAAGCACTGGACGGCCGTTTCGTCCTAATGTGAGACTCTTCAGCAGTGCGCATCCACGATCATGATCTCACGAGATCTGAACTCAGGACCTATCAGTCTGGCACGTGGGCGCTTAACCTCTAGACTACTGAGTCGGCATCCAAGTGTGTTAATGTTTAGCCTCAACTAATCCACGAAATTGAGTGACACATCCACCATTATTATCAGTAAGTTACTATCTCATAACAGATTCGGTTGAACTCCACTGGTCACTGCTACTCACTAGAAATCCAGGAAATACCTCTTGAAGCTAGTCATTAGTGAGCATATGTTGATTAATATCAGAGGGGGTTTTTTGGATATCATAGTGATTTTAATAGTTGAGATCATGATGTGTCGCTCAATTTCGTGGATTAATTGAAGTTAGACATTAACACCGTTGGATGACGACCAGCTCAGTGGTCTAGAGGTTACGTGCTTGCACGCGAGACTTAAACGTCCTGTGTTCGAATCTCGCGAGGCGGAATCGTGGATGCGCACTGCTGAAGAGTCCCACAATAGGATGAAACGGCCCGTTCAGTGCTTCCAGGTTTTCCATGGTGGTCTAGCCTCAATTGACTCATGAATTCAACTATTAAAAATATTACAATATCTACAAAACCCCTTCGGATAATAAAACACACAGCATATTTGGTGAGGTTTATGGGAGATAGATGAAAGTGAGTTACACCAATTTAGTAAAACAAAGAATTAGAAAACTACTGCAATTATATACATACTACGATACTAAGATGAATATCAACAATGATTATATATATTTATATTTGTATAATAGAACTGTGAATTTACAAATAATAAAAACAGTGACTTCTTCAATTAGAAATAATTATCCAACTATAAGAACTTCATAAGATATTTCAGATGATAATTTAAACCTAGCAACATAACAATGCCTCGGGTTTGACAGCCTCCTTCAACTTTTTACGAACTACTCTTACAACAGTAAACATTGCACTTTGTCGAGGTGGGGAATTTAGTTGAGCATACAACAGCACACCTCAGTCGATAAAGATTTACAACCATATCAACCGATTTAGCATGGTTACCTAGTATTCTGAGCCTAAACTCAGCATCGGTAACTCGATAGACCCAATATATAAGAGCTTTGAAAGTAATACGGTGATGTCAACACTGGAAAACAGATAGAAACAAATTACCATATAAGATATTTTGCATCTGTGTTTAAATGTTACTGACAACGGTGGTGGATATTTCCTATGATTTCATTGGAAAAAAATACGATGGATTTTCGTGGCTAACAAGAAATTCACTGCATATTTGCCGATGACGCAATAGATTTACTGGGTGTCATGATCGATACTAATATTACTTGCTGACTTAAAATACACAGACGATATAGTTGTGTTTAGTAAAAAATCTTCTGACCACCTTAAACAACACTGCAAACATATTTGGGATGCAATTTTCTTCCTCTAAATGTAAAATCACACTTCAGGATTGATTTTCGTCATGGTCTAAATTAACGATAGGAGATTAAGTGGTTGAACGCATAGAGCGCTTCACTTCTGATGTAAGAGGAAATTAGAACAAAGCTAGAAACGGCTAAACAAAAAACATGTCAACAGACCATAAAGTTATTGAGAATTGGACTTAGCCACGTTAATAGGTATAGACTACCTAGTTGGTGTCCACGTGATTATCGTAATCAGTGATTGGAGACTTTAGGTGACATGGTTCAAAATCGTTTGCAATGACACAGGTGCATCTATTCTTTGTCTTTCCTGAATTCTTATCTTCTGAACGCCTTATAACCGTTTTTCGTGGTATATTTCAGTAATTTATACTTTCTTAAATCGTATCTTTGATATCTAATCTTTTCGATTATCAATTATTCTATTACTACCTCTATTATTCTGGGTTTAAGCTTAACAACTTCATCTCTCTGTGCTATTGAGGTATGGCAACTTGAACTAATGTACAAACATACAAGTTCTACGTTGTGACTGACTGAATGATGTTGTCAGTCAGTCAGTAACAACGTGGAACTTCGTACGTACGTACATCAGTTCGAGTTGCCATACCACATTAGCACAGAGTTTCAGTTATCGATTCAAATCCCATAGTGGTAGAGGTACTGAAAGTATAAGTAGAGATAGGGGACATTAAGGTTTGATGATGTTAATAAAGGAGTATAGTCCAGTGGAATAAATTGGGAAAGAAAATAAAGGACATGAAGAATTCAGAAGATTAGAGTTTGAGAGAACACAAAGAGTGGATGCACCTGCGCCATTGCAAACGATTTTGAGCCATGTCATTCAAGGTCTCTAACCATCGGTTGCTATCATCTCGCGGTCCCCAACCAGGTAGTCTACACCTAACAACATGACTCAGTCCACTTGTCAGTGACTTCATGGATTTGTGCCATGTTTTGATCTGGCCGCCCCTACCTTTCTTCCAACCTACTCCTACACCATAAAACATAGCACGTCGGGGCAGTCGGTGGTCGGGCATGCGCAAAACATGTCCCAGCCATCTCAAATGATTGAGTTTCACTACTTCATCAACCGATTTGCCATTCTTACCTAGTACCCGTGTCCTAACAACTGAGTTACTTACTCGGTGGTCCCAGGATATACGAGCAATGTTTCGAAGACATCTATGGTCAAATACTAGTAACCTACGAATATCCTCTACTCTTACTGGCCATGTTTCACTGCCATAAAGTAGGACGGAACGAACTGCTGCGCAGTAAACACGTCCTTTGGTTGATAGACGGATATCTCGCCTACGCCACAAATGACGCAAGTTGGCAAAAGCTAGTCGAGCCTTTTGTATCCGTGCTGAGATTTCGTCACACACCAGACCACAAGGGCTGATGAGACTTCCGAGATAAGTGAAGCGGTCGACACGCTCAACTACTTCACTCCCTATCACTAGTTCGGGTGTCGACGCAACCCAATCCTGAAGTAACATTTTGCATTTCGAGGGAGAGAATCGCATGCCGAACAGGCTTGCATTGTTGCTTAGAGTGGTCAGCAGACTCTGCATTCTGTCAGCGTCTTCACTAAATAGAACTATGTCATCGGCATATTCTAAGTCAACAAGTGGATCTCCCGGTAGAAGTTCGACTCCTGGAAATTTAGATGAGGAAAGTGTCATCTCTAAAAGGACGTCAACGACAAAGTTAAACAAGAATGGAGAGAGTGGACAGCCCTGACGAACACCACTTGAGGTAATCAATTCTGATAACAGTTCACCATAAGCTCTCACTCGACCAGTTGTGTTCGAGTAGAGAGCCTTTATAAGGTTGACGTACTTCTTTGGTACTCCCTTCAGTGACAAACATTGCCATAGAACCTTACGATCAACAGAGTCAAATGCCGCCTTAAGGTCGAGAAATACTACCATTGTGGGACGTCTGAATGTGTATCTATGTTCTAGGACCTGACGTAATGTGAATATTTGATCAATACAACCACGTCCAGGTCGAAAACCAGCCTGGTTTTCTCTAGTCTGCAGATGTATTTAACATCAGCACGGTGAGATAAAATCGACACGGTGAATAGCAACAGAGCCAAAATAATGCACATGCATACCAAGTTCTACTTTGCAACTGACTAACCTTTAGATTCAGTATAGCCTCAAACATCGACAATTAGACAACCCCCCCTTACATACGCTCTTAATAGTGAACACAAAAATGATATGTAAAAGCCAAAATAAACTTTTTAGCAATTATACTGTTTAGTATAACTTCCACGTATACAATCAGCCCCCAAATGCCCTGGTATGGCCGAGAGTGGGGAGAGTCCGCTCTCCCTCTCCAAATGCTCTCACATGGCCACGCATATATAGCCTCTACCAGGGAAGTCCTACTCACTGCCTTCTCACACCATGGGTGTTGTCTACGAAAATGAGAGGACGAAAAGCGAATGTCCGGCGCTTTAATCGGATCCAAAACCAATGGTACACATGGGCTGGCTCCAGTATTCTGAAGGAACAAATAGCGTATGAACCAATCGTCGGTCACCGGCTACCATGGGACTGCATCTCCTCACGATGCTCCACTGCCTTGTGGATCAGACGTTCAGGTCGAAGGCTCGAGGTGTAGCCTCCTAAGAAAACCACCTGTTTCAATTTGGGCACCCGGGCAGTATCACAGCCCTCACGCATATCAAATGAGATTTGTGTGGCGCATATGTACTTGGTGCTTCCTTGTACCAATTTCTATGTGTTAAAATAAATAAATAAAATATAAACAATCACATACCCTGTTTATATTAACCCATTTATTATTTTGATGGGGTTTTTTTCTGAGTTGGATAATTTGATCGTAGAGCCTTCATCGTTCCACGATCGTCATTCCGTCGATCCACGATCAAACCATCCAGCTCAGAGAAAAAAAACTCCATCAAAATCATCCACCTGAGCTATAAATCTTCTCCACTATCCCATTTATTATGAAAGTTTTATATTTAAATATTATCTGGTTAATTTTTCAATCGATAAACAATATTTCAATAATGAATACTATGAAAAGTAAATACATTTCAATGATGAACTGAAATGTAACTTTGGTTTACATAGTTATGCTTTCATACCTTCGTTCTTTGATAACAATCGTACAGAGGTTAATTTTGATGACTTAGCTTCAAGCTTAATCCAAGTTCTATAAGCATAGATAGATAGTGGCTAGCAGTGGAATCCAGGACGCGCGTGTCGTCCTATTTGGGACTCGTCGGCTGGATGTACCTGCATCTCAGAGTTGAAATTCACTCCGGGACTCGAACCCAGTACTGTTCGCTTCAAACGCCATCTCGTTATCTACTTAGCTACTGAGTCCTGATAGCCACTTACTTGTGTAATGGGGTGAATTTTAACTCATTTGATAAACATACAAAAATATAATATTGAGAAGTCAAGCAAACTCAGTTACAAAGTGATAAACTGAATCATGAATACTCAAATGAAAAGGATTGAAAAGAAAAAAAACAAACAAAATATCCATTTGTTTTAATATTGAGCTTACTGGTCAACTGAAAAGGATAGCCAATAAGCGGTGTAGTATACACTGGTTCTATAGTATTTTCACCATTTTTAATATGGTTATATTTTTCCATATTAGTAGCAGTACTATTACTATTAAATATACTACTGATAGAATTATGAGTGGTATTGGTAATTTCACTCATAGTTCCATTTCTATCATCCACAACAACTGGAGCGGTAGATAATGGTAAAGATAACTGAGCTATTGGTCGAAGAATATTTGATGAATGTATTGGAAATAAACTTGAATAATTAATAATCATTAATTCGACAGCAGTTGAAGCGAATTTTGTTGACATAATCGCAGCGACAGATTCTTCACGTGAACGAAATAATGATGGTGCGAATACAATACCTAGATTACTTGGGTTCATGTGATTCATTTGACTGTAGGCAGCAACGCTATATATTAGAATAGTTGTGTGTATTCGTAAGTGTTTACAACAGAAAACAGAAGAAAAACGAAAATTAGGTATTAGATTGATATGAATATATTTCAGAGAATAAAACTGCATATATACAGTGAAGATTTGCCATAGTTTGCAAGTACTCATAAATTTGAATAGGTTACGTGTTCCGTGTAGCTTTTAGGTAGTACCTACTAATATTTCACTTAAGGCTTTGAACAAGTAGGATCAAATGACTGACTGGTAGAGATGAACTCCATGTCAATGTGACATATAAGAAAGGATTAGTATGACGACAAGAATAGATAAACACAAGAATAAGAAGACCATAAATTTTGTTACCCCTAGTAACTTACGTCTCACTGAATCTCAGGATTAGTTTAAAAAATTAAGATCTAAGAAAAGACAGATTTAATGCACCTGCACCATTGCGTACGATTCTAAACCATGTTACATAAAGTATCCGATTATTTCTTGCGATAATCGTACAGACTGCAACCAGGTAGCATGTATCTATTAACATGACTCATGACAATGATCAATGGCTTCGTGCACCAATGCCATACCTTGGTTTAGCCGGATCAAGCTCCGTTCCAATCTAATTCAATATCAGTAAGAAGCATTCATTGAGGTAGGCGGTTGTTAGGCATATGCAACACGTGTCCCAACAAAACTAATCGATAAAGATTTACAACTTTACCGACTGAATTGTTATCTTTCACCAATACCATATGTCTAACCTAGGTATTGCTTTCTGACCGTAGCTGCTACCTTGACGTGGTGGTCGGGCTTGCCTATCTTGATGACCCGACCGAGCTATATTAGCTGGAACATATGTTCCTGTAGGTTCCACCATACCAAACAGGTCGATTGGAAAATGGTACGACTAGAAGCAGCAACTCAAGGTCTGAGGGCTAAGTCGTACTGCTGACTGTCGAAAGATGTGACAGCAGTAAGGTGTTTCCCTCGGGAAAACAGCATCTGCAGCAATGCTGCCTTCTTACAAAGAAGGAAGGGTTAGAAAAGGTCGACCCTAATAATGTCACACTTCACCTTACCTCACGGATTTCCGTCTCCGGCGGTAAGGCCCTTTGAAGAATGAAGCTAACATGTTAAAAACCTTCCACAAAAAGGTCGTGCGCGACCGGGCTCAAGCAGTTATCCCTTGGGCTCTGCGGTCACGCTCCAAGGTCGTTGAAACCAACACTAATCCAACTTCTTTTTCAGGTCCCTCACAGCCAAGGTATGACACTCTTCGAAATGTACTAGTTTGAAATCGATGGAAAAATCCCATTTACATCTACTCAGCACTGAGTTTACAGATTAGGTTGTATTGATTTCAATACATTATGTAATAGAGAGTTGCAGCCTCAGCAGCAATAGGTCTCAATATACACAAAGGGAAAAGCAAGATTCTTCGATACAACACAGCATGCACCAATCCAATCACAATTGACAGAGAAGCTTTGGAAGATGTAAAAACCTTTACATATTTGGGCAGTATCATTGATGAACACGGTGGATCTGATGCAGATGTGAAGGCACGGATTGGCAAAGCAAGAGCAGCATATTTACAACTGAAGAATATCTGGGACTCAAAACAATTAGCAACCAACACCAAAGTCAAAATTTTCAATACAAATGTTAAGACAGTTCTACTGTATGGGGCGGAAACCTGGAAAACTACGAAATCCATCGTCCAAAAGATACAGGTGTTTATTAACAGTTGTCTACGCAAAATACTTCGGATCCGTTGGCCGGACACTATTAGCAACAACCTACTGTGGGAGAGAACAAATCAGATCCCAGTGGAGGAAGAAATCAGGAAGAAGCGCTGGAAGTGGATAGGACACACATTGAGGAAAGCACCGAACTGCGTCACAAGACAAGCCCTCATATGGAATCCTCAAGGTCGAAGGAAGAGAGGAAGACCAAAGAATACATTACGCCGAGAAATGGAGATAGATATGAGAAAAATGAACAAGAATTGGATGGAACTTGAAAAGAAGGCCCAGGACAGAGTGGGTTGGAGAATGCTGGTCGGCGGCCTATGCTCCATTGGGAGTACCAGGCGTAAGTAAGTAAGTAAGTATGTAATAGAGAGTACTTTCGACGACTAATGCCAAGGAACACTTAAGCAACCACAAAATATTCCTGTAGAATTGGAGAATCTACAAATCACATCCGCAATAACGATAAATGGTATGTTCGATAACCACCAAATCGATATAAAAGGTATTAAAATGATTCAGAATGGTTTAGTCAACTATAAAGAAATCTTCGTCGACTGAGATCGTTGGGCCACGTGTTGCGTATGCTTGAACACCGATTACCACGACGCGCAATGCTAACCGGTATTAGGGATAATTGGAAGAAAGTTAGTAGTGGCCAAACCAACCAAAACGTGGCATCAGTGACTGAAGTCACTAACTTCCAGTCTTAGCCATATTGATAGATGCAGACTACTTGGTTGGGGTCCGCGCGACTATAGTAACCAATGGTTGGAGACTGGATGAAATGGGTCAGAATCGATTACAATGGCGTAGGTGTAAATACTCTCTATCTTTCCTTAAACCGTGATATTAAAATTAATGTTTATCTTTATTTCTACAAATTAACTCTTTCTCCTTGTATCATATCCTCATACACAATCTTTCTTTTATACATTACCACTATTAAAGTAACTACTTCTATGAATTCAGTGTTCCTCTTGTTGTGTTATTGAGATGTGGCACTTTGGACCGATGCATATATGTGCCTGGTCGTACGTTGCAGCTGACTAACGACAAATTGTTTTTACTTTTTATACCCACACAGTAATGTCTCACACAGATTTACTTTGACCATAATAATATGACATTGATATAATTAGATCTACTTTGATTTCGATTAAACAAAATATTCTGTCCTATTGTTATTTACTATCTAACATTATTATTATTAAATCAAACTATGGTAATTATAAGCAAAGTTGGATAATGGTTAGCAGTGATAATGTGATGGTGTTTGAAGCGAATGGTAATGGGTTCAAGTCCCAGAGTGAACATAATAATAATCTGAGATGCAGATACATCCAGATGACGAGTACCAAATAGGACGAAGTGGTGCACGTCCTGGATTCCACTGCTAGCGAATGTCCATCTTTACTTATGAAGCTTGTAAATAAATGCTATATTGAGGCAATCCCGAACAGGATGCATACACATATTCCAATAAGAGACTGATCAATTGCAGTCTTAAACATCAATGAGAAGATTCAAGTAAAAACAATACCAAGTGAATTTAAACTAGGATAATAATATCTATAAAAGAAAAAAAAACAATAAAGGAATAGTTTGTTTGTTTGTTTATTCCTTTTACAAGATATAACAATTAACAAACCTTGATAAATGCTTAATCAATAAGTCTAAAGTACGTTGATTTTCTGGTGGTAACAATTTCAATAATGCACTAAGCTCTGTTAATCGATAAGCATTATCTCGTTCTAAAATTAAGAAAACAATCAGTAACTAGTAGAATAATCCAATGAATAATACACAATAGATAAATTCATTAATTAATTGTGAATAGGCAATTAATATTCAATGTAAACATTATACAATATAGATTTAAGTTAGACTTCAATTATCCCGACCGTTGTTGCTACTTTAATGTGGTGGTCAGGCTTGCCTATCGTGATAAAGCAACTGAGCTATACTGGCTGAAACAACCTTTCCTACCATGCCAGACAAGTCGGTTGAAGAATGGTAAGACTAAAAGCATCAAAACCAAGGTCCGAGGGCGAAGTCGTACTGCTGACTGTACAGAGGTGTGACAGCAGTATGGTGTTTCCCTCAGACAACCAGCATAACAGCAATGCTCCCTTCCCACAAGGAGGGGTGGGGTTAGAAAAGGTCGACCCTAAAAATGCACACCTCGCCTTATCCTACGGATGTCCGTCTCCGGCGGTAAGGTCTCAACAAGTAGGGAGCTAACACAAAAACTAATCATAAAAAGGTCGTGTGTGACCGACCTCAAGCAGCTGTCTCTTGGGCACTGCGGTCACGCTTTCAGGTCACCAAGACCACCTCTAGCCCGATTTCTATTTCAGGTACCTCCAGCAGAACCCTTCCATGGTGTTGGCAACCGGTAAGTGATAACCACCCTCATACTTCTAACACCACTCAAGACTTCAATGATGTAAATGTTAGTGATATGATATATCAAGACAGAAAAAGAGAAGGACTCAAAACTGTAACTTATAAGTTGAATGTCGGACGTTTTTAACTAATATTAGTTCAAAACATCATTGAATACATAGTGCGAACTCGTTATTAACTATGATATACATTAACAAGTATGTGACTGTCGAGGTGTAAGCGTATAACTTGCCTACAAGTTACTGAAACGGACTTAATGATAAGTAGTATACATGTATATGGACAAATTTTTAAACCATATACTCTTAACTCGGTAAACAAGTATACGTTTGTGTATTCAAGTCCCCCAAACTAGAGTAGAACAACTCCATAGTTGAAATCAATTACATTTATGTATTGAACAGTTGTTCAATCATCTTCTTCCTAATATCTAATTATTAATATCATTATTTTGAGAAATGTTAAATTCATAGTAAAACATATCTATATCTTATCAGAAGGGGTCTTGTGGATATTTTAGTAATTTGAATGGTTGAGGTCAAAAGCCAATTAAAACTAGACCATCATAGAAAACTTGAAAGTACTGAACGGACGTTTCGTCCTATTGTGGAGCTCTTCAGAAGTGTGCATCTACGATCCCACTTCGTGCAATTGGAACTCAGGACCTATCAGTCTCGCGCGCCGTCCAGTGCTTCCAGGTTTTTCATGGTGGTCAAGCTTTAAGTGACTCATGATCTCAATCATTGTAATATCTATATCCTGTTTAATTTTTACAGATACATTAATGGTAATGAAGATATATTGTACCAAATATTCTTTTCAATAAAGATCAATTTGTGAATGTGTACATAGAACGAGTAACTAAAATGTTAAAGACCGAATTGAGAAATGGTGTAGATGGATGATTAGTTGAGTATTTTGTTGTAGTCAAATCAATTCAATTACAATAAAACAAACTAAATAACACCATCTGTCCTTTGTACTATCGAAGCCTTTTTATTTCATACTTGAAAGACGCGTTTAAACGCCCCAGACACCTCACAAGTTGAAAACTGCCATTGTAAGACAAATCGTTGTTTTGGAAACTTCAGTTTTGAGCGTATCTTAATCGGGTGGCCTAGACGCTTCAATAGATCTAATAACATCATTTGAATTAAAATTTTAATTAAATCAAGTAAAATAATAATATTCCTTTGAACAATATGTAACATTACAGGTGAACTCAGCCTTAATTGTGATATGTACAGATTTTTCCACATTCACTATTGAAAAGATAAGGTCTATGTTTCATCAAAAGCCCAAACAGCACGAAAGCGATTATGTCACATCCCATTGTGTCTATTAATTTACATATATGTATGGAAACACGTACAAAGGGAGAAGCAATCATAATTTGCAATTAAGTGTGGGTGAACACATACCAAAATGACTGTAGAAGCAAATAAATTACAATGGTCAAATAAGATCACAGGATAGACAAACATCATCCTCCATTGCGAAACATTTAATTGAAACTGGTCATAAGGTTAACATCAAGTTGGCATTTGTAGTGTTATCCAAAAACCTTCAAAGACGTATACTAAAGTTTACTGAAGTCTTGGCTATATGGAAACTGAAATCCCCTTTATGAATTCGAAAACAACTTGTCCTTACCCTTAACCTACCCTGGTAATGCTGATTTATTATCCAGAGTGGTTATCACGTTTGTTTTTGTGTACCCTGTTATTTGTTTTCTTTGTTACGGCTTACCTTTAACCTGTCTTATTGACCTTTTAATTTTCATATAAAAATGTCTTAACAAGTACATCCGTGATCAGATTGTTTGAAATGTATTGTGCAAATATATCATCACATATTTCTGATAAACTTCGTCTTCTCATCGCATTATCGAAATTTCACTAAAACCTATTACACTACAACAAACCAAACGACATCCAATATTACAATGCTATAATAGAACAAGAATATAGTTGTTGAATGTTTACTGTGGTGGAGAAGATTAGTAGCTCAGGTGGATGATTTGGTCGTGGAGCTTTCATCGTTTTTCTGAACGACATCATCAGAACAAACTTCAGGTAGAATTGAACTGTTCAAATTTCTCCACACATGACTCCAAGTTTTTCCTGTAGACCTCGATTGATTACTGTTGACCTTTAACCTATCATTATTTACTTTATTTTGATTGTATCTTCCAATGATCGACCAATCAGAAAAAATATAGTCAACTATAAGACCAAGAAACAAACCAATAATGGAAGATACAATCAAAAAAAGAAGTACACAATGATAGGTTAAAGGTCAGCAACAATCAATCAAGATCGAGGTCTACATGACAAGCTGAGAGTCATATGTGGAGAAATTCAAACGCTTCAATTCCGCCTGAAGTTTGTGCTAATGATATCGTTCAGTAGAACGATGAAAGCTCCACGACCAAACTATCCAGCTCAAAGAACAGAACTCCACCAGAATGTTTAGTTATGATTTTTTTTCTATGAAATACATTGTAATGTCAAACCCACAAGGGTTATTCCAGCTTCCGTACAAACCGATTTACTCCTTCTTTTGGAGTCACATTTTGACGTTGTTAATGATTGGTTTATTAACCTTGACTGTTTTTATTTGAGCGTATGGCATGTGAACTGCACATCCTACTCATCATAATTATAAATACTAAGTCATACCTAATCAATTAGAATGGGCTTGCTCGCCCTCTCGGCTCAGCTTCGCTTTTCTACTCTTTATTCTGAATGTCTAGCTTCTTGGTACCGCCATCACACAAACACGTTTAGCTTAGGCAACATACGGAGTTAAATGGAAGATTTATGTTCATAATATATTCATACGTTCGTCCAAATCGGAGTAAGATCACGGCACCACGAAAAAAAATAAACAGTTTGCCCGTCACTGTAAAAGAGATCATTTTCAAACGACTTATATATGTATACAAATATATATTAACAACTTACTCATTGCAGACATGAAAGAATCATGTAATTGAAATGTCATAATTGGAGTTTCTAATTGTCGAATAAAACTTTTTAATGCACCAGTTAAAACGCATAATTCATAATTTGATAAAGTCGTCTTGGATATTCCTGATGGAGCTTGAGAATTATGCATAAAAAATAAACAATAATAAAATTAGAGATATTTTGAATTTTATAAACAGTGACTCAAATGGATACATGAATCAGTGGTCTAGATACGTGTTAGAGGTATGAGGGCGGTTATCACTTCCCGGTTGCCCACACGGTGGAAGGGTTCTTCTGGAGGTACCTGAAAAGGTAATTGGATTAGAGGTGGTCATAGTGACCTGAGAGCGTGACCGCAGTGACCAAGGGACAACTGCTTGTGGTCGGTCACATACGACCTTTTTATGAGTAGTTTTGGGTTAGCTTCCTACTTGTTGAGACCTTACCGCCGGAGACGGTTATCTGTAGGATAAGGCGAGGTGTGATTTTTCGGATCGACCTTTTCTAACCTCACCCTGCTTATGGGAAGGCAGCATCGTTGTTATGCTGGTTGTCTGAGGGAAACACCATACTGCTGTCACACCTCTGTACAGTCAGCAGTACGACTGCGCCCTCGGAACTTGGTTTTGATGCTTTTAGTCTTACCATTCTTCAACCCACTTGTCTGGCATGGTAGAACCTTGAGGAATGATTGTTCCAGTTAGGATAGTTCGATTGGTTGATCACAATAGGCAAGCCCGACCACCACATCAAAGTAGCAACAACGGTCGGAGTCTAGATACATTCGAATATTAAATGATTATTCATAAAATTAAATTTGACTATATCTAGCTATCATTACCAAGGTTTGACTTGATAATTTCGAATAAATTGAGCGTTGGGTAGATTTTTATAAATTAGTATACTTGTAATATCCAATGAGTAGAAAAATTAAATTTTATGACGTTTCGTGACTCAGTGTAAGTCGCTTCTTCAGAGCGAATAAATAAACAAATCAAAATTAATCCAGGTTTAGATAGTACAACGAAACAACAGAAGGGTTAGATGGTGGTTGGAAGTAGTCGACAGGAAACCCTGGACCCGTGTTTCGTGCTACTTGGCACTCATCAGCAAGGTGTACCTGTAATCTTTGAGAGAACTGGTGCTCCCTGACGGACTCAATCCCGTGTCACCCAGCTTCACAGTCAGAGACGTTACCACTGAGCTATCTGGGCCGTGACCGACCTCCTTTAGGACTGATATGTAATCACAATTGATTGATCACTGAGTGGTGATCAATGTCATGTGTGTCAAGTCCTCATTAGTGCAGATCGGATGCCATCGACCGTGACACAATGTGGCCACCCGGGTCCAGGGTTTCCGGTCGACTACCTCCAACCACCATCTAATCTCACAATAGTGCCGGCAGTGTCGAGTCACCTAGACTGGTGGCCACATTGCAACATGATCGATAGCATTCAATCTGCACTAATAATAAGGACTAGAAACGCATGACATTGGTCACCACCCAGTGATCAATCAATTGTGACAACAGAAGAATATTATGTGCGATCAATCAAAAAAGAAGTCTGAACGAATCAATATTATGTCATTTCGGTCAAGGTGATTCATGGGTGACATGTACGTAAATTTGTGTGTGCAATGTTAAGGATGAAAAATATGTAACCTTTATGGTGAGAAAGGATAGAGTTCAGTATGTAAGATATATGAATTGTGAATAATATCGGACTAGGTGGATATGATAGATAGTCAAAGTAGGTTGTACAGTAAGACCTTCTTTTCCATTGACATCAGTAGGATTAAGCATTATATAGAACGCTTCAGCTATTCTTCTTTCTTTGTAATTGGGAAAAATCTTTTTGTAATAATTTGATAGTTTTGAAATCGATTTGGTGGTTGTTGAAAATGGCGTGAACTGCTATTGCCGAATTAATTTGAAGTCCATCCAGTTCTACGGGACTACTAGATAATTTCTTTGTGCACCTAATATGTTGTTTGGAACAAGTCAAAATTTCGCGAGATAACTTCCCACTGTAGAATGCACCACATTCGACACGTCCTAATTTGTAGACACAGTTTTGTGTTGACATAAAGGGGATTTTTTCTTTTAAGTGAACTAAAGTATGTCGAAGTGTGTTCACAGTTTTGTAGTATACTTTTATTCTGTGTTGTTTTAAGATTCTTTGGAGTTCTTCTGTTGTACCATGATGGTATGGTAAAACTGCAGTACCAATCCATGGTATTTTATTCGAATCATGCGTATTACGCAATGAAACATCTTGCTTTAATATACTTCTAATAATCTTCATTCGTTTGTTCTATTTGTTTATCCTCTTTCGATGTGATAATCTTGCTAGCTCTTTTAAAAAGATTTAGGGTTAGCGAGATCTTTGCACTGAATGGATGTGCTGAATTAAAGTTAATATAACGATTAAAGTGTGTAGGTTTTCGGTAGATAAATCAATTTAGAGTTCCATTTAGATTTCTTTTCACTAAGCAATTTATAAGTGGTAGTTCACCATGTTTATTTTCATTCTCGTTCGTAAATTTGATGTACGATGAAAGTGTATTGATTTGTTTTGAAAAAAAAAAGATCTCAGATGAGTCCTTTTCTATGACAACAAAGGTATCATCTACATATCTAAGCCATATTCGTGGTTTAATGTCATTGGTGAAACTATTTGATTCCATGTGTGCCATAAACAGGTTGGCTACAATCGGGGACACGGGAGATCCCATTGCTACCCCGTTAGTTTGTTTGTATAAAGTTTCGTTAAAAGTAAATTGTGTCGAATTTAATCAGAGTTTTAAGGATTTCACGATTAGACTAATGCTTAAAGGACATCTGTCAGGAAGAGTATCATCGATCTCTAGTACACCATCAATGAATTCCAAGCATTTATCAATAGGAATACTAGTGTATAATGATACAACATCATAACTTGCCATGATTTCATTCTTTTCGATAATTAATTCCGATATTTTTGATTTAAAATCATAGGAACGTTTAATTATATTATGTAAGTTGTAGTGGCTTTAATATGCCGCTCAGATACTTCGATAATGCATATATTGATGTGTTCGTGAAGTCTATTATAGATCTTAAAAGGGATGTCTAGTTTATGAATTCTAGGTAAACCATAAAAACATGAAATGGGATATAGAGTAAACCATAACGTGACACCAATGACTGATCTTAGTTCTTTCAAAAGTTCACTTGTCCCTGACTTGATTTTTAATCGTTAGAGAATTTTTTCGGATCGATCTTTTCATATGGTCCTGTAAAGAGAGATGTTCAAGAGTTTTATTAATATAATCTATTCTATTCATAACCACTGTTGTGTTGCATTTGTCAGCTTTTGTGATTATAATAGTTTTGTCACACACACACACACACACACAAGCAAATTTACATACATGTCACTTATGAATCATCTTGACCGAAATGACATAACATTGATTTGTTCAGACCTGTTTTTTGTTGTTGATTGACCGCGCATAATATTCTTGTATTGTTCCGTTGTACTATTTAAACCTATATTAGTTTTGATTTGGTTATTTATATACTCTGAAAAAGTGGCTTACACTGAGTCACGAAAATCCTGGAGCCCCTCTGGGTCTACTGTCGGTCCTAAGCCCGGATAAAGGGTGAGGGTTAGGCATGGGGTTAGCGACCCCACTCCGTAGAAAACTAACAAGCTAAAAAAAACGCTAACCAAAAAAAAATTATTCATTACGATATTACGAATATATTAATTTATTGACTGTATCTAGTATAATTCAAGAAGTAATGAACTAGACATATACCAATCCTTCATATATCAGTAAGGTTAATAGTAAACTATTAGACGATTGATGCAGTTGTAAGGAAACGGATACTAGGTAAGAATGTCAAATCGATTGATTAACTAGTGAAACTTCATCAGTTGAGATAACCGGGACATGTGCTACGTATGCCCAACCACCGACTGCGATGTTTTATGGCGTAGGAGTAGGTTGGAAGAAAGCTAAAGGCGGCCAGACCATAACATGGCACAAATCCATGGAGTCACTGACAAGTGGACTGAACCATTTTGGTAGGTGTAGGCTATTTGGTTGGGATCCGCGAGATGATAGCAACCGATGGTTAGGGACTTTGAATGACATGGCTCAAAATCGTCTGCGATGGCGCAGGTGCATCTACTCTTTGTGTTCTCCCGAATTATAATCTTCTGAATTCTTCATGTCCCCTTTTTTTCTTTTCTTAAATTTATTCCACTGGATTATACTTCTTGAATAACATCTTCAAACCCTAATCTTTTATATTACTGTTTATACTCTTGGTACCTCTGCCACTATGGGATTTTAATCGACAACTGGATCTATATGCTATTGTGGTATGGCAACGCGAATTGATGTATGTACGTACGTAGGAAGTTCTACATTTTTACTGACTGACTGCATAGACGACTGAATAATCCCCTTTTCATCTTCATTGTATTAACATTAACTATCTCCATCAATATGAAACAATATGTAAAGAAGCCCTGAGATGAGGCTTTGTATTTGATGGAAATTCACAGAGATTATATTATGACATCACCAAATATGTTGTAATCAAAGAGATATTAAATAATCTTTTCAGTAGGATTCAAATGCTTCCATGATAACCAGTAACTGGATGGTAGTAATCAAGTACTGTATTTTTTTAGTATTAACTACTGAATTGACATCTATCAAGTACATTTGTAATGTAACCAAATTAATACAAGTTTACATAGCAATGTTTAAGGTAGTTAATGGGATTGGACTAATCTGATTAATTCAATAGATTAATCGGTTTATAAACATTAGACTAATCATTTTATAGCCCACATATGGTTCATACAAAATTTAAGCCGACATTTTAGGCTGATAGAATTGGATAGTTTCTATGACGAGTAAAACTATAACATGTGAAGAATATTGTTGTGTACTATGTGACTAAAGAAATTCTCATGAATATGAATCACGTATACTTTCTTATAATAACGGATAAAAGACACACATACACACAGAGAGAGACTGACTGAGTTAACAATGAATTTAAACAAATAACACAATCAGTCAAAATTAGCAGAGATTATAAAAAGTAAGGTAGTAAGTATCTGAATTCTGTGGCAATTTGAAAGACTCTCGCGGTCTCCCACATTGTACGAGTATTTCATGTACCTAAATTAATGGTTGCTCTGGTTGTTAGAAGGGGCATCGGCCTCATGACTTCCGAAGGAACTCATCTTTCAAAATGAGACGTTATAACTCTTCTAAATGAAAACCTTCAAACTCCGACGGTAGAGTTTAAATGGCTTGAATTATTTTTTATGGTTTGCGTTTTTTTAGCGAGTTAGTTTTCTAAGGAATGGGGTCGCTAACCCCATGCCATAAGATCCCCCTTTATCTGGGCTTTGCACCGACAGTAGCCCCAGAGGGGCTCCAGGCGAAGCGCTGGGAGTGGATAGGACACACATTGAGGAAAGCAGCCAACTGCGTCACAAGGCAAGCTCCCACTTGGAATCCTCAAGGACAGAAGAGAGGCGGAAGACCAAATAACACGATACGAAATGGAGACAGACATGAGAAGAATGAACAAGAATTGGATAGAAATAGAAAGGAAGGCCTAGGACAGAGGGGTTGGAGACTGTTGGTCGGCGGCCTATGCTCCATCAGGGGTAACAGGAGTAAGTGAGTAAGTTAGTATCTGAACATACATTTGTTATGTGGAATAGGATTAGAGTATAGTTGAACTTATATTAAATATCCTAAAGGATATTATTATTCGTATTTCTATTGAGAAATGATTTAACTCCTGAATTATTAGATTTTCATATGTACCTATTTAAAAGCTTTCCGTATAGGGTTTTGGAGATTATTAAGTTTTTGATTGAGATCATGAATCGATTGATGTTAGACAACCATTGAAAACCTAAAAACACTGGACAGCCGTTTGGTCCTATTGTGGGACTACTCAGTAGTGAGTATCCACGATCCAACTCGCGGGATTCCAACCTAGGACCTTCAATTTCACGCGCGAACGCCTAACCTCTGGACCAGTGAGCCAGTGTAGATGTCTAACCTCAATCAATCCACGAAATTGTGCAACCGTATTACAGTGTACTGAGGTAGATACCTTTCTCTACCTAACATGGAATAGCTCCACTGGTCACGGTTTCTCACTAAAACTCCGAGAATTCCCTCACGAAGCTAGTTCTTAGTGAGCACATGGTAATTACCATCTCATTTGGTTCATAAACTGATGTTATGTAACTTATTATTTCAGATTTATCAGTAATTAATTTTTCACTGTTGTGACAATTTTGAGTTACTTATGACTGAGTTGTTTATGTATTACAATTTTCTATTTTTATTGCTGAGAAATCAGGTATTTGAGGTATATTAATGTATAAATTTTGAGCCATGAATAACGGTATACAACGGAGATGATATCTGCTTCTTAACTTCGTTTTCTAATTGGGTAATTGGGTTGGAAGGAGGAGCTCAAAGATTACTAAACGCTAAAGTCTTTGGTTATTATTCACTGACCAGTATCACTGGTACAACAGAAAGATATTGGCGATACAGACAATAAAAGTTAATAAATCAATAAGAGTATTAGATACGACAACTGTGTTTCATAATAAACGACTTGATTACATGACCTTCAATAAAATTCAAATATTTGTCTCTTTTGAAGATACAGCAACTTTATACATGCTATGCTCAAACAGTATTAAACTAATAGATCCACTTCACAATATCAAAAACTTCATTCACATTTTCATTATAATTGTAGTTAAATTCCGTCTAAGATAATCGTGATGTACAGTTGTAGTGAACAAGAACACGGCTGGGGATAATCGAATGTATTTGACAAAAAATTACAGAACTAGTTAGTAAAATCTAACAACCAAATCGTAAATGCTCAATTTGCAAAATGTCCATCAACTCAAACTTCCTTAGTTCTTGCATTTTCATACAAATTGCGTTCTGTTTTCATTCTTTACTGTTCAATCTTCTTGTCTCTCTGTTGCCAGACATTTTGTTCACGACTAACATCAGATACTACTTATGTCTACATAAGTAGCACACATCATACAGTAGGTATTTCATAATACAGTCATTGACGTAGATGTATTCACTGTTTATCAACCTTTAAATTACAAGCTTAGCATAGTCAAAACATTGTAATTATTGTTATATAATTCGTACATTTCTAACTACAATTTATTTCCAGTTAACGATGTGGGATCACGGATGCACACAGATCAGGAGTCCCGTACGAGGACAAAGCGGCCGTCTAATGCTTCCAGGTTTTCAATGGTGGTCTAGCTTAGATCAACTTGTGAATTCACACAAGTTAAAACATAGTTTTGATTTGATAAAATTTGAAGAACTACTCAAAGATTAGGAAACATTGAATAGTTAGTTTCTTGTCTTAGTGTAGGTTGCTCGAAAAAGTCCGAAGCATCGACCCTGGCAAGGGTTGAATACATTACAGTTTGATTTCGTACTACGCAGCATTTTCACAACACAGAGATGAAGTATAAATGTTACACAATGTCAAGAACAGTCAATTTGAGACATCATACGATGAAGATTGCGAAGCTACTTACTGTATTTTCTTACAGCCTCTTACATAATTGAACTTCATCTTGAAAATTCACATTTATTCGCTATTTTTTTCATAATGCTAATGTGAACTGTGATAAATTGAACTAATATACATTTGTGGTAATGATTGAAAAGTCAATTATGACAACAGATTTTAAAACTTACATAGAGCTTGTTTAATCAGACTGGCAACTTTAGATTTTACCCCACATGTTCTATAGATTCCTTCAACTTGAATACCTGAAAGAAAGAAAAAAGAAAAACTGAGAATACAATAAAATTTGTCCAAAAATGAATTATACGGTTTTCGAGTATGTAGGAAAGAGAGAGGTTTAAAGATACTAGAAGTTAAGTGTTCGCATGCGAGAACGATGGTCCTAGGTTCGAGTCCTGTGTACGAGATCATAGATGCACACTGCTGAGGAGTGCAATACCAGGACGAAACTGCCGTACAGTGTTTCCAGGTTTACAATGATCATCTAACATTGATCGGTTTATGATCTGAATTTTAAAGATACTACCCGACTATTTTGATCAAGGTAACTAAGGAGTGGTGTTCAAATATGTTACTGAATAACAGAAAGTTAGATGTTTGAAACTTAAAACCATCACTTTAAAGATACACCGCAACGAGGGATATTTTTTAATGAAATATTTCTAATTGAATAACTAAGTATTTAACTGTTCGAGTAGTTTTAACAAATTTTTTTTTTAAAAAGTGTAGCTTGGAGACAAGCACATGTACTTATGATTCGTAACTCAGATACATTAAAGTAATGTACCTTCCGGGATTGTATGTACAATGGTTTGTATCGAACCAGCCATTTGAAGAGTAAAGGGACAAAAATATATGCACCTATTCAATAAATATGCAATTCAGATGGAAGTCAGGAGAAATCTCTTTACGGTCCATCATTTCTATCCACTTTGAAAATTACTCTTCGTTTGTATCAATCAATTCATTCTATCTCTATTTTCATTGGTTAAAAAATCTCTTTGAAAATCCTCAGAAGTTAATCACTTCAGCTACCTTGTTATTTCAGGTGTCGTTAATGCCATATCTTTCAAGTGCCACCACCTTCTTCTCATGACCATTTCATATTTTGACTCCAAAAAGAAATCTCAAGAAATTAAAGTATAATGAGTTGAAAGGATGATCTAAAGTGATAAGTCAATTACTCTAAACTTTCATTGGTGCAAAACAGACTGATCCCAGTTAAGCAACTTTTGAAAACCAATAATGACTGAACAAATATTTCTTGCTTATTAGTGAGCAGTTGTACTTTTAACTTTTTGTAAAATAAACGATTTACGACTATGCATCTATGAATGACTTGGGATATAATATTTGGATATCCCTTAAAATACCAGACATAAGTATAAGAAGCGGTCTCTTAAGAACATTACAACGCTCGTGCGCGAGACTGATAGGTCATGGGTTCGAATCTCGTGGGGGGGCGAGATCGTGGATGCGCGCTGGCTGAAAAGTCCCACAATAGGACGAAACGGCCGTCCAGTGCTTCCAGGTTTTCCATGGTGGTCAAGCTTCAACTAACTCATGATCTTAACCATTGAAATTACTATAATATCCACAAAACACCTTCTGACATTACAAATACTTTGTTTATTTAAATACAAAATCAATAATGAGATAACAAAAAACCCTAGAGACTATTGTATATTTTCTAGTGTTTTTCAAAATGTAACCGTGGTCACACTTCAACAATATTGACTATCTTACACACGTAAATACCAACATATTTTTTATTCATTTCAATATCAAACTATCTATAATTCAGATAAAGATCACATGACCATACGTTCCAATTAACCGACTAATTAACTAAGTATTCCTGATATTGAGTTACCTGATACATGAACAGAATGCTAATCAACAGTCTCATGACCTACACAAATATAATAATGTCAATGTACAACATACATTGAATGATCAATGTAAGGTCATTATAACTAAGACAAAACAAGATTCTGTCTTTTCAAGCAACCAATAAAGTATCAAGTAAACTATTCATTAAAAATTTCAATGGTTGAGATCATGAATCAATTGAAGCTAGACCATCAACATGGAAAATCTGGAAGCACTGAACGGCCGTTTCGTCCTACTATGGGACTCCTCAGTAGTGCGTATCCACGATCCCGCCTCACGAGATTCGAATACAGAACCTATACGTCTCGCGCACAAGCGCTTAACTTCTAGACCACTGAACTGGTCGGCATCCAACGATGTTAATCTTCAACTTCAACTAATCCGTGGAATTGAGACACCGTCCACCATTGTCTTCAGTGAGTTATTGTTATATAATAACAGACCTGGTTGAACTACACTGGTTACTGCTTCGCACTAGAACTCCAGGAAATACCTCTTGAAGTCAGTCACTAGTGAGCATATTCACTAAAACAATATAAATGTGTATGAATTTAATTCGGAATTTGTTCAGCACACACTTTTCAATAAACAATAGTAGATCTAAACGAATATGGAAGAAAAGTAACTGCTTACCATTTTTTTCAATTGCATGAATTAAATTGAGCAGAAATTCATAAGTTTTATCGTTTAATTGAACTGGAAAAGGAAAGGCGAAAAGAAAACAAAATAACAAAGAATTTACACAAAATGAAAATGTGAGTTACTGAGCAATATGTCTAAGACAAGACTTGATGGTGAGAGACAATCAGTAGAATACCATTCACCTAGGATGATAGTGGCTAACAGTGGAATTCAGGGCGCGTGTTTCGTCCTATTTGGAACTCATCAGCTGGATGTACCTATAATCACAGAGTTGATGTAATTGAAAGTAATATCGAGGCAATGCACACAAGATGCACATATGCCAATAAGAGACCAATCAATTGTCGTTCTAAGGATCAATGGGACATTTAAAGCAACCAATATAAAAATGAAGTACCACTGAACTAGGTTTTATGCTAGTTATGTAGCATAAGCTAAGCACATCAGCAATCTTGAAGGAAATGTTGTCCAACGCTGGATTGGAACCTATGGAAATCTGTATCATCACGAATTTGAGACGTTACTATCCACTAACTAGCGCCAGGACTTGACTCCTACAAGACTAAGACATTTACATGAAAATAATCAATCCCGTATCTTTATTGCTGATTGAATTTCACAGCTCGACTTTCGATTCGCCCACTCGTCCAAAGGCAAGACATCAAATATAGACTACAGTTTGAGATGGTGGAGAAGATTTGTAGCTCAGGTGGATGATTTTGATGGAGTTTGTTAACGACAAATAGCAGAACATCACTGACCTACGCATTTTATGTTTGGTGTAATTCCTCAAACAGATATTCATATTAGGCTTCCCTAATCGGCATCACTCAAGGCTTCAAATAACCAATGCCAACAAACTACAGCGGCATTGGCGATTGATATTTTACAGGTATACACCAATCATTAATGAGACAAAACCGTTTATTCTTCGTTAGTAACCTATATATGATCTACTGAACAAGTTGAGCTCTTCGGCAATCAAAAGCTGACGCACAGGTCCAAGTCAACAAATGTAAACAGAACCTTTCCAAATCTAAACCTCAATATCACTTTTGACTAGCTTTAAGGGTAGAATGACCAATTCAGTTCTTCAAGTCAACAATGGCAAATCACATGCCGTAATCATAACTAAGTTTCAACTAATATCTGAATACAAGTTTTTTGAAAAAGCCGAGTAGTCGTTTGGTTTTCTGATAACCAGTTAGCAAACATAAGAGTTGGAGAACATATCATTAATCAGACTGAATCCGTCACATTCATAGTGAAATTGTGGTTCACTTATTAAAACAATCGATTTCCAACTGCCAGACGACAGATTCCAACGTTGATTGATTCACGATGAAATGTCATTTGAGTAAGAATAAGTCAATGAGTTACGATCATGAACCGACTGATGTTAGACCACCATTGAGAACCTGGAAACACTGGACGGCCATTTCGTCTTAATATGGGACTTCTCAGCATTGAGCGTCCACGACCCCGTAAGCGGGACTCGAACATAGGAACATCAATCTCGTGTGAACGCTTAACATCCAGACCACTGAGCAAGCATTCAACAGTGTTGATGTCTAACTTCAATTAATCCACAATAATGCACGACCATTTTCTATTGTCTTTGGTGGGTAAGTGCCTCACCTCCGACACAGTTGAGCTCCGCTAGTCACGACATCTCACTAAAACTCCGAGAATTACCTCTTGAAGCTAATCACTATTGAGCACATGATTTTCATTCCAACATAACACATTATTGAAATACAAAACATGGATCGACTAACACATCTACACATAATGCATATCTATAGTAGCTAAACAAAACACGACAAAAATCTGTTTTACTATGCGATTGAAAGTTTAACGTGAAACTACAACAAAACTTCTACATTATGGAACATACCTGAAAAAAAACTAGTGGATAAACAGAACTAATTTGTTAAAAACTTTATGCAAATGTTAACTACTGATTTTACTATGTCAGTTCACTTATTGACGATTATACGTATAAATGTATGAATAGCTAGTATAGTACAGTGATTGACTCGACTATTAAATAATTAATACTAATCGATTATTCATATAGTTGTATTTGACATGTAGTGCGAACCACCATCTAATCTCACAATAGTGCACTCAATGTCGAGTCACCTAGACTAGTGGCCACATTGTGTCACGGTCGATGGCATCCGATCTGCACTAATGAGAACTCTACACATATGACATTGATCACCACTCAGTGATCAATCAATTGTGATTACATATCAGTCCTACAGGAGGTCGGTCACGGCCCAGATAGCTCAGTGGTAACGTCTCTGACTGTGAAGCTGGGTGAGACGGGATTGAATCCGTCAGGGAGCACCAGTTCCCTCAAAGATTACAGGGACACCTTGCTGATGAGTGGCAAGTAGCACGAAACCCGGGTCCAGGGTTTCTTGTCGATTACCTCCAACCACCGTCTAATCTCATAATAATGCACGCAATATCGAGTCCCCTAGACTGGTGGCCACATTGCAACATGGTTGATATCATTCGATTTGCACTATGATAAAGCATTGAGGAATCATGTAAGAATGGAAAGAACATCATTCAACATTTGGAATGTGATAAAACATATATGTACATCGAAATAGTTTATTTGAACTTCATAAAGATATGTTCTGAGCTCTTTATAAATCCTCATGAAATCGTAACGAGTAAAGCTCAATAGTGTCGGGAATGCTATAGTCATCATCACTTGCATTAGATGATCATTGAATTACATCCTTAGTTAATTAAATTTAAGAATATGGAAAATTGGACTCTAAATCAATAGTTTAAAGGTAACATATTGGTCATGATACCAGATCTTAGGTACAATAACTGGACTGGTCGAGAATTCGCGCTGCTTAGGAGTCTCAGCTTTGTTTATCGCTAGCACACCAACTGATTTTAATATTGACGATGAAAACTACTTACGAATTAGTCTCTAGAATGTACCTCAGTTATATACAGTCCTATTAACTCACAATTGATTGATCACTGGGTGACCAATGTCATGCGTGTCTAGTCCTTATTATTAGTGCAGATCGAATGCTATCGATCATGTTGCAATGTGGCCACCAGTCTAGGTGACTCGACATTGCGGGCACTATTGTGAGATTAGATGGTGGTTGGAGGTAGTCGACAGGAAACCCTGGACCCGAGTTTCGTGCTACTTGGCTGTGAAGCTGGGTGACACGGGATCGAATCCGTCAGGGAGCACCAGTTCCCTCAAAGATTACAGGTACACCTTGCTGACGAGTGCCAAGTAGCACGAAACTCGGGTCCAGGGTTTCCTGTCGACTACCTCCAACCACCATCTAGTCCTATTAACTGAATATCGTTATTACCAACAACCAATCAATGTACACTTCGAAAAGGCACTTACTATTATCTGATTCATGGAGGCATACACGTCTATCTTCATAAATCTAATATAAGACAAAACAAATAAAAAAGTAATTGAACACCGAGAAGATTTAATGACGACATCATAAAGATGATTTTTCAATGAAGTACGAACAGTATCATTCATAAAGAAATTAAAGGACTGACGAAACTAGTTTCAGAATACAATTGTACAACTACGGGCAAAAAACACTCGAATGCTTAAGAGAAAATCAGAAAATGAAATATACAGAAGCACAGAAGATACATCAGCTAACTTTGTGTTGCGAAATTATATTTCCTACAAACTCGTAAGATGGATAAATATACAGTGGTAATTTGTGTGGAAACCTTAATATTAAATCAATGATGTGTATAAAGTATTACATCCTTCAGGTTACTAATATCAATGATAATATAAATTTTTTACCTTAACGGTACCTTCGAATTACTGCTCATGTATTCTGCGACAACATAATGAGCATTGCAGTGGTTAGGCGCAGGGTAATAGATAGAGATGACAAATTATTTGATGGGATTATGAATGTTTATCGACCGAGGTAGTAAGGACATCTGTTAAGTAGACCCAACCATGACCTACGTCAACATGTAGTGTTGGTTGAGGTAGGAACCAGCTGGAAGAAAGGTAGGAGTGGTCAAATCAAAACACAGGGTCAGTCTAGGAAGTCGTCGACTGTTAGTCTGATCCATGTTTGTAAATGCACTTTACATCAACACGGTAAAATAAAATCAACAAATCGAATAGCAGTATAGTCGAAATAATAGCAGTCAGTCAGCGATAACAATGATCATAAGAAGTACTGAATACAAAGAATACAATTTGAAAATATAGTAATACTGGAACGTGAAATTTAAGGGAAGATAAAAAAAATGAATGCGCCATCATAACCAATTTCTAACATATTACCATATGTCTTCAAATATCAATCACTAGTATTGTGTAGGAGTCAACTAGGAAGTCTGCACCTTTCGATAAGACTAACACTGACGATTCGATGATCTCACAAGAGTGATTTTATATGTTCCTTTAATAACTGTTAGCTATTTTCAAACCCATTATACCAGCCAGAATTACAGGTCGGGGATAAGCACCGCTAAGTAATACAACCTGAAACTATCTATTGTTTAATTTGCAGGAAGCACCGAGTGAAAAAATATTGAGATGTAATTACACGTAATTTCCACAGAAAATTCGCTTTTCATTAAATAACTTACTGGCTCTTTTCCATCCATTACAAGAAGCCATTCATGAAGATCATCCAAGCATTGTGCTTGTAAAGTAAGTGGAGTCGATCTGTTAGTATAAATAAAGTAAAAACGATGGCAAGTAACAGAAAGTATGGGTTGCATAAGTAACAACAACAAGCATAATCAGATAAAAGTATAGTATAGTGATGAACAAGTCAGATATAAGATAGTGCCTTCTGAGTTTGAGAGCGAAATTTAAGATGCAGTGGGGGGAATATTCTGTATCTTATTAAAAACTAAGAAACTAAAGAAACACCTCCTCCTAATGGGTATTATATCTTAGAGTACTTGATGTGATGCAATGTATAGTTAAGGATATTAATGTGAATGAAAAGCATTTTCCCACTCTAAACTTTATAATCATAATTTATAACAGAAACTCACTTAATCCTAACTCATAACATTGACTCAACTTAGAAGACTTAACTTTGACCCCTTTTCTATCATTATTGTTCATGTGAAGACTGTTTATTCGGCGCTTTAACCGGATTCCAAACCAATGGTGCACATGGGCTGGCACTGACAGTAGCGTGATGCCTCTGTAGTTAAATCTCACATTTGTTCAGATCTCTTTTCTTTGGTATCTTGATGAGGTGTCCTTTCCTGTCCGTCGGTACTTGTTCTTCCCCTCAGACCTTCATGAATATAGTGCGAAGCATGTTTGCTGTTACTTCTATGTCTGATTGCAGTGCTTTAGCTGCTACACTGTCAGGTCCGATTGCCTTCTCGCCCTTTATTTGCGTGATGTCCGGCCATCCTGATATCTTCGATCGTTGGTGGAGTGGCATCTATAGGAAGGTCTGTAGGTGATGCCTCGATGTCCGGTTAATCCAATGGAGCTGGTCTATTCAAGAGTTCCTCGAAGCATTCCATCCATCTGTTCCTCTGTTTTTGAATCTCAGTAATTGGCTTGCCTACTCTGTCCTTGACCGGTCCCTCTGGTTCACTATATTTCCGTACCAGTTTCTTCGTTGTGTCATATAGTTGATTGATATTTCCTTCTCTTGCAGGTTTTGCGCTATCGTCGCTAGGACTTCCACATATTTCTGCATGTCAGCTCTAATACACTTCTTCACTCTCTAGTTTGCTAGTGTGTAATCAGCTTGTGTCTTGACGTTCTCTTTTCTTGTTCGGCTGCTGTTAATTGCTATCTTCTTGTTCTTCTTCCTTTCTTGAATCTTGTCCGGGGTTCCCATAGACACCCATTCCTTATGATGACACTTCTTGCGGCCCATAACCTTTTAACATGTTGATTTTAGTGTTTCTTTCATTCCTCTGCAGTTTTCCTCCACAGTAGTTTCTTCTTCGAGTAGATCTTTTAAGGCTTTGAACCTGTTGTTGAGAGTTATGTTGAATCCGTTGGGTTTATTAGTATCTCGAAAAAATGCTGTATTGAACCTTTGTAGTGCTGCTTGTCCAATTGCCCAGTGCTTCTTAAGCTTCAGTTTTATCTTGAAAACCACTAGCTAGTGGTGATCTGGAGCTATACTAGCTCCTCTCCTGGTTCTCACGTCTTCCATTGGTTTCGTGAAGTTTTTTGTGATGCAAATATAATCGGTCTGGATCTCCGTGGTGTGATCAGATGAGACCTATGTAGCTTTCCATGTGTTTGCGCGGGAATATTGTGCTGCCTATAACCGTTTGCTGAATGCACACAAACATGCGAATTTCTCACAGTTCTCGTCCCTTTCTCCCAGTCAGTCATCCCATGATATCTCCATATCCATTGTTGTCCATTCCGACTTTGGTGTTTAGATCTCCCGTTAAGATAGTCAGGTCGTTTCCTGTGCACTTCACCATGATCGATTTCAGTCTCTCGTAGTGCTGACTTATCGTCGTCATTGCTATTATTGGTCGGTGCACAACATTGGATAACATTCATTGTAATTCCGTCCTTCGTTTTGAAGAATGCTTCGATTATCCTGGGTCCATGAGATTCCCATCCTATAAGTGCATTTCGAGCCTCTTTGGAAAGCATCAGAGCAACTTCCTGGGTGTGTAGAGCATTTCCCTCTTCGTGAACGGAGTACAGCAGCATCTCTCACGTACCTACCCTTAGATGTCCAGCTTGTATCAAATTGGTTTCGTTAATTCCGAGAACCACCAAGTTGTATCTGATCATTTCCGTAGCTATTTGACAGGTCCTTCAGCTCCCTCACATTGTCCGGACGTTCCATGTACGTAAAAAAATTGTTCTTCTGGTTGTTGGAAGGGTTATCTGCTTCGTAACTCCCAAAGAATCTCGGCTTTTATTATGAAGTGTCATCATTTTTTTTTCAAATCCCAGGTCAGAGTTTAAATGGTTTAATTTGTTTATTCTGGTTAGCGTCTTTTTAACAAGTTTCTTTTCTACGGGATGAGGTTGTCAACCACACGCTCAACCCTCTTCCTTTGTGTGGGCTTGAGACTGACAGTATCCCTAGAAGAGCTATAGGCAGAGTTTTTCAAAACACGATCAATATTCAATGAAGTGCTTGAATGGAAACCCACGAATATTTAAAAAGTACCTAGCATGATACAAGAATTATTCATAAGTACTAAACTTATAGACAATTGTAGTTGATTTCACACTAATTTTAGATGTTTATACAGTTTTGACTGAAACTTTTGTAAAACCGTAACAATACATCCTTACCTTCTTGATACTTCAATATCAAAACACCAACGTCTATCAATGGAATCATTTGATCGTCTTCTACACGAGATGACATTCAATATTTCGGTATTCTTCAATGAAAGATATTTGTTTTTTTTCAAAACAAAAAAAATACAATCGTAAGAAGTATGCGAATGAATTTCTTAAACAACAGCATGTCAAAACTACCATTACAAAATCAGATATCCTTTTCTATGTTTTCTTTATTTGACTGTAGTCTTTAACATGAGGTAGTAGTTATGGTTCTATATCGTGGTAACCTGATCGAGATATATTGTCAACAAGCATTGTTCGTAAGGGTTTAGCTAGACAGAATGGTTTGTTAGAAAACACTTAGATCATAGGTAGTAACTTAAAATCCCAGAATAAAGCTTCACTGCTAACGGTAAGGAGATGCGCACAAGCAAGGTATCTTCATCAAACAACCACCATCGTAACTGAAACTGCATTCTCGTAATAAGCACGGATAAAAAAAATAGTTCTTAAAAATAGCACAACTCACAATGTCCGACGAATTTCCTATACCATCTGTACAGCTTTTAAAATACATAGCTAACACATTAAATAATTGAAGTCTATGCGTAACTGGCCTTATGTTATTATCCATAGAGGTCTACAGTCACACTTCTAAGTTGTCAATTTCACTCTTAATGCAGTTTCTTTCTCAGGTTGCATAAAGAATATGATTCACCTTGAATAAATGAAGTAAATTTTTCACCATTCATGTGTTAATGACATTTCATATTAGGGGAAGTATGCAACTAGGATGTTTTTGAATTCATACTAAGTCATTGATACCTAGTGACAACACAAAAGAATCCTTTGTACTAGTTCTAAGTGTTTGAAACAATAAAACATTGATAGATGGATATATGTTCCAAATTTTGCACAGAAAGCTATAATTAATAACATGATCCTGATCGGTTCATTAAGAAAGAGTAGTTTAATTATATAAACGCTGATTATTAGAATCAAATGAATAGACTTACATTATCATTGTCTTGATATTGAGTATAGGGTGTAAGCTTTAATATTTTACTATTACGATTATATGTACAGAAATTTTTTGTCCAAATTGTCATAACAGCTTCTATACAAGATAGAGGGTAGGGGGGGAGGAAACATACAAGACAATAGCAATAGGATTTAGTAGAATAAAGTAATCATGAAAGAAGTGACCGAATAAATAATCAAAATCAAGTTCGAGTCCTTTATGAGAGATCTTGGATGAACGCTACTGAGGAGCTCCAGGCAAGGACAAAACTACCATCCAGTTCTTCCAGGTTTTCCATGGTGGTTTAACTTAAATTGACCCGTGAATCATTTTTTTATTTGCTTTGTAATTTAGAGAAAATAGAACAGTACTGAGAATGATCAGTTGGATATCAAACAGTCAAAATAATCCATTGACCAGTTTATTTAAACGAGAAGTAAATAAGGGTACAAAACAAACATTTTCTAAAACTATTAAAAATTTAGGTGCCTCAGGAAATTCGGACAACATTGTTTTATTTCACCAGATCACATGAATACAGAATAACGTAAGCGCCGATTCTAGTGAACCAATATGACAGACAGATAGATATAAACTGATATCACAATTGATTGGTCACTGAGTGGTGATCAATGTCATGTGTGTCAAATCCTTGTTAGTGCAGATCGAATGCTATCGACCATGCTGGGTGACACGGGATTGAATCCGTCAGGGAGCACCAGTTCCCTCAAGATTACACGTACACCTTGCTGACGAGTGCCAAGTACCACGAAACCCGGGTTTCCTGTCGATTACCTTCAACCACCATCTAATAAACTGATATACATAGTTGGCGATAACATTTGATTGTAGTGATAAGCATAACCATACATAGTTTTCAGTCGAGGAGTATATATTTTACCTTGAGCTCAGACCAACAGCAGATGATTTAATGTACTGGTGTGGTATGTGCTACTGATGTCGACAGATATAATTAGTATGCATTATCAGTCGATAGTGAAATACCTGGTGACGAAAGGTTAAGAAGATCAAAGAAAAGAGAACGAGAACAGAGAATGATTGCTGTGAAAACGAAAAAACAATCAATTCAGAGACGATTGATTGATATTTTGCAAATGAAGTATTTAATGTATGGTTTTCAGATTTTACTAAGTGTTACTGTAATTTTGTGTTCAAATACATTTAATTATCCCCGCTTGTGTTCTCGATTACTACACTGATGCCATGTCTTATTGTAGTCATCTCAAGACTTTCTCCAAGACATCTAGCATAGTCTATCAAAGCAGACACTGATTCAACATACATAAGACATTAACTAACTAAGTCTATCTTCACTAATTATTTTAGTACAGGGTAAACTATACTTTAATATACTTAGTTATTGATAAACTAACGAATATTTCATTACAGTTATACATTGAGAAGGCTGAAAGAAACTAAAATGAACTTATGTTGTTATATACAGAAAGATTCAACATAATAACTCCTTAAAGAATGGTATAAGTAATAAATTAATTGAATTTCATCTTGTAATGTGCATATTTCAATCATAGATCAATAACCAAAGTTTCACTGGTTGAAATCATGAATCCATTGAAGCTAGACCACCATGGAAAACCTGGAAGCACTGGACGGCCGTTTCGTCCTAGTATGGGACTCCTCAGCAGTCCGCATCCACGATCCCGCTCCTCGCGAGATTCGAGGAGTCCCATACTAGGACGAAAAGGCCGTCCAGTGCTTCCAGGTTTTCCATGGTGGTCTAGCTTCAATGGATTCATGATTTCAACCAGTGAAATTTCTAAAATCTCCACACAATCCCTTCTGACAATAACCAAAGTGTCAACAGAACTTATTTTACTGGATTAATTAGTGTTGTAGATCAATAAAGAATCTGGAGATACAATGTATATGATTTCTAGAATAATGTAATGTGATACAATGATTTGATTGATATATTAAAGTGATTTTAATTACAGATAAGCTCATTGTTAAAGTGAAACTGATTAGGATGCTTAATTTGGAAATTCATAGAATATAAGGTGTGAATGTTCAAAACAAAAAGTATTACGCCTTGAAATACAGGTTTTATGATAAACACGGTTATTTACAAGCATTTATTCATTTCTGATATGATGAAATCATATTCCTTACAAAGAGCTATTAAAAATCAAATATGTAGGATTCATCTGGAAAAGTTGGATAACCCTGATTCTAAACCAATGATGTAAATGGGCTTCAAGATCCTTAGGGAATACATGGCGTATGAATCAATCGTTGGCCACTGCCTACCATGGGACTGCATCTCCTAACGTTGCACGACTGCCTTGTAGATCAGTCCTATAGGTCAAACGGTCGGGATGTGTCCTCCTAAGAAAGCCACCTGTTTCGAACTGGGCATCCGGACCGCATCATAGCCCACATACAAATCAAGTGACTTGTATTACGCATATGTATTCGGTAACCCTTTGTACCAATATTTATGTATGCGAATAAATAAATAATAAATAACGTAGGATCGAATATAGTCCACAGATTTCGAGAAGACTCTCAACTTAAGATAATCCATCTAATTCATGAACGCCTATGCTTTGAAACTATTTTCTGCTCTCTAACAATTTGTTTTACTCCAGAACTAATCATGTGAAAAAAACAAAAGTATTTATGTGAAACCTTGTGATTCTAGAAGCTTTCGAAAAGCACGCCAAAATCGTAAACAAATTCGGTAGTAATGCAATCAAGACAATGTTAAGAAAATTCATCATTTTATTAAAACGCTCTTGAACGCTTCCAAAGTTAATTGATCAAAGCACTTTCAGCATTTTCTTAGCTTTCAAAGATATTTTGACCAATAGTCGACGGTTCTCAACACAAACATTTTCCTTTAAAACTTTTGTCGATGAATATACACACGTTGCCTTATTAAAACCTATCCATTTAAATATATTTCATAACCTTAGAACACTTCTGTATGTGGAGATTTTTAAAATTCCACCGGTTGAAATCATGAGTCAATTGAAGCTAGACCACCATGGAAAACCTGGAAGCACTGGACGGCCGTTTCGTCCTAGTACGTGACTCTTCACCAGTGCGCATCCACGATCCCGCTACCGAGAGATTCGAACCCAGGACCTATCAGTCTCGCGCGAGGCGCTTAACCAACTAGACCACTGAGCCAGCATCCAATGGTGTTAATGTCTAACTTCACCTGAATCGACACTTTAAATCTTCATATTACCATAGATGATAAGCTTTACAGAAGTTTATATGAGTATTAAACATTTATATCATTTTTAGTAAAAAGATATAACCTATCAATACATACGGAGAAATCAACAGTGTATTCAGAACTCAACTGGACAAAGACAGTCAACTTGAAAACAACAATAAATGTAGATAACTCTACCTATGAAAACAACTAATTACAAACAATGTGATCAAAGTGAACTGGTTTAATACTTGTGCAATTTATGGACAAACCAATCACATATACGATAACAGGTCTCGGATTTTTGATGAGAAATCCATTCATTCATTTGGGTAGATAGAGTTTCGGTATTATAACTTATGTCAGTTCTTGATGAAAACTCGAAATCTAATTCTTAACCCTAACCACCAACAACTGTAAATCATAATTCTATTTCCCCACTCTAGTTTATAACCTTCATTTGGTTCTGGTTATGAGATGAACACTTTCAAGATCACTTTAGATTTGCTCAAAGGTCATTCATAAATTATAGTCTCACTTAAGTAAGTGTTGATGATGATGTGTTGCCTAAACCGATAATATAATTAAACCATTCGGGTTAGAAACAACAAAGCTAACAAATGACATTAAATATATAAACCTGGGTTTTTTTGTTGTTGAAAAGCTCAACAAACTTACTTTTTGTAGCAACAAATACATAACCTTCACGTGTATCAGCTAAATTTGTTGATTGTATTTGTTCCCATGGTGTATTTAGTAGTTTGTCTGTTAATGTTTTACTTTCTAAACTAATTTGTTCATAATTTTCACTAGACTGATGAAACAATGAAAAATAAAAAAAAATAAAGGCATAGAAAAAGAAGAGAGGTGATACGATCAAACATCAAAGAGAACAGTGTCGAAGGATAAGTTTGAACACTCCATAAAGTTACCATGGAGAAATTTATCAAGTTTATTTATATCCAGTCATCTATTTGAAAATCGAAAAAAATACAACATATATAAGCCTATATTGATTATATAACACTCGATTTCTTTAACTTTTACCTACTTCAATCCGGGAATTCGGGCAGTATCATAGTCCATACACAAATCAAGTAACTTGTATGGTTCATATTTATTTGGTGCCCTTTTGTACCGATAATCATGTGATCAAATATCTAATAAATAAATAAATTGTTCTTGATTATGGTTACGGTTGAGATTATTCGTTTAGTTCTAGGGAAAAGAGTAATTTGATGATGTTACGCTCTATAGACTAGATTGTTTAATTATAAGATTGTCATTGTCATTTGAGAAAACAACTTCAGAAGGTAATTCATGTAGAAGTGAATGCCTTAATTATTCTACAAGAGTTATATCAGTTAGTTATGATGAACATGTTTGTGATTAACAGTTAGGTTAAAGATTATTACTATCTTTATATGTCTATGTATTCTAATTGACCTCTGGCTTTATGAGATTGGTTAAACTCATCTTCTATGAATGTTAAATAACTTGAATGTTACCTTTTTAGAGTTTCTTTAGGATCCTAACAGGTATTGCAATCAAATAACTAGATCAGTGTAGAATTATAAGGTTTGAATAATTTTTTATGGCCAGCGTTTTTTAACGAGTTAGTTTTCTACGGGATGGGGTCGCTAACCCCATGCCCAACCTTCCTCCTTTATCCGGGCTTGGGACCGGCAATAGCCCCCGGAGGGACTCCAGGAGGAGTTGTCTGTGCAAAATACTTCGGATCCGTTGGCCGGACACTATTAGCAACAACCTACTGTATGAGAGAACAAACCAGATCACAGTGGAGGAAGAAATCAAGAAGAAGCGCTAGAAATGAATAGGACATACATTGAGGAAAGCACCCAACTGTGTCACAAGACAAGCCCTCACTTGGAATCCTCAAGGCCAAATGGAGTGGAGAGGAAAACCAAAGAACACATTACGCCAAGAAATGGAGATAGACATGAGAAAAATGAACAAGAATTGAATGGAACTAGAAAAGAAGGCCCAGGACAAAGCGGATTGGAGAATGCTGGTCGGCGGCCCATGCACCATTAGGAGTAACAGGCGTAAGTAATTAAGAATTATAAAAAATTATTAACATTGTTTAGGACTGCCTTGTAAGCTCATATCAGCTCAACAAACAATGGAAATAAAAGACTAAAAAAAAAGATTGCAATAGTTAAGTAATTAATCATGTTCTATTTGAAGCTTTATGTACAATGAAAAGTCAATGACTAATCATTTTTAAGAGAAGAAAGCTGTTAAAAATCTACGAAGGTTGATCAAACATATATCAGTACATAGCACTCAATGTAACAGTAGATTAAATCACATCAATAAAATTCAGTCTAAACGCTGGAGCCATGGTGTTCGACCTCTAGCTGTAAAATCCCACGTTTCAACGATCCCTCATACGCTTCAGTTTAAACGACCGGGTCGAATCATTTTCTCTTATACTACCTCATAACTAGGTACCTAATGAGTGAGTTAATTTATTAAACTATTACATACGCACATTTCAGTAACATATTACACAGTTTTACTTTAAAATTTAGGCATTTCTTTTTCATTCAAATTTTAGTCACTGAAACAAAAATGACGACCTGGTTCTCCTAACAAGAAAAGTTATTATATATTTATTTATTTGAACACATAAATATTGGTACAAAAAAGCACAGAATAGATATGAGCCATACAAGTCACATGATTTCTGTGTGGACTGTGATACTGCCCTGGTGCCGAAACCGAGTCAGGTGGTCTTCTTAGGGACCACACCTGGAGCCTTCGACCCAAAGGTGTGGTCCACAAGGCATTCGTGCAACGTCAGAAGATGCATTCCCATGGTAGCCCGGTGACCAACAATTGGTTCATACGCCTTTTGTTCCTTCAAGATAATGGAGCACATATGCTCCATTGGTCTGAAATCACGGACCTCCAACTGCCCTAAGTAGATCATCCGTATCCACCGATCCGATTAAAGCACCGGATATTCACTTTTCGTCCTCTCAATTTCATAAACAACAGCGCCGACACGAGAAAGTAGTGAGTAGGACTTCCCCGGTGGTGGCTATATACGCGTGGCCATGTGAGAGCATTTCGAGATGGAGAGCTGATTCTCTCCACCCTCATCCGTACCGGAGCATTTGGTAGCCAAGAAAAGAATCATTCCTAATTACTGCTTTCTAGGTTACAATTGTCATTCCAAAACATTGTAGTTATGATACGTTGTAGGCGTATATCTATTTTCTTCAAAATGTATTCAGAGGATTGATGAATATTACGATAATAATTCTGTACTTCAAAATTTTGTTATCCATTATGGTTTGATTGTATGTTTCACACTATTAAAATCTTTGTAATAAATGTTCAATTAAGGTAATTTATTAGTCATATCTTTATAAATAATGTACATTTCTTTTTCCTATTAACTTAATCATTCACGAGCTCTGTTACGACTTATATTTCAACTTACTCTACACAAAAAATACTTTGTATGAAATACCAGCGATTAACTTCAGAACCCATCTTTAGAGTCTTGAAGAGTAGGAGTATTCTGGTGTGTGCTACTTATATTGACATATGTAGTATATTACTAGAATGGGTTTTGTGGAGAATTGGTAATTTCAATGGTTGAAATCACGAATCAATTGAAGCTAGACCACCATGGAAAACCTGGAAGCACTGGACGGCCGTTTCGTCCTAGTATTGGACTCCTCAGCAGTGCGCATCCAAGTTAGACATTAATACCGTTGGATGCCGGCCCAGTGGTCTAGTTGGTTAAGCACCTGGCGCGAGACTAATGGGCCCTGAGTTTGAGTCCCGCGGGGGCGGTATCGTGGATGCGCACTGCTGAGGAGTCCCATACTGGGACAGGACGGCCATCCAGTGCTCCCAGGTTTTCCATGGTGGTCTAGCTTCAATTGATTCGTCATTTCAACTATTAAGTGGTATATGACTAACGTCAGGAACAAAATGTTTGGCAGCAGAGAGACAAGAGGACCGAACAGTAAAGAATGGAAACAATATGCAATTTGTATGAAAATACAAGAACAACGAAGTCTGGGCCATTTTGAAACAATTGATGGCCATTTTGAAAATTGAGCCTTTACTATATGGTTGTTAGATTTTATTAACTAGTTCTGTAATTTGGTACAATATACATTTGATTGTCCCCACTGGTATTCTGCTCACTACAGTATCACTTATGCAGAAAGTGTGAATGATGGGTACTCTACATACATGAAAATATCAACAGCTTGAGTTTAGGTCTACGAAGGATAAAACGTTTATCATCATAGATTCAAACACATTATGACAGAGCAGTCCGTTCCAAATCATTAAAAAGTTGATTGCACAGACTATGCGATTGCTTTTAACCATATTACATGGAAGTTTACGACAGCATCTAGGTAAGAGCCCTATTAACTACACTATAAATCTACTTGTTGACCACTGATTAACATTCAGAATTCGACAGCAATGGGAATTATTTAGTCACCAATTGAGGTAAGCCATCTCAGACCTATAGTAAGTTTTTTTCATACTAAATAGATATGACACAAACTGCTATGAATTTAGGTTCTACTGGATGCTCTCTCTCTCTCTCTATGTTAAAGACATTGTCTGGTAATAAGAGATAACCAGGAAGGAACCTTGGTCAATAGTTTTCTACTGAGCTATCTCAATTAGCATAACGATGAAACATATATACGAAAATACACAACATACACATGTACACATACATACAAAATGTTAAATTATACAAGAGAAAACACAGAGGGAGGGAAAAGGTTCACTTACACGCTGTGCAGCTTGAAGTATCTGACTAATTTGATGTGATGAATCTTTGAATTGTTCAAAAGCTTGATAATAGAAATTTGACAACATTCTCATGATCAAACTTACCTGTATATTGATTAAGTATGGAAGAAAAAAAAAGAGTTATAAAAGAGGGTGATTGGAAATAAAGAACAATGTAAATCAAATGTCAATTACGTTCAAGTATTATTATTATTATTATTATTATTTATTTTAACACATAAGTATAGGTACAGGGAGGCACCAAGTACATATGCGCCACACGAATCTCAAATGATTTGTGTGAGGGCTGTGATACTGCCCGGGTGCCCAAACCGAAGCAGGAGGTTCAAGTATATTGAACTTCTATTTAAAAAAGGCAATGAAAGCTACTTGAAACATGTATTCTAATGATTGAAGCAGATAACTGTTAATCCCATTTGATTGCAGGTAATTGGCAATATACTGTAGACCTAGGTTTCATACTAATTGACACATTCATAAACAAGTTACATGTGAAACCATGAAGGAACTGATATTTCTTTGATGGATTGTCAGTTGATTTAACACTAACAGATTCAAATTTCTGACTCTTATCTTTACTCGGGAAACTATTCTTGAACTTTGTACAAAATGTATGCTACAAAGACGAGTTCATGAATAATGTATTTGATAAATAGGTTTTAATCTATGTATTATCTCACCAATTGCAATTGTACTGAGATTATTCTTTTCTAACAATAATAATAATAATAATAAATACTACAGAGAACAATCGTTCTCGTTAACTTCATCATGCTCTGTAGTTTTAAGTTCATAATTATCGTGGATCGTGTATGCGCACTGTTGAAGAGCTCCACAATAGAACGAAACGACCATCCAGTGCTCCCAGGTTTTCAATGGTGGTCTAACATCAATCAGTTCATGATCTCAGTCAAAAACTTAATAACCTCTACAACCCCATATTAATATCAATTTTGTGTTACAATATGCCAACATTATCCAAAGAAATAAAACTTAGGATTATAGATAATACCGAGGGATCCACTCAGGATAAGCTAATATTAATAGAGACTGAAGATAATCAATTTCAAAATCAGTAACCCTGTACAGGTTTAAGTATTTAGTTTATAGTAAAAGAATTATCTAAGCTAGTCAGTTAGTCATATGCAATGTAGAACATGGCACATGTACAGTGGTTAAAATTGTCAAACCCAATTAGCACAGAGAGATGCAATTGTCAGAACCAATTCCAGAGTATTAGTAGTAATAGTAATAATGATAATAGAAAAGGTTAGGCATCCAAGATACAATTCAAGAAATATGAAAAGTCAGAAAGAATTTAAAAACTTAGGATCCGGAGGCAAAAAAAACGAGGGTAAACGCACCAGCATCGCTGTGAACAATTCGGAGATGTGTTACGCCAAGTCTCTAACCACCAATTCAGTCACTTGGACCCAAACCACGTAGTATGCACCTACCTACATGGATCAGACACAGACGAGTCCTGAATAAATATATTTCGGAGAGAGAAAAGCATCCCTAACATGCTAACATGATACCTTAAGGTGGTCAGAAGACTATTTTGTCAACATCCTCACCAAATGCGAATATATCATCTAAATAATTAAACGAAGATTTAAAAATGTATCAATCTATCGACCATCAATGAATATCGGTTCATTTGAGTTATCGGTGCGATGTGTGCTACTGATGTCAACAGATATAAGTAGTGTATATCACTAATCGAAAGTTGAATGCCTGGAAGTAGATGGTTAAGAAGATAGAAGAGAAGAGAACAAGAACAAAGTAAAATTTCTATGGACATAAAGGAACAATGAAGTTCAAGACAATTGACTGACATTTTTCAAAAGGAACAGGCAAGTTTGAGACATATGATGGACATGTTACTGTATGGTTTTCAGATTTTACTAAAATGTTATGTAATTTTATATCCAAATACATTTGGTTGTCCCCCATTTGTGTTCTCGTTCACTACATTGGTAATAACACTACACACACTTTCATCATAGTATCAATGTTTTCCATTACTAAAACGTGTATTATAAATTATTCACATTCTAATTAAACATTATACAATCTAATCATGTGACTTTTATCCGATCCAAATACAAAAACAAAACAAAACAAAAAAAACACCCGAACTGTTTGCAATACCATCATATAATTCATTTCACATTTGATTAATTTGATTGTTCTATAATGCTACATACAATTAAAATCGGTTATTCGCTACAGATGAAAACATGACAAGATACATAGTTAAATAGAACACAATATAAATAACAAAACTTAATTCTTTCTTTTTGTAATCAAAGATACAAATACATGTACATATAGACGTTCAACAACATCATACATAAACACCAATAAACTGTCTCAATTGTCGCTGTTACCATGATGTGACGATTAGCCTTAACTAACATGATTACCCAATCGAAATGTATCAACTGAAAAACCTCATACTTGACGTTCTATCACACCAAACAGCTTGGTTGGAAACTGGTGATATTAAAGGTGACTAACTCATGGTATAAGGACGAAGCCCTACGACCGGTTGTAATGATATGCGTCAGCTGTTGGATACTTCCCTTACATAACTGGCATCCGTTATGATCCTGTCTTCCAGAAACGGAACGCCTTAAAAATCATACCACACCTTGAACTAAAGCTTCGCGTCACCGTTGCTAATGCCTTATAAATACACGTCAAGAATTACTCATAAGAAGGTCGCTCAAGATCAATAATCTTTCTATGATGTCGTCAACCGGGAAGTGACATGAAATAATCTAACAATACTCGAGATTACTTTGAATGATTGACTTGCTGAATAATGGACTACCAACTTGTATCAATTAGGTGATCGTGTAGGCAACCAATCTCAGTTGCATGAAATCACATGGATTATAATTGGATTTTACATTGTACGGATGATATAGAGAGCAATGATTTTTTTTAAACGTTCAAAAGGCTAACTTAAAAATGTCAGCTAAAACGAAAATTGAGTACAAAGCATTCTAATGAGTTCCTAAAATAACCTATGTGGTATTAATAGCTTAGTGGATAACACTTTTATGTGTGAAGTGGAATGTACTTGATTCCGATCCGAATGTTAAAACCAACATTTGAATGAAGGTACATTTAACTGGAGAATCATAGGTCAACTAACATAAAATTGTGTATCACAAAACTTATCAGTTGTACAAAACTACAGGCTGAGAGTTTTGTCTAAAAATAAAATTCACTATTAGATGCCTACAGCTTGTGCTGCAGTGGTACAACTAAAAGTTAACAGGTTCGAATTTATACTCAGTTTACACCTATTTACTTAGCTGAATAATACCACTGGATATCACCCAAGCATCTATAAGTTAATTGTATAAACATTTACTTATTAAATGACCTCCACATTCTAATAACGACACTTAAACTATAAAAGACGTCGAAATGAACACAGAGGAAATTCTTTGCCTATCATATGCGCCACGTAATTCACTAGCTTTGTGTGTGGGCTGGGATACTGCCCCATTGCCCAAACAGAAGCAGGTGATTTTCTTAAGTGGTCACTTTCCGGACATTTAGTCTAGAGGTCTAATCCACAAAGCAGTAAATAAACGTAAGGAGATGCAATACCATGGTAGCCGGTGACCAACAATGGGTTCATATGCCTTTTGTTCCCTCAGAATAATGGAGCCCATGTGCACTATTGGTTTGGAATCAGGGTTTTCCAACCCCCCTAAGTGAACAACCTGTGTCCACCAACACGGTTAAAGCTACGAACATTCGCTTTTCGTTCTCTTAATTCGCTAAACAACAGCCCCGCCGCGAGAAGGCAGTGAGTAGGTATTTCATGTCAGTGGCTGTATACGCGTGACCATCTGAGAGCATTTCGAGAAGAAGAACTGACTCTTCTTATTCTCGGTCGTACCAGGGCATTAGTCGATTTATAGCAATATACATCCAGTCTTCAATGTGAAATCTTTCGTTTCGATGTTAAAAGTTAGTGAAAATCAGGTTAACTCAGTTATAATCTTTCTGTTCCATGGCATTACATGATAAGAATTCAAACTTTAAGGGGAAAAATATGAATTATTATAAGATTTTATGAACGATATGGAAATTTCTAAAAAATTTCCTAAAAGTCAGGTAAATAAAGCTTAACTGTTAGAGCTCTTTCAATTACATAACACTATTTACCCATCACTCAATAAATGGTTTTAATAATGAAATTCACTTGATATTGTTTACTTATATCTTCCCATTGTTGTTTAGGATTGTAATTGATCAGTCTTTTATCGGCATATGTGCATACTGTGCATAGTGTTTCGATATAACCTTCATTCACAAGCATTGTAAGCAAACATCAATAGTGGCTAGCAGTGGAATCCAGGACGAGCGTTCCGTTCTATCGGGGACTAATCACCTGGATATACCTCAGAGTTGATGTTCACACAGAACTCAGTAACTAAGTGAACAACGCGATGGCTCCGGGTTCGAATCCCGGAATGAATATCAACTCTAAGATGCAAATATATCTAGCTGACGAGTCTTAAATAGAACGGAACGCACATTCTACATTCCACTGCTAGTCACTATCCATCTTTACTTTATAGGTCTTAATAATGTATATCTTATACTATATAAAATATATAAAGAGTATAAATACATAGAGCATATAGTAGTAGTCTTATAAATTAATTAAATCATATTTCAATTCATTCTATCTTTTTCTTAAAATATTAATTGACAACACTCATTTTAATGATTAGAAACTTGTACACATAATAAAACTAACCATAGTAACTATGATGTAATCAAGGTTAGTAGTACACGTGACAATCATGATGATGATGGCGGTGGTGATGAATGTAAATTACTCAATATTGACAAATGAATTAAAACAAACAACTATTGTATATTTCAAATAATTAGTAACACAATGAATTTGACAATCACATTACACAGAAAACAAAAACATCAATTGAAGATTAACACTAATGAATAGAATGAATATAGTAATGAAGATGAATGAGTTATTGTAATTAGTTAAAATTGATAAAATGTTCTTTTACAAGACTAAGATAATATAGAATAGTATAATAATGAATGTGTATATAAAGTTACAACTAAATTTCTGTTCGATATTGTTATTGTTGTTATGTGTGCAAAATTGAGTGGATAATCGATGAATGTATAAAGTTAAAACCTGGAAGCACTGGACGGTCGTTTCGTCCTAGTATGGGACTCCTTATTAGTGGGCATCCACGATCCTGCCTCGTGATATTTGAAGCTAGATATTAACACTGTTGAAGGCCGGCTCATTGGTTTAGAGGTTAATCGATCGCGTGCTAGATTGATAGGTTCTGGGTTCGAATCTCGTGAGGTGGCATCGTGAATGAAACGGCTGTACAGTGCTTCCAGGTTTTCTATGGTGGTCTAGCTTCAATTGTTAATTGACTATAATAACTACAAAACCCCTCTTTGATTATAAATTATTTAGTTCTATTAATTCGATAGAGATTTAAACGGACAACCATAATTTGATATTAACTTCATCCTCTGATTGATCAATAAAAACTTAACAGGTTTATCCATCTTCATCTATTTCATCAATTTTGTAAACCTTAGATAAGTAAACTTGAATTATTCGCATACATGTACACATCTACCGCCCTTTTGTATGAAATTACCTTTATTGATTTGTTTTTAATGTATTTTTCTCACCAAAAATTTAACCTACTTCAAAGATTGAAAGGATTTGTTTACCCTATCAAGTCTTTAATACTTTTCTAATAGTACTGTTGTTACTACGAATATTATTGTGATGGGCACTACTTATGTAAACACATATAAGTAGTATATAGCAGGACTGGAATGCTTACCAGCAGGAGGTTGGAACGAATAGAACAGAAAGGAAAACATAAAGCAATTGAAATAGCAACAGGATTAGAAGAATGATGAAGTACATAACAGATAACTCAAGGAAGATGTGTAAATGATGTATTTACTGTCTGATTTTCATAGTTTATTACAAAGGTATTGTGTAATTTTGCGTAAACCAATAAATTAACTTTACCCACCAAGTCTTCGTTCACTACACTAATACTTCAAGAATCTGTCGGTCTTCGATGTCGATTAACTTTAAATTAGCAGAAGATTTAAAAATCTGTATGTTTAATTGAATACTAATATGACAAATGGGAAGATACAAGCAAACAACTTCACCGCATTGTAAAAGCAGGTGGCTATCAAGACTTAGTAGCTAAGTGGATAACGCGATGCCGTTTGAAGCGAATGGTACTGGCTTCGAGTCCCGGAATGAAAACCAACTCTGGGATGCAGGTAAATCCAGCCGACGAGTCCTAAATAGAACGAAACGCGCTTCCATCTTTACTAATATGACAAGTTGTAGATAGAAACGTTTTATTGCATAAATTTGCGTAAATGAAAGAAAACATTTAGGGTATATGGAATACTTTTAACTGTCATTAAACTGGAATTTGTAATCATGAAGAATTTGTAACATGAATATTTCTATGAACACAATGATCAAGTCAAACTTGATATAAGTTATTGCTCATTGATAAACGAATATAAGTACTTTAGTGTTATGTGAGAACAGTCACTGAATGAATTGCTAAGCAGTACAGTTTCAAAAATTGAAATTGAGTGATCTGGCTTCGGAACTTTAAGGAAGTATCAACATCTTTAAGATTTCAGGTAAGGTTTATTGATGAACGCCAATTGCCACGTGACCTAGATTTGGTATTTTTTGTATATTTACTCCAACAATTAACATTCACGTATAGTATGTTCAATGTCTAATCACACTTAAATTACTAACCATACTGCAACTAGATCGATAGAGTTCAGTCAATATAAATGGTTACTATTCAGTAACCAATTAGTTTAAAATTGATCTCAACTTGAATTTCGAGAAATATTTGACAAGAAACTGATAGATAGATATATCAAAGCAAAAGTCCGAATGTCATCCATTCATTAAATGTTACACAATAGAAGACCTAATTATTGTGAGTTTTCATTGATTGTAGATCGTCCTAGTTTAATCATATCAATGATGTTGTTTAGGAGAACGATGAAAGCTCCACAACCAAACCATCCAGTTCAGAGAACGAAACCTCATCAAAAACACACCCACCCTAGATACATGCACAAAATATCTTTCAAGCTGACCTTTCACCTCATACATATTTAACTAAAGTTGTATAGTCATTTATCTTCATAAACATACGAATTGTTTTTTATTGATCACTTAGTTGTATAGTATCAGTTCATTAGGGCATAAGCAAAAGGTTGACAATTAGAAGGGCGTAATCGAAAAACGTACACCTTAATAAAGGCAAGCATGATGAGCAGGATAACTGAATACTCAATTTAACCTGTTCAATGTAGATGATATATGAGATAACATGACTACAGTGATAACAATAATAAATTGTTACCGAATTCGAAAAATTAACTTTGTATTGAACACTTAATGGACTACGTTTTTAATTGATCATAAATATAAAGGGAGAGATGGTAGACTGAATAAATTTCAAACAAACAATGAAGGATTCGAGTTTGATTTGCAGTTCCAAAGAAATGAATATGCAGTACTTAGAAGTTTCATACTAGAATGAAATAGTTGTTCATTAATGCTTTCAGATTCCCAATGATGTTTATTACTTACTTATGCCTGTTACTCCTCGTGAAGGAGCATAAGCCGCTCAAAAGCACTCTCCATCTAACCCTGTCTTGGGTAATCGTTTCCAGCTCTTCCCCAGGTGATATTCATCCTTTTCATGTCTGCTTCCAATTCATGACGTATTGTGTTCTCTGGCCTTCCAAATTTCCTTTTCCCTTCAGGATTTCAAGTTTGGTGATTTCCGTAATGTATGTCCAATCAATTTCCATCGTCTTTTCCTAATTTCGTCTTCAAATGGAAGCTGGTTTGTTCCCTCTCACAGTAGGCTGTTGCTGATGGTATCCGGCCAATGGATGTTGAGTATTTTGTACTTGTACTTTCTTGATGATGGTTGTAGTAGTCCTCCAACTTTCAGCTCCGTACATTCCCAATGATAGTTCAAATATATTTATTCCCTTTTATAATACTCACCTTATTGAAAATAAGTTCTTTTTCATTGTTGATTTATTTATACGGACTTTTGCTCATTGACTTAATCGTATAAACCTAATTGTATTGCCTTGGAAATGAATGTCTAAACGGATAAAATTCTTTTTACTGAATACAACCGTTAGCTAACATCATGAATGCAATTCGGATGGTTAATTACTATAGTGAAACTCCGCCTAGAGTCCCTCCGGGGGCTACTGCTGGTCCCAATCCCGGATAAAGGAGGGGAGTTGGGCATGGGATCAGCGACCCCACCCCACCCCGTAGAAAACTAACTCGCTAAAAAACGCTATCCAGAAAAAATTATTCAAACCATAGTGAAACATGTGTCATAATAATAATAATAATAATAATAATAATAATAATAATAATAATAATAATAATAATAATAATAATAATAAAACAGTTATGCAACTAATGAATAACAATTTACTGTTTGAACAAATTTGGATTTTTTCAATTCATGCGCTTCATTTATATTGCTTATGTATTCAAATGCTTTGGTAATATAATTTTTACGCTCTTGAAGCATTTTTGCATCATTCTATAATGAAAATAAAACAAAGAAAAACCAAAAGAAAAGGTTGAATTTGGGCAAATGGAAAGAATACAGAAAAATGAAATAAGAGAATAGTTGGGTTAACCGGAGACTTTTTATTTGAATAACTTCGCTTGCAGCTCTTCTAGAGTTACTGCCGGTCCCTCAGCCGGGTAAAGGAGGAGGTTTGGGTATGAGGTCGGCAACCCCATCTCGTAGAAAAATATCTTGCTAAATAAACCCTAACCGGAACAGACAAGTACGTTCTTGTTTGAATGTTACAACGAATGAATTTTAAATGGTTCTGTAGAGATCGATTTGTTTTGTATGCAGTATGTAGTCAACGATTGATTTCAGCTGAGTTATCATTGAAAATTAAAGAGTTCAGTGTAACTACATTCCAGGGTAGATGCTTACACTGAGACTGTAATTGAAACAATTATTGAATTAAATACAAAGATATCTATCATTTTTTTTATTATTATTATTTTTTTATTTAACCATATAAACATTGATACAAGGAAGCACCAAACAGATATGCACCACATAAATCATTCCATTAGTGTGAGGGTTGAGATACTGCCCAGGTGCCTAAACCGAAGCACGTGGTTTCCATAGGGAGTCACACCTCAAGCCTTTGACTTAAAGGTTTGATCCACAACACAGTGGAGCAACGTAAGGACATGCGGTCCCATGGTAGTCGGTGACCAACAATAGGTTCATACTCCATTTGTTCCTTCAATATATTGGAGCCCATGTACACCATTGGTTTGGAATTAGGGTTTTCCAACTCCACTAAGTGGACTTTCCGTGTCCATTAACTCGGTTAAAGTATAAGACGTTCGTTTTTCGTCCTCTCAGTTTCTTAATCAACAGTAATACCGAGAGAAAGCAGTGTGTAGGGATGCCCTGGCAATGGTTGTATGCACATGGCCACTTAAGAGCATTTGGAGAAAGAGAGCTGGCTTTCCGAATCTAGGCCTTACCAGGGCATATGGTGGCCTAATAATAATAATAATAGTAATAATGAGAAAAAATAACAGATATCTTTATTTATTTTTTTTCTCATAGAAATTCTAAAATCGATTTGAGTCAATTCAACATTACCCTCAGTAATCTGATCCAAAAGAATGATCTAATATCCACTTCATAATTTCTATACAGATAAGAAGATGGAATAAACGAATACATTTACAATAGTGTAATTATCTCATGAGTTGGAAAACTCTGATTCCAAATCAATGGTTCACATGGTGCTCCAGGATTCTAAGGAAACAAATGGCGTATGAACCAATTATTGGTCACCGGCTACCATGGGACTGCATCTCCTGATGTTGCTCTACTGCCTTGTTGGTCAGACTTTAAAGTCAAAGGTTTGAGGTGTGGTCTCTCGAGAAAACAGCCTGATTCGATTTGGGTACCCCGGAAGTATCCCAACCCTCACACAAATGGAATGATTTAGGTGGTACATATCTGCTTGGTGCCTCCTTGTACCAATGTTTATGTGTTTAAATAAATAAATGAATAAATATGAGTATTAATGACAACAGCTTCACATACTTACTCAAATCCGTACAGTCGTAAAGATATATTAATCATATATCATGACATAGAATATTATCTTCAAATGAAATAGTAAATAGAGCTTAACTACAGAACTATAGATGAGGGGAACACCCTTTCTCCGTGAGCGATGAAAAATAAAACCTACTAACATGATTTTTTTTCAAATCCTTACACATTTAATAACCTACGTATATTAGCTCACAATGATGAAATCTCTAATCACAACAACAGAGGGTGAAATAGTTGATCACAAGTACAAGGAGGCATTATTTATTTTAACACATAGGTATTGGTACAAAGAGGCACCAAATACATATGCGCCACACAAATCTCAATTAATTTGTGTGAGGGCTGTGATACTGCTCGGGTGCTCAAACCGAACCAGGTGGTTTTCTTAGGGGGCCACACTCCGAGCCTTTGATCTGAACGTCTGATCCACAAGGCAGTGGAGCATCGTGAGGAGATGCAGTCCCATGGTAGCCGGTGACCAACGATTGGTTCATACGCCATTTGTTCCTTCAGGATACTAGAGCCCATGTGCACCATTGGTTTGGGATCCGGTTAAAGCACCGGACATTCGCTTTTCATCCTCTCATTTTCGTAAACAACACCCCCGCCACGTGAAGGCAGTGAGTAGGACTTCCCTGGCAGGGGCTATGTACGCGTGGCCATGTGAGAGCATTTCGAGAGGGAGAGCGGACTCTCCCCACTCTCGGCCGTACCAGGGCATTTAGGAGGCTTATCACAAGTACAATTTAGAACTATAATCGATGGAATATTATGAAAGTACAATATATAAGAATACATCATATATCATAAATAATAGATCATAATACATATGTAAATAGGCCAGTTTTGATAAAAAAGGCAAATGATGAAGTAATCGTTAAATGATTGTAAAATTTAATTTACAGAAATAACTTCTGAACTGAATGAACGAAAAGAAAAGTTGAATTAACGAGTCAATCGAAGGTAGACTACCTTTAAAAAATCTGGAAGCACTGAACTGCCGTTTCGCCATAGTATGAGATGCCTCATCAGTGAGCATACACGATCTCGCGCGCGAAACTCGAGCCCGGGACCTTCGGTTTCGCATATGAAGCTCGTGACAGGTGGAGACATTTATCTACCGGAGACAATGCACGAAGGGTTGCGTAAGATCATGGGTGAAGTTAGACATTAACACCGTTGGATGCCGGAGGTTAAGCGTTCACGCGCAAAACCGAAAGTCCTAGGTTCGAGTCCTGAATGCGAGATCATGGATGAGCACTGCTGAAGAGTCCCACACTAAGACGAAACGGTGGTCCAATGCTTCCAGGTTTTCAATAGTGATCTAGCTTAAATTGATTCGTGAATTCAACTGTTAAAGTACTACAATCTTCACAAATCCTTATGATAATAAAATTAAGATTGTTTAATCATCATAAAACATTGAATAACTTACATCGTCTGTAAACTCTTTTGATTTAATTGATGCATACTTTTCAAGGTATTGACAAAAGTTTTTAGTTTCTTTTTGAAATGCTTTTACATTAGTCTAATACAAAGCAAAAATCAAAACAATAAACCTTTATTATTTGAAAATGTAAATTATGAAATCCATTTTATGTAAATAATACACTAGGCTAATTGATGGATTGTGATTAGTGGTAGATATCAGAATGTGCATTTTGTCCAGTTTGAGACTTTTTACCTGAATGTACTTGAATATCAGTGTTGATGTCTATATTGGGGTTTGAACCTAATACTTTATCCTTCAAAGGTACTACGCATTATCCACTGAACTATTGAGTTCATATAGCCACTTACTTGTGGATAGAGTATGATATTCATATCCGTATAAGTTTAATTTTTATTTCACACTAATCAGTAGTGTAAACCAACGATCTTATATGAGATTAAAACCAGAATATTCAGGTTTCGTAGTTAGTATTTAACCTGGATTTAGCCTCTGGTGAATTGTAGGTTAGCACAGTTGATGAGCCTCAATAGAGTAGAGAAGAGATCTCTGTCCCATTGATCCCAGGTGTCGAACGGTTTATCAGCTAAGACCAGTCAGTGACAAAGTGTATCGTAAAATATTAGATCATCAAGGATCTCAAACCGTAACGGTTGATTGATTGGTGAGTGGTAATTAGAGTAAATTTTTACTAATCCTCAGTGGTGATTAAATCCTATCAATAAACTTGCAACGTGGTTGGAAGTAGCCATCATGAAGTCTTCAACAGATTTTTCGTCCTACTTGACATTTTCCAGGAGTGTGTATCTGCAGTCCTCAATAAACAGAATCCGACCAACAAGAGAATTAGAGAAAAATGACGTTAGTCACTACTCAATGGCCAATCATTTGTAAATAATTCAGTTTAACGAGAGGTCAGTGGCTGCCTGAATGACTTAGTGATAACATCACAGATTGTGAAGTGAGGTAATGCACGTTTCAATCTCACATTGAACATCGGTTCCCGTAGCATGTGCTAACTGTCAGGAACATCCAATCCGTCTAGTGTTACTAATGGTTACTTATAACGATACAATCACAGAAAAAGTATACACTAATATTACAGTGATATTATTTACAATTAACCGCCTACACTTGTCCATCTCAGTTAACATGTGACCCTGCAGAATCACAAAGTTATTTGTAACTTTATAAAAAACCATTTCCGTACCTAATTCAAAATTGAAGTTTCAGTTGGATAACTACTATTTTTATGGCTTGAAAGTTGAACATTCAGAGAACAATGGTAGTTGGTTTGAAAATAAGTAGCTAAAAAACCCCGTACTCAACCAATTATAACAACAAAGTGCTTCGGATAGGTGTGTATCAAATCAAATTAAAACACCATATCAAGCACAGTTAAACAAGATTAGCAAGATAGCGTAGTAATAGTAGTGTCGATGGCAGTAGAATGCTAAGCATCGATAATGCAGTTGGAAAGAAGTACTATAATACTGTAGTAAAGTGTATGAAACTATATTAACACTCAAGATTCGGAGGCAGATGGCCAGTGAATATACCTGAGTTAGTGAAACCATTTTCTAACCATGTCATTCAGCATCTGTAACCAAGGTCCAAGGCAACAGTCAATAACTCGATGCTGCGATACGACACATCTTGCTTAGCCAGACCGTAATGTTTTTCCAGTCTGTTCCTATACAATGTACTAACAGGTCTTAGCGATTTCGGTCTACAAAAACCAATCCGCTATATTTACATAGTCCATTAAGTCTAACCTCAGCATTGTTTATTTGGTTATTTCAACGTAAATGAGCAATCTATGACCAAGTATAGTATGTCTGCTCCACGTTAAGTATATGAATAATCTCATTCACAACAACACATGTGACACAAATTAACAGAAGCTCGGATATAACTCTTCAAATCCTTCACAAAATGTTATCAGCAATGGTAGTTCATGAAATGTCCAAGAAACATAATATGCTCAATCCGCTCACTACTCTATAAAGTTCAATCCCAAAGATCTTATACGGTCATGTGCTATAATAATCAATAAAGGATCAACCACTACCTTTGTAAGAAACAACTGTGTTGTTTGTTTTTGATTGAGATCATGAATCGACTGATGTTAGACCACCGTTGGAAACCTGGAAGAACTGGATGGCCCTTTCGTCCTATTGTGGGACTCTCCGGCAGTGCGCATCCACGATCCCGCTCGCGGGATTCGAACCCAGGGCCTTCAGTCTCGCGCGCGAACGCTTAACCTACTGGACCACTGAGCCGGCATCCAATGGTGTTAGTGTCTAACATCAACCAATCCACGAAATTGCGCGACCATCTTCCATTGCACTGAAGTAGATACCTGTCTTTATCCGACACGGATTGTTTGTATAAAGAATAATTAACACCAAAAAATAGTTTAAATAAACTGTATTATAAACACAAACATGTAAACTGATTACGAGCTAATGATGACCAATTCGTGTATAAACAATCTAAGTGATGCCAACTGTTTATTGTACAATGAACAAAACTGAAAGCTGAAATAAAGCACAGTGAGGTGGATGAATGGGAGAGAGAGAGAGAGAAAGAGGGGCAAATAGATGGATGGGATTTAAACACTAATAAACACAGTACATACTAATACTAATACAAGAAAAGCTGCGAAAAGAAAAAGAAAAAAAAGCGAGAGAGATACAAACAAAAAACCAGTACAAACAACTGGTAATTGTTTGTTTGTTTTTCAAATTAACAAAAAAGAAAATATCATATATATGCACGAACAGTAAATAAACAACTAATTCTTAGACTAAACATACATGATGGCTTAACAATGAAAAGAACATAAAAGGTCAAACCGATGGAATGATTCATCATCATCATCACTATGATGTATAACAGAGAAAAACAGTGTTGTATCAAATGAAAATTTTTTGCACCCGAACGCCCTGGTACGCTTGAGAGTGGGGAGAGTCCGCTCTCCCTCTCCAAATGCTCCCACCACATGGCCACGCGTACATAGCCCCTGCCAGGGAAGTCCTAATCACTACCTTCTCGTGGCGGGGGTGTTATTCACAAAATTGAAAGGACGAAAAGCGAATGTCCGGTGCTTTAACCGGATCCAAAACCAATGGTGCACATGAGCTGGTTCCAGTATCCTGAAGGAACAAATGGAGTATGAACCAATCGTTGGTCAACGGCTACCATGGGACTGCATCTCCTCACGATGCTCCACTGCCTTGTGAATCACACCTTTAGATCGAAGGCTCCGACTGTGGCCCCCTAAGAAAACCACCTGCTTCGGTTCGGGCACCAGGGCAGTATCATAGCCCTCAAATATATTAAACGAGATTCGTGTGATGCATATGTATTTGGTGCCTCCTTGTACCAATATCTATGTGTTAAAATAACTAAATAAACAAATCAATATTTATAAAAAGGTTGAATAACCGATTCGAGATTACCATCCAAAAATAAACAGTTTCATAGTCTGAATAACATACTGACATTAGTTAAACAACTATTGGAACGACTGTTTCGTTCTTACATTGTACTCTTCAGAGGAAGCACCGGCGAGACTCTAATTTATGGATGACTTTTGAACGAATCTTAAGTAACCTTGACAATTATTGGCCAATCAGAAGACAGTTAGTATAAAGTAAAAATATATTATAAGAAACTAATGAATTACAGTGGATATTCTTCTTTTACATGATTTAAAAACTTGTTGAGGTTTGATAAAGGTTCAAATGTTCTGAAATCATAATGCATACGATACAGAAACTCGTCCATATGGCTCCATAATAGTCGTCCTCTAGAGCCGTGATAGGGTCTTAAAAATTCCTTCAATCTTAACCACATGGCTTCAATGTTATTAGTATGAACCCCGGTTGTATTGTCGAAAAAATGGCGTTTGTGTACTACGACATGATGGACATATCCAAGTTTATGAAGGCATCTATACGCTCTCCAATGATCTGTATATATCGTAGAGTCCGGATATACGTAATCCTGTATAATTGGTATTATTATGCTTGCTTGACGGTTTCTAAACCTCTGAAAATGCCCCTTTTGCGTCGAGTGATCATAAATTCCAAGTACCTGCCAAGTATATTTAAGGAAGTGCTACTTACCCAATCTTCCCTAATACTACGTCCCCTGTTGTATTTTCGCTTTCGCACTACTGTTTTATCTATTTCCACAATACTCCCGAATCCTCCGAATGACTCGTGTAAACGTGTCATTTTAATTGAACATATATCACGACAATACTCATGCCATTGGACGGATGAAGTTTCAGTAACATGTGCAAAGGCTGCAGCCAGTGTTACTGGTGCTTTTATAATCCAATTTGCAACTATTATCATGATTTGCCTCAGTCTCAGTCGCGATCGAGCAAAGAAAGTCCCCGTTCGAGCAGACTTCTTTCTCCAACATAAAGAAAATCGAAACACAATGTCATCACGATAGTCTACACATGGTACTCCAATCATTTGATTACCGCAGTCACAGGTAAAGAAACTTTTTAGTAGTCCCATTTCTTGTAACCGCTCAATAATCACCTCTTCTCTAAAATCCGCTGTAAACAGATCGTACGTCAGCATCAGGTATTGAAATTGGCGCCGTGACTTTAAAATCCCTCAAACGCTTCTGATTGGCTCGCCCATAAATTAGAGTCTCGCCGAAACACCATAACCACTCGTTTTGTTATAAGAAAAAATGTCATAGAATTCGGTGAATTAGTCATAAATTTTAAAAAAAAAGGTTGGATAGTAGCTAACAATGAGATTCAAAATGCACATTTTGTCCAACTTGAGACTTGTCAGCTAGATGATGTACCTAGACTTCAGTATTGATTTTCAAACTGAGACTCGAGCCCAATACCTTATCGTAATTGTGCTGATACAAATATAAACACACAAACAAACAAACATACATACATACATACATGTAAGTAAATGATACTTTCAACAACAACAACAACAATAATAACAACAAACAATGTCGATAGAGATATCAACAACAGGTGAAATCAATGACACATTACATTATGAATAGTATGATAACGTATCAACTGAATGCACAAATGTGAAGAAAGAAAAATCAATTCTCATTTCAGTGTGCTTATCATCAAATCAAACAGATTTATAACGACTACTAGTGTCTCTATCTATCCACCTATTTATCTATCTGTCTATATATATATATATGTTTATGTGAGCGTTTCACCTAGTCAAAGCAAAAACAAACATGAAATAAGATCATACAAGTCATGTGAAATGGTGACGATGATAAAGGAAGCAGTCAAATAAATCAATCAGTAATAAGAACAATGAGAATTGATTCTATCTTTCAAATGAATATTATAATATATATCTAGATATTCAATGGAACTAGATAGAGACCAACAGATTTCATAAGAGTAAAATTAATTTGTTAGGAATCTTGGAAATTCTTTGGAAAAGTTTTCGGAAGCTGTGAAAATGTTTACAATACTTCATTTAATCAGTGTTCAATAGAAATCTTGCAGAGATCTAAGTAAATGATAGATTATGTGTCATATCCTGATTGGGTAATTAACAATTTCGTTACTAATTTTAGTATATTTTCAGAACCTTCTATGATGTCAATACTACAAATAAACTAATCAATATCCTTGATTTCTGTACTCCCCATTATCTGTTTTCTGTTCGGGGTTTAATTGTATCACATTTTTGAGACTATGAAGCGGTTAGACAGACAGTATAAAGTATTCAATTACCAGATGCATCACAAATACAGAATCATTGGAAAATAAGAAGTAATGAATCAATCTATAAGTCATAGTGAACGTAGGATGTGTGTGGTGTGTGTGTGTGTTACTTATGTAAACATAAGTAGTATATGATGTTAGTCGTGAACAGAATGTCTGACAGCAGAAAGACAAGAAAACCGAACAGCAAAGAATGGAAACAAAATGCAATTTGTATGAAAATGCAAGGACAAAGGAAGTCTGAGTCATTTTGAGACAATTAATGGTCATTTTCCAAATTGAGCATTTACTATATGGTTGCTAGATTTTACTAACTAGTTCTGTAATTTGTTATCTAATACATCCGATTGTCCCCACCCGTGTTCTATTCACTACATGTGTATCGGTATAAGTTGCCGTTCGTCATACAAGTATAACAGGAAGGGAAAAATGAAGGATAAAACTGAGAAAACAAATATGAGTTGAGATAATAATCTACTCATCAGAAATACAATACAAATGGAACATATGAAATCAGAGTACAGAAGAAATTCCCCTTGGTAACACTAGTCAATAACATGCATATACTAATTACTAAATTAAGTGACGAAAAACTTGAACGAAATAGCTATTCTAAACAATTTGATTGTGGATATTATTCTCATTCTCTCTTTGTCTCTATCTAATCTATGAAATAACTGTGAAGAAGTTAAATTATATAAAATAATAAAGATTAAGAAACATTTGACTATATAACCCCTTGTTAATGTAAAGGATTTGTGGAGATGTTGAACGGCATAGTTTACATCACGAAATAACTTTTAGTTTGTTGTAACTTGTGACCGCCGATTAGAGAGCAGTGACTTATCGATCGGATCAATGACGGGTAACCCGTACGAGCAGCCTAGGGTCCTGATTGGCTCTGCTTCCTGCCTAGCCCAGCCAGTTAAGTTTAGAACACCGATCCGAGCCTTTGCGATATGAATCATGTATTTCAAACATACTCGGTTTATATACCAAACAAGCAGACCGCAACGTACCATAAAATAGAAAATAACATTTGTACAAAATCTGGCCAAAAGTGGCTGTGAATGAAGGAGGTGGTGATTAATAAACAGGGAATAATTCAATAAAAGAAAATCGTATAATAACAGTTCATAGATTAAAATAAAGCTTATGACAAGAGAGACATGAATATGAATAGTTTAGTTAATTAACAATTATACGATAAAAGTATACGCATAGTACAGGTCCATAAATGGATCCCAAAAATTACCACTCATTATTCTTATCGGGGCATAACACATAGTTAGAAAACAATTGAAGACCAGGAAGCACTAAATAGCTGTTTCGTTAGATTGTGAAGACTTACAAGTAGTATTTATTCACAATCCTGTCAGAAATTGAACTCAACAGACTAAGGTCTTCAGGAGAATGTTCAACCATTAGACCACTGAATCAGTATTTAATGGTCTATACTTTCAACTTTATTTAACTCATGTTATTGCACGAGTCCCATATTAGGAAGAAAAAAATGCCCAGTATATATTTAGCTCTTTCAGTATCTGTCTAAAAAAGATCAATTCATAATATTAGCTATAAAGCTATCTGTGCACAGATGGATAGTAGCTAACACTGGAATCCAGGACGCGCGTTTCGTCCTATTTGGGATGTACCTGCATCTCAGAGTTGATGTTCACTCTGGGGCTCGAAGCCAGTACTGTTCGCTTCAAACACCATGGCGTAATCCACTTAGCTACTCAGCCTGATAGCCAAATAGCACGAAACGCGCGTCCTGAATTCCACTGCTAACCACTGACCATCTTTGTACATAATGCTTGTGAATTAAGGCTATATAGAGGCAATACGCACAGTATGCACATATGCCAATAAGAGATTGATCAATTACAGTCCTAAACATCAATAAGAAGATTCAAGTAAACAATACCAAGTGAATCTATTCGTATTTTAACAATGAAAACTAGAAACTTACATTTTGACCACCCAACCATAGAGAACGTAATTCCGATAGTTCAGTTAAGACCAGCTCTTTATTGGGTTGCTATAAAGAGCAAAATAATAATAACAATAATAATAATAATAAACTTTATAGTGGTGAGACTACAATTTATAGACGACCTTTGAGCGACACTGAAGTGACCTTGAGAATGGATACCTACTAATTAGGACTAAATGAGGGTCATAAACTAGTTAGAATTATGATTTACAGTTGATGGTTAACGTTAGGTATTAGATTTAAGGTTTTCATCACGAACTAACATCAGATATAATGTCAAAAGTTTATTTAACCAAATGTATGAATGAATTTCGCACCAAAATACATGACTCATTATATTTGATTGATTCGTCCGTAAATTATAGTCTCGCCTTAGTTTACATTATGAAGAATGAGACAAGTATCATCAAAGACAATGAATAAAATAAACGTCTTTATCTGTTGAAAGTGTAGACGATTAAACACCAACTTAATCGTCGACGCCAACTTCAAAACTGGAGAAATCATTCCCCTGATATAGTGTCATGTAACTGTGCACTATTAAGAAAACTCAATGATTATCGACTGACATCATGAACCGATTGATGTTACACCACCACTGAAAACCTGGAAGCACTGGACGGCCGTTTTGTCCTATTGTGGGACTACTCGGCAGAACGCATTTACGATCCCGTTCGCGGGATTTGAACCTAGGATTTATCAGTCTCGTGCGCGGACGCTCAACCTACTAGACCACTGAGCCGGCATCCAACAGTGTTAATGTCTAACCTCAATCAATTCACGAAATTGCGCAACCATCTTCCATTATAGATACTTGCCTCTATCCGGCACGGATTAGCTCCACTGGTCACGGCTTCCACATGAGGCTAGTCACTAGTGGTCTAACATCAATCGGTTCATGATCTCAATCAATAACTAAATAATCTCCACAACCCCCATACCGATAATCATTGATTATCACCAGGGGTTTTATTTAGGATATAGTTACTGTATGATTATTATTATTATTGTTATTATTCCCATTTATTTGTATTGTGTTTTATTGATTTCCTTTTATGATATTGATATAAAATACACTAAATTTTGTACCCGAATTCTACCTTCTTTGTATTTCATTCCAATCAGTAAACATAATATGGATACATAATCAATAACAGATGGTTAATATCTTATGTTGATAACTATTAATATGTGAATACAATAACAGTATTCCTATGCCATTCGAAAACTGGACGTATCCGTATACCAAAAAAAAAACACAAACACAAATACAAGTACAAATGAATAAATGTCATGATTGCTTAGTCTAGTTACCATTATGCACAATGATGATTAGTGCATTTTAGAACATTTAATTTATTGATTTTAACCTTGATAATGTAATTTACTGTATACAGTATACAAATTTCAATGTTGATTATTATCAGAAGGGGATTTTGTGAAGATTTTAGTAATTTCAATTGTTGAGATCATGAGTCCATTGAAGCTAGACCACCACCATGGAAAACGTGAAGCACTGAACGGCCGTTTCATCCTATTGTGGGACTCAGCACAAAACCCTCTTCTGGTAATAATCAACATATACTCACTAGTGACTAGCTTCAAGATGTATAACCTGGAGTTCTAGTGAGAAGCAGTGATCAATGGAGCTCAATTGGGTCAGTTGTGAGATAGTAACTCACTGATGACAATGGTGGATGTGTCGCTCAATTTCGTGGATTACTTAAAGTTAGACATTAAAACCGTTGGATGACGGCCGGCTCAGTGGTCTAGTGGTTAAGTGCTCGCGCGCGAAACCAGCAGGTCCTGGATTCGAATCCCGCGAGGCGGGATTGTGGATGCGCATTGCTGAGGAGTCCCACAATATGACGAAACGGCCGTCCAGTGCTTCCAGGTTTTCCATGGTGGTCTAGCTTCAACTGACTCATGATCTCGACAAATGAAATTTCAATGTATTTTTTGGTTGACTGTAAAAGCAGATCCATCTTTTCTTCAACCGTATTTGTACAACGTCAGTTAGAATATGTATTCGAAAAGTCTTGTAAGTTTTCCTGACATATGGCGGAACAACCACGTAAATAGTGCTGAATAGAATGTTATTACGTAAATGCTACAATTCTGATTATGGGCTGTATACCAGTAGCGGTTGAAGTGGATGAGAAAAGCATTATGTAAAGCCAATCAGCCCTCAATCCTGATATGTCATCTTGGATGGAGTAGGAGAAGGTTGGAAGAAAAACAGGGATAGTTAACCCAACAAGTAATACCCGTTCATAAAGCCATTGATTGTTGAACTGAACTGGTTTGCGTCTTCACCAAAATCATAACGAAGACGTGATGCGGTTCAAAATCGTTCATAGTAAGAAAGATATCTTTCAGCAAATTAGTTAGTTAGCGAGATATAAATTGGATTAAAGCACGTTCCGTACAACGTTATGTAAGGGCGCGCTGATTGGTTATTTCTTATCTAGTCAGCGCATGTGAACACTTGAAGAAGACTGTAGAATATTCTCATGTAAAAACTATAAATATACTAACGTTTTTCTTATTGCGATTACTACTTCAATCCAACCATTTTATTTGGAATATAATTAGGTTCCTGTTCAACCGTGTTCTGATTTGAGGACTTGTCAAGTGAAGTAGTATCTAAGACTACAAAGCAATAAAAGTATCTGGATCGTAATAAGAAAAATTATAACACACTTTCATTCCACAAACTCTTCCCTTCTCTTTGAATCATATTCTCCATGTTTAGCCTTTCCTAGTACAATTGATATTACCTAATTTTGATTCCTTTGCTATTCATCTTACCGATTTTATTTATTTATTTATTTATTTGAACACATAAATATTGGTACAATGGGGCACCAAATATATATGCGTCACACAAATTTCATTTGATATGTGTGAGGGCTGTGATACTGTCCGGGTGCCAAGACCGAACTATGCGGTTTTCTTAGGAGGCCACAACCCGAGCCTTCGGCCTGAAGGTCTGATCCACAAGGCAGTGGAGCATCGTGAGGAGATGCAGTCCCATGGTAGACGGTGACTAACAATTGGTTCATACGCCATTTGTTCCCGCAGGATACTGGAACCATCCCATGTGCACCATTGGTTTTGGATCCGGTTAAAGCACCGGACATTCGCTTTTCATCCTCTCATTTTCGTAAATAACACCCATGGTGCGAGAAGACAGTGAATAAGACTTTCCTGGCCGTGTGAGAACATTCCGAAATGGAGAGCGGGCCCACCCCACTCTCGGCCATAACAGGACATTTGAGGGTCACCGATTTTATCTCAATGTGGCAATCTAAGATGTAACGACTTGAATAGATTCATATATTGATTATGAAAGAATGACTGACTGAATATAACCTCTTAATTTATAGTTATTTTACATTATACACCATTGAAAATAGTGCTAAATTACTACTCATTAATTAATTAAACAGTAATATATAAGTATGCAATATTAAACAATAAAACTTACAATCATAGTACGTCTAGCCTCTTCAACATTTGTAATGATAGTTGCATAAACTGACAAAGCATTTTTAATTATAATATCATCATCGGTTTCACAAACTTCTATTTTAGTTAAATTAGAAATGATTTAAATAAATATTATACCATTTTCTGTTTGGGATAAACAAGTTGATTGATGAGCGTACTCTGAAAAATCATTCAATGATTCAGCATAATCAATAAGCGCTTGATTTAATGCTAAAATAAACGTTGTAATAAAACAAAAGTTACACTGATAGTGAACGAAAGAATAATAATAATAAATAGATTGAGAAGTATTTTACATCAGTATACAATCTTCTATGTTTGACAGTTACAAACATAAAATCAAAGATCAGTTGATTGTAGATAAACATGAAATTCGCTGTAGACCCATCACCGATTGTTATAACTTATGGTTTTGTACCCCTATCAATGTATAAAGTAATGACACTGCCAATTAGAGAATAGTGACTTATCGACCGGACCAATGACACATTAAACTTTTACGAGCAGTCAAGAGTACTTATCGAACCTGCTTCTTGCCTAACCCTACCTGTTAAGTCCAGAATACTAATCTCATCCTCTGCGATACGAGTCATGTATTTTAAACATACTGGATTTATATACCAATCAACCAGATTAAATCGTACAATAAAATGGAAAAAAATGATTGTACAAGATCTAGCCAAAAGTAGCTGTGAATGTGGGAGATAGTGATTGATAGACATGGTATAACTCAAGAATGGTAAATCGTATAATAATAGTTCATAGGTCAAAATAAAGCCTATGATAAAAGGAACACGAATATGAATAGTTTAGTTATTTAACAATTATACGATAAAAATATACGTAAAGTATTGGTTCATAGATGGATCTCAAAAATTACCATCCATCATATACATCGGGATATAACACACATATTAACCATAACTATTTATTATCAATATAAAGATTTTAAATATTTATAAGGATTACCGGACATCATGACAGAGATCATTAACTTTTGAATGGGTAATTTAATAAATGACTTAATTTATCTATTCTATAAGTAGTCAATCAGTCAGTCAATCAGCTACAACGCAGGACCAAGCACATATATGCATCGGCCCAAGTTGCCATGCCCCATTAGTACAACAAGCTGAACACCGGATTCATAGAAGTAGTTAATTCAGTGGTGGTAATATACAAAAGAAAGACTGTATATAAGGACATAGTACAAGAAGGAAGAATTAGATCGTAGAAACGATTTTAATCTCATAGCTTAAGGGAAGACAGTGTATACACCTACGCTATTGAGCCATATCACCCACAGTCTCCAACCATTGGTTATTATAGTCACGCAGACCCCAACCAAGTGGTCTGCATCTACCAAAATGGCTCAGACCACATATTAGTGACTTTAAGCACTGATGCCACATTTCGACCAGTTTGGCCGCCCCTAACTTTCTTCCAACTATCCTCAACACTAGTCAGACTAAGACACTACAAAACCTAATCAAATTTATATAGAATCCATCTCTAGATTTCATTAACCTCTAGTGGACTAAAATTAATGATACTTATAAGATATGTGATGTTAGAACTAGGAATTTTAATCAACGGAAACAAAATTTGCATCTTGTTACCGACTAGTCACATTATTTGCATAACCTTTTAAGGATAAAAGTTGAAAAAAAGTTAACTTTTTTTTATTATTTAAAACTGAAAATTGCTATTATTCATTTCAATATCATGTATTGACCTTATGAGAAAAAAGTAATGAGCTTATACAAAGAGAGAGAGCAAAGAAAACCTATCTTCTAATCATGAATATGATATAAAAGCCAATAATCAGAGAGAGAGAGAGGTTTTTGTGAAGATTGTAATCATTTATTAATTGAATTCATGAGTTTATTGAATCGTGACCCCAAATGCCCTGGTACGACCGAGAGTGGGGTATGCCCGCTCTCCCTCTCCAAATGCTCTCACCACATGGCCACGTGTATATAGCCTCTGCCAGGGAAATCCTACTCACTGCCTCCTCGCACCACGGGTATTGTTTACGAAAATGAGAGGACGAAAAGCAAATTTCCGGCGCTTTAACCGAATCCCAAACCAATGGTGCACATGGGCTGGCTCCAGTATCCTGAAGGAACAAATGGCGTATGAACCAATCTTTGTTCACCGGCTACCACAAGACTTCATCTCCTTACGATGCTCCACTGCATTGAGGGTTAGACCTTTAGGTCAAAGGCTTGGGGTGTGACCCCCTAAGAAAACCACCTGCTTCGGTCTGAACACCTGGGCAATATCACAGCCCACACACAAATAAAATTTTGTGTGGTGCATATATATTTAATGCCCTCTGGTACCAATATTTATGTGTTCAAATAAATAAATAAAATAAATGAATCGTTCGTACGCGACATTGATAAATCATGGGTTCGAATCTCGCAAGATAGGATCATCGATGTAAACACTGCTAAAGAATTCAAAACTAGAATGAAACGACTATTCAATGTTTCCAGAATTTCTATAATAATCTACCTTTAATTAACTCATGAATTCATTAACTTAACTAAACACAAAAAGAAACTTAAAAACCAAATGGATATTAAAAACAAAAAAATTTTTTTCGAACAAACTTTAGAAAAACAAACACACATGATTAGATATGTAAGACTTTAAAACCATGGTGTTTGTTCTTGTTTTTTTTTATTATTGAAATTACTTGTTAAGATTGTTGTACTAAACGAACTATAGACTATTTATCACAGTTTATTATTTATTATTTTATTTTAACACATAGACATTGGTACAAGGAGGCACCAAATACATATGCGTCACACAAATCTCGTTTAATATGTGTGAGGGCTGTGATACTGCCCGGGTGCCCAGACCGAACTACGTGGTTTTCTTAGGGGACCACACCCGGAGCCTTCGACCTGAACGTCTGATCCACAAGGCAGTGGAGTATTGTAAAGAGATGCAGTCCCATGGTAGCCGGTGACCAACGATTGGTTCATACTCCATTTATTTCTTCAGGATTCTGAAGCCCATGTGCACCATTGGTTTGGGATCCGGTTAAAGCACCGGACATTCGCTTTTCATCCTTTCAATGTTGTGAACAACACCTCCGCCACATGAAGGTAGTGAGTAGGACTTCCCTGGCAGAGGCTATATACGCGTGGTCGTGTGAAAGCATTTGCAGAGGGAGAGCGGACTCTCCCCACTCTCGGCCTACCAGGGCATTTGGGAGAGTTATTACATGTACTACTTAAACATTTAACAAGTAAAAGTTTATGTACTCATCAGACAATTGTCTCTTTCTAATATGAGTGCAAAATATTCTGAATCAGTTGAAAAGTTAATTCACAAAAATTTAGCGATAAACTATAACTATTAAAATTGAACCATATAGAATGTAAGAAGCAGTTACTCATTACTTTCCGAATTGATTGAAATTAAACATGTACATTATTAAATGCCAACTCAATAATTTAAACAGGTCTAAGAGTTTTGGGTTCGACCCTTGATAGTATTGTGAATGGCCACTGCTGGGGAATTTCATACTCTGGCAAAACAGTGATTCGATGGTTCCTGTTATATCCCAATGACAATAATAGATGGGAACTGTGGGAATCTATTTCTAGAGTAATACTATACGTATATTTTTTATCGCATAATTGTTAAGTAACTATGCCATAATTCCGTCTGGAGCCCCTCTGGGGATAATGCCGGCCCCAAGCCCGGATAAAGGAGGAGGATTAGACATGGGGGTTAGCGATCCCATCCCGTAGAAAACTAACTCGCTGAAAAACGTTAACCAGAAAAAATAATTGGAACTATTTAAACTCTACCCTGGGAGTTAGAAGGTCTTCATTTAGAAGAGTTATGGTTTTATATTCCTATGAGAATAATGAATGGTAACTGTTGGAATCTATTTCTTGATAAATACTATACGTAAATTTTATCGTATAATTTTTAAATAACTAAACTATTCATATTCGTGTTCCTCTTATCATGAGCTTTATTTTGACCTATGAACTATTATTATACGATTTACCATTCTCGAGTTATGTCCAGTTTATCAATGACTATCTCCCACATTCACAGCTACTTTTGGCTAAATCTTGTACAAATGTGTATTTTCTATTTTGTGGTACCATGTATCTGTTTGGTTGGTATATAAACCCAGTATTTTTGAAATAAATGATTCACATCGTAGACTCTGAGGTTGGTGCTCTGGACTTAACAGGCAGGGTTAGGTACTATGACAATAAGTTGAAGAAATGATGGGTCCTCACTGACCGAGATGACTGGAACAGGTACTACATATGTTTAATCACCCTCTACCTTGATGTGTTGGCAAGAATAGGACTAGCTTGAAATACGTCTAAGAGGTGAAAACCAAGACATTTTATTAGTCTTTGAAGTAACTGATTGTTGAAATGGGTTGTGTTGATAGGCATAGACCACCTGGTTGTATTTCTAATGATAATCGCGATCAGTAATTAGAGATGTTAGCTGACCTGGACTAGAATAAGCTATACTAGAGCAGATATGTTTGTTCACAATATTGAGCTAATTCTTTTATTTCAATATTTTTCACACGTTTTATTCAAAGAATTTATCTCATGTTTCCAACCATAATTTTCCATGCTTTTTATCATTGGTAAGACCATTACTTCGATTTCTTTTCTAGTCATTTTTGTTAGTTTCATCTCACAACACTGATGTGGTATTAGAACTTAAGCTGATGTACATTTATGCCACTACAAGTTGATCAAAACTATTTGACCACTTTTATGAGTTATTTATTGGTGTCGGAATTCCACCGATAGCTACACTATCAGACCCCATGGATTTGTCAAAGTAGTCATTGGACTTACATACCACTATCCTGTCGTATTAAGCACTAACATAAATTAAACACAGTGAGTTACATCTGTTTTTTTTACAGAAAAAAAGAATTCTATGTCTGATAGTTACAAAAAAGTACCACATGCTTACGCAATCTAAAAATAAACCTTACTGGATGGTGAAAGGAATATGATTATCAACGCTTAACTTATGCATTACCTATACTGATATTATCTTACATTTGTAATTATGTATTAATCAAACAGATATTTACTGGGTATTGTCGTACACATGAAAAAAAACTACACTGTGAGACATATATAAATAACTGATAGATTATAAAGTATAATACAACCACTATGTCTGAAAATTTAACAAGGAAATAATCCCTAAAAAATTAAAGTCTAAATTTACATGTGACAAACACATAGCTTGTTGAAATGAACAAATGATTAAGTGAATTCAAGAGAGTCATTGTTACAGTTAAATGTATTCTCGGTCTATTGAGTTAAGTATCACAACATGACTAGATGCTTTAAAGAAATATATAACTAGTCTGACAACAATATTTGACACAAATGTTTGGGATTATTGAAACATTGATGGAATTCACATCTTCACTGGAATCGTAATTCATATATTTCACCGAATATATAGCTTTATTCATAATCAACCATTTGTACAACTGACCAACGTATGGTAAGTGATGTGGCACAAATGAGTGGCTATTTAAACTCAGTGGCTAAGTGGATGATGCGATGGGGTTCGAAACAAACGATACTGGGTTCAAGTCCCGAGGTGAACATCAACTCTAGGATGTAAATACATCCAGCTGACGAGTCTAAAATAGGGAGAAATGAAAGTCCTGGATGCCACAACTAGCCATATTCTACCTATTTTATATCAAATGATGTCATGATTTTTGTTTTTAGTAAATTTATATTCAAAAAGTCTTTCCGAATTTTATTCAGAGATTACACCAAAGTATTCCACATATTTATAAACTGTTACTCATTTAAAATCTTTACAGCAGATAATCAAAAGGATAATATTACCATAAATGTATCTAACAGCTGTGTAGTACGATGTTTCATATATTTATTCAAGTAGTTATTTATTTTTCCCCCAAATGCCCTGGTATGGCAGACAGTGGGGTACGTCCATCATCCCTCTCCAAATGCTCTCACCACATGGCCACGTGTATATAGCCTCTGCCAGGGAAATCCTACTCACTGCCACGGGTGTTGTTTACGAAAATGAGAGAACGAAAAGCGAATGTCCGGCGCTTTAACCGGATCCAAAAACAATCGTACACATGGGCTGGCTTCAGTATCCTGAAGGAACAAATGGAGTATGAACCAGTTTTCGGTCACCGGCTACCATGAGACTGCATCTCCTCACGATGCTCCACTGCCTTGAGGGTCAGACCTTTGGTTCAAAGGCTTGGGGTGTGGTCCCCTAAGAAAACCACGTAGTTCAGTCTGGTTACCCGGGCAGTATCACAGCTCATACACAAATAAAATGAAAATTTGTGTGGCGCAAATATATATTGGTGCCCTATTGTACCAACATTTATGTGTTCAAATAAATAAAATAAAAGTTTTTTTATTTAATGAAATACCAGATGCATTTTTTATTGAAGCCAAATATATCAATTTGTTAAAGTATTAGGGTCTGCATAAAACAATTTCTCGTTATATATCTCTTAGATGTTTTTAAAGGTACAGTTCTAAATTCATTTCATGGTCTGAAAAGTTACGAAAAGTGAAGTAAAGAGAAGTAAACTGGCTTTTCCTTGAGTCAAGGATGTATTTATCATATTTTAACCCTCTACCAATTGTTCGAACACCGTTATACTTATTGCAGTCCAACAATCGTAGTGTTTCTTGACATTAAAACAGCCTCCATTTCGTTAGACATGGCCGTTTTCTGGTATTTCCTGTTGAAGAAGAGTGAATCTGAGATGTTTATTAGCATCTTGAAGGTCCTACATACAAACAATTTAGACAAACCGAGGACATACAACCACCTATCTGCATCGTTTAATTGAAGCAATGGGGTTAGGCAGAATTGCCCAATCTCAAACATTCTCCTCAACATTACTATCGATGACGTTCTGAAAACAGCTCTGACGGATGTACGTAGTGGTGGTGTGAGTCTATTGCACAGAGAAATACTTTCCTACCTTGAGTATGCGGATAATGTTGTCTTACTGTGCGATGATACTCAAGCCATCCAATCCGCACTTATTCAGTTGACAATCAGTGTCCGTAGGTATGGTACGTGCTTTGCACCTTCGAAGTGCAAATTACTTTTACAAGACTGGCAGGGCCTAGGACCTGCATTCACTCTTGATAGTGAGCAATTAGAAGCAGTCGATAGGTTCGTGTATCTGAGTAGCTCTGCAGGTGCTGGTGGTGGAATAAGTGATGAAATCAATTCATGTATAAGGAAAACCAGAGAGGCTTATGCTAATCTGGGGTATCTTTGGCACCTTCGTGATGTTAGTCTAGCTGTAAAGAGTAGGGTCTATGATGCGTCGATGAGAACAGTTTTGCTTTACGCTTGTAAAACCTGACCTCTCCGAGTTGACCACAGTCATTTAGTGGAAACACCATGATGGTAATGCAGAGGATCGGTAACATGTGTTTGGGCACAGTGACGATTATTCAATTGATGTTAATGTGCATTGTTTTCCAACGATGGGAATTAGCTGGGAAAAGCAGAGGGGTGACCAGTGTGCGACATGGTTTCGTAATATGAGGAAAAGCCGTACGGGAATGGCTTCTGTTAGTCCTTCACAAATCCCTGGTCGGGGTTATAGAGATGGTTTCATGTTGCCTTGAAGGGTCACCAGACATGAATCGGAATAGAAACCAGTGGCGATTCTGTTGTAATTTTCTTATACTTTCTTCATAAAAGTGAGAGTAACTTCTTTAACTGAAAAAACTCTTTATGGTTGTATTACTTCTGATTGATCCTCTTATGCAGTTATCATAATTATTATTAGTTTACTTTTATTTCATTCTCATTTACTAATCCATATTCATCTTTATTCTTTTTGCCATTAAACTCACCCTACGTTCTCTATCACTTCACAATCCCATTTTTGTTGTGTGGCGCATATATATATATATATATATATATATATATATATATATATATGTTTGTGTTCAAACAAATAAACAATCTCATTGGTCACGCCAACACCAAAACTGACGAAACTACGCAGACATACAAAATTTTCGGCTATTCCTAACGGTTATCAGAAGAACAAGCCGAAGAAAAGCTAGATTTAACGTCTGCATCCGATCCTACTTTTTCATAGATGAGACTGACCAGGTACGTGAAAGGTTCCGCCTCTTCCAGAGTTTCACCATCAATTGTGATTGGGTTGGTGTTCTCCGCGTGGAAGTTGGGGATTTTGTTTTTTCCCTTCTGTATGGCGAAGCCTACTATGGAAGAGGCTTCTGACACACTAGTTGTCTTCATCTATATTTTTTCGTGTGTATGGAGTAGAAGTCCAAATCTTCTAGTTGATTCCGAGCTGTCCATTGTATTCCGTGCTTTCCCTCAGATGTTAAGGTCTTCACAAGCCAGTCAACCACCAGAAGAAAGAGGAGTAGGCAGTCTTGACTGACTCCGGTCCTTACTTTTAATGTATCTGTCATCTGTCCTTTGTGCAAGACCTTGCGGTGTAGTCCGTCGTATGAATTCCCAATGAAGTTGACGAAGAAGGCTCCATAAAGTTCTCCTATCCATGCTGTCAAACGCTTTCTCGTACTCAAGTAAGTTGACGTATATTGACCAATTCTATCCAACCGATTGCTCAACAATGATCCGTGTCGCAATTTGGTCTGTACACGATCAAACTCTACAAAATCCAACATGTCGTTCTCGAAGTCGGGCGTCCACAGAACCTCTCGTTCGGTTCAACAACATACTGTAAAAAAAACCTTCCTGGCACCGATAATAGTGATGCCACTTTAGTTCTAGCGCGTCAAAATGGTAATAGTTGCATAGCTCATACAAGCCTAACGAGTTACACACAAATAGCATGTCTTAAAATCTAAAAGCTGTACTAGATCATACTCTAAGTTCATCATTATTAGGAAAAATAGGTTTAACTGCCCTGATTACCAGCAGAGATGGGGATTTATGACAAGCGAACCTTACATGTGAAACAATTTCACTACTATCAAGCTGCTCCTTTTACTTTTTCCTGCATAATACTGTGGTTTCATTAATGAGCTATAGCACAATGGTAAGTCCGAACAACAAAAATACAATTATCAACCAAATGCTTTAATGTAATGATTATCACGCTGAATTAAGAACACACTGAATATGTAGAAGACGACTAATCACATAACTTATGGAAATGTATTAGATATAAGTCCACGAAAAACTTACATTCCATGGCTTCGAAAACTCTTCTTGTGTTCACTAGAACACTTTTGACTTTTTTGTTTGCAATTTTTAAGTCCGCCTCATGGTCTGACAGAGCCTTTCGGAAATTCGGGCTGTCCACAACACAATCACGAAACTCGAGAGGGCTCAACACGGGCATTGCACATAGATGAACACAACCTTCAAACCGTAAAAGTGCAAGGTCATACAACCATAAAAATAGAGAGTTCAAACTTTTCTGGACATGGTCATTATCTAGTCAGTTCCTTGGGGTCTGTGACTGAAGGATTGTAGCGGGTTACTGCTTTTGTAGAGATTTTAGAGAATTACGACTGACAGTGCTATGATTGTTTTTTTTCGATGTACTAAGGTGGACTTTAAACCTGCCTAATCTGAAGGTGATCAATTTTTGTTTTGATTCATAGAATTAGTGGAATGTGATAGGTATCCCTAGTCTTATAGTTAAAATGCTTTTTATTCACCAATTTATGTGCAATATCTAGTGTTTTCAGTTCGCTTATTGAGCGAGTGCTGTATATAAGTACATGGTTTCTTATGAGGAAATCATTTAAAGCTCTGACTTTTGCATAGGTACTCGTTCCAGTCAATGATAACTGTTAACTTCGGTCGCCCTCGTTCAAGTTTAATCATATGGACACTGATAGAAAAGAGAGTCAGTGTAATCTACTTATTAGATCGGCTTACGGAAATAATCGGCGTCGTTTGTCATGGACCGTGTGCAGGTTGAGATTCCTCCAGTACGAACCACTCGTAGACAAGCCAGCGCAATCCTTTGCTGCCTTCCTATTTGTCGTGCTTTTAACAAAAGGTTAAATGAACGTTGACTAATAGCATAGTACTTGGACCACTTATTGTATTTAAAAAGCTTATCGCTGCCTCATGCTCCTCCACGAGGAATAACAGGCGTAAGTAAATAAATAAAGGCGTGAACTGTTGAAAAGTAATGCTTATAATGCACTTATTTTTAGATTTAATCATTTTTTAAAATCGTCAGTCAGGGAAATCAAGCGTTGAGTCTGCATCTGAGTCGGCCATCTGTCAATTGAAAGGCTAAATCGGCTGAACCTTTTATCAACCAGTTACTAAATCTGGGCAACAACCTGAATCATGTTGTTGAGTCATTGAATCGTCAACTTAAAAAAACACGTGCAGAAGAGTGATTCCCCGCTGAAATACATGTTGAATGGGGAATGGAGTGCCAGAACATCAAGAAATTGTCTACTAAGACAACCTACAACATGCTAACTCGGACTTTTACACCACGACTGTGTAGCTGGTATCGGATGAAAAGAATCAGACAGTAATAGATATAGTTATTAGTTTTCTTAACACTTTACATTCTATATGCACATTCCGTCCTAATAAAAAGCCTTCCTTATTCCAATCCTGACTCCCTTAATTTGAAATTACTCCACCTGGAAAATGTCACAACTGATTTTACTTTCTTATAGAGCGTCTCATCACGTTTCACTTTTGCAACAAGAGCTAGCATGAATTTATTCTACTAATCTATTATACCTTTGTCTGTTCCACCACAAAATGTTAAACACTTTTCATATCCGAGTGCCTTGCTGCTCCTTTGTTAATCTTTTCTTCAAAATCTTGCTCTGAGGGCACAGCTGTGGAACTTCTGACATCTGGGACAAACATGGCGTGAGCATTTTTTCAAATTCATAGTTCACACAAATCGCTCTACAAATCTTCTTTATAACAACTATAAATTTAAAAAGTTGCATTGCATAAATACTTAACACGACCAGAATTCCAAAACAATTATGCCGTGATTGGATCTGGTATGCAACATGGACGCGATGCCACTTTGGAAAATATTTTGAAGACTTTACTCAGTGTAATAATAAAGCACAAGCCTAATCATTAACGCTCCAAGACATCTGCACGAATTTACTGTTATTCACTTTTATTGCTTATATTTATTTAACAACCTTGCTTAGAAAGCATACTATGGGACAACAAATGCTGCAATTTGTAGATCATGCCTGTAAAAATGGCGTGTACCTACCCTTACGAAAGTATACTATTATTATATTTTGAACAGTCTGTACGTGATTTATTCAGAAAAGAGAGAATAACAATTATTTGTTGCGCTTAGTAATTCTCCTACATCCATTTTCAATTTGTCTACTTAAAATATTTTAGATTATACTGCTGATTAAAATTCATTAAATTTGTGTAACATAAATGCGGCTGGGCATATCGTTTCGAAAATAAGAAAAATGCGGTCTTTAACTTCTTCGCAATAATAGTCCTTGCCAGTTTACTGGTATGACCAAATTGTTACGGAAGATACAGTCTTAACTGTAACAAGTTAGTCAGTTAGGTTGATTGTTATAGGGAAATTTGGCCATAGAATCGGGATGGTAACTCTCTTCACATATGAATATAAATAATGTTAATGAGACTCGGATTGTCGATACAGGGGTTAGCGCACTCTATGAAGGATGTGTTGCGACGTGCAACTGATGTTTCGGAATTAATCCACATGAAGTTGAGAGATTCTAGAAAACACGACCCCACATCCTTATGGGATATCTGAACTATTAATGATGGTACAAGACGACATCACATGTTTTATATGTGCTTTCGGTGGCATATCACGAGGGTGGTGAAAAAGCTAGCAAAAGGGAAGGAATGAGGTATAGAGCAAATAATGAGGTTGAGTCATTAGTGATTGAATAAGTAAGGTACGACCGCTTAAACTTATTCTTTTTTATGAATCCAATTTTTAAGTAAGAGCACTTTAAAAGATTTAAGACAATAAATTTAAATATTCCGATGAATGGACAAAGATTTGCATCAATGGAGGTGATTGAGAAACAAGCCGAAAGTATAGGATCATGCGTAGTTTTAAAACGTAATAAAGCATTGAAAACACAGTATACAGGTACACAAATGACTCTGTTTTTCTCTTCAAAGTTGCCACAGATCATTTTTATTATTATGCATTTTTTTAGGGTCAGGAGTGGACTTCGTTTTAGCGTAATTGTCCAGTTATGCCTTTAATAGGATTTCTCTGAGGGAAGTAAAATCATTCCAAGGCTACAAACATGAGTCGTATAGGTAATCGGCATAATAAATTACCTTCAATGCAATTTGATAGTTACATGATGCTAAATCATATTGAGCCGCCACTATACACCGGAAGAGCTATAAAATTCATCCTAAAAATGAATGTTTTTAAGAAGCATCAATGTCAAACATAGTGCTATAATTACTGAAAAGAATTACTCTATTTCACTCCGCGAAAATTTTTTCACAGGTTATACCACCTGGATTGTGAATGAACATTGCACGAACCATAAAGTCTTATAATCAAGAAATACTTGATGTCGCTGATACGCAGAACTCAAGCAATATACTGTTAATATTTCCGCTTGATTAACACATAATACAGTATATATCTACGCCACCCGAACGTATAGAACCCCTCAAAGTGGCAAGTCAAAAAGCAGAAGACTGGAGAAAGTGCTTGTTGGTTAAGAATCAAAATGTACAGAAAATCATGGGTATTTGTAGATATTAGCGTTTGTTATATCAATATAATGGTTCAACCAATTCTCAAAGAGGCGTGTTATGCTTCTGTCCAATAATAGCATGCCACACTGATGTACTAGAATTCCCCATCACGTTCTGGTTGGATGGAAACTCTCCGGCTCCTTTTAGGCCTCTGGAGGCTTTGTCGTAGTTCTGGGAAGTCGCCTCAACGCACATAGTTAATCATCTTGTCCTAGTCAGACACGAACGTTTCAAAAAAATTATATGGTTTCGTACTTGTTGCGAACCAAATTCGCTTTTGCGTATTTGTTGCATCGAGGCATACTTGATAGACTTTGGCTCGATTAGTTCCAGTTAACGTTTCGAATTTCTCTAAAGTTCACTTTGTGTTACTCTTTTTAGTTGATTATCACACCAGCGATTATCCAGTGTATTTGGTCAATTTATCCCTCCCTCTGCATCCCTTCGAAATGTTCGGTTATACTGAAATATGTTGACATTCAAACTGCTTATTCTCTGTAGAGGAAGAGACGCAATGCGATGAGGGCAGAAACTGGTTTCATAAGATGTTTACCCGTTTAAAACCCTAAGCATACATATGTGCTCAAAGCCTAACTCCTACTGGTTTCGAGTAAGATACTACTCATCTTAGAGGCAATTAGCCTTCTAGCGTTGTCTGAACTGGCGAAACGGGTGATAATGATAATTTATTCCTAAATAACACCCTGTTACATGAGGCATGCCAGTTTACAGGCATGATATACTGACCACGAAGGATCTGTTAGTTTTGTGAGCGCTGCCACGGGACGAGTCAAACAGCCGGATGCCAAGCATACAATAGGTTAATCTCTTTAGAAACAATCAAACAATGAAATACCACTAGATGTTGGTGGTAACGTTTCTACATCAGTATCTGAAGACCTAGGTAAAGCCGTCACCATCACAACTAGTCCCCATGTAAATGCCCCAACTGGTGGGAAGTGAGTGATATTGCCGAAACAAAGAAGAGAGACAGCCACAAATAACGTCCGTCCAGTTGACAAGTCTTTGATGGTCTCACACTACGCGAAAGTAAGTCCCTAAGTAAGACAATTTTTTAACCCATGAGTAGTTGCGAATGTTTGGTCCCACAGAACATAACTGTAAGTAGTTCACTCGAATCAAACTATTTCGATCCAAAAACAACTAGAGAAAATCTATTAGTAGTCAACAGATTGAAATAAGAAAACGATCAAAAGTCGTAAACATGAATTTTGAAGAAGCCAGGTACGTTCCTAGTTTGGTTAATTGGAATTTGACCGTGCTAATAGGCATGCACACTATTTGGAGTTAGTTAACTTTACTACCAGAACTGTAATGACAGAAGTTCTAAGGATATATATTATATAAATAATAAAACTCGGTGAGTGGGTTGGAGGTGAGATCTAACCAAGTTATAAAGAAAGAGATGGCATGCTCAATAACGCATACAAAACTTGTGATTTGAATATTCGTGCTCGACCGGACTGGTCACTGTACGATCGAATAAAGTAAAAAATGCCCTAGTTGAGTTCAAAACGTGAAATCAAAATGTCAAAACATACAAAAACATTCAGGGTTTTCGTGTAGTCAGGTCTTGGAAGCCAACGCTTCCGAGAGCTGTACAGGTAGAATGAATGATTCTCAAAACAC